CCTCTCGGGCTCCAATCATTCTCTACTAATTGCTTCACCATGAACGCGGCCTTTGCCTGCATCCAATTTTCATTCTTCAAATAAAATAAATAAAGTTTTCCGGAGATATAGAGCCGAGCTTGTTCCAGTACTGCTATCATGGAGAGCCGTGATATCCGAGACCACCACAGCGGGACCTCGCAGCGGCAGATTCACAACGAGAGGAAGGAATGTGAGTCAATCGCGTCGCTCTGGACTGAGAACCGCGAGGATTTCAGATCCTCCATGAATAACGACTTGACGGAGCTGTTCCGGATCAGTTGCCGCGGTATCAAGATCGTGTTCATCTGCCCATCGAGTCAAGTTTCCGTATGTTTGAGATTCGTATGAGCTCACTCCTGCCGCATGTTTTTTTGAGGATTCAGTAGAGCGGAAAAACCACAGCTATGGATTTGGTAAACGGGCTCACTGCGGCTAAGGGAGGCGCCGGAATCTCACCGCACACTCTCGTGAATCGCTCCCCTATCATGTCCAAACTAGAATGACTGTCATGGATACCTGTCTTTTAGAAATCTCATATCTGTGCAGGATACGATGATGGAGAGATAGCAGGGCCCAAAGTCAAACGGCGCCTCCCGATGTTTCGCGTCAATATCATAATTTTCTTCCTTGCTCGCCTGGGCTACAGTCAACCCAAGAAACCCTCCGAGTCGGGGTTCCTCCGGACGAAATCGGGGGCTCTTGAAAGCAACCATTAGTCCTTCAGGGATAGATGAGATCCTCCCAATGAATATCGATTCCCCCTCAAGATATTTTTTTTAAGAGTGGATCTGAGACTGGGGGCTGCAGTAGGGAGCGTCAACTCCGGAGATCTGCATGAAGTCTAACCTCGACTCACTTAGGTGATTCGTTCTGGGAGACCGTTCGTGGGACGGGACAGAGTTCCCCCTAGGATCTCATTAAAGCTTGCGCATCGTTCTCGTGCACAGGGGTCTCGTTCGACACGATGGGAACGGTTGTCAGGCTCCGCATATTTGAATTATACATCATACTGGGTAACTTTCACTTCCACTACGCTTCGGGACCGCTTGTGACTCGGATCCACCTTCGCAACTCGGATTATTGCCATCTAGAACGGGACGTTCGTGAGCTGAAGTTCGACAGTATGAATAATAATATGTAATCGATAGACTCACTTTTCTTTTTCGTGCACCCACCGAATCTCCCTGTTTACCTGTATTCCTGTTTTCCGATTTTCCAGCTTTCCCATGCCCCAGCGCTCTCGTTCCCCTTTTCCTCGATTCCTGTCATCCGCTTCTCCCTTGTCCCGTCCCCAAGCTTCCTGTTTTCCCGTTCTCGCTTCCCCGCCCTCCAGTCCCCCGTTTCCCCGCTGTTCCGATTTCCCTTGTCCCGTTTCCTTGTGTCCCCCAGGTTCCACCGTCCGGACCCCTCTCCGAATCCTCTCATATAGTAAGCAGAAACTCGAGCCCTTCCGCTCTCCGCGAGAGAACGGAGACAATGGATACGCGATAGTCCACCTAACCCACCGGGAGATACCAGATTATGAGATCCCTGGCGACCTCTGTGCATCAGCGCATGCTTCGAAATCCGCATCTGCACTTTCGGGGAGAACATGGAAGATCTCAAGAACGACTCTGATCGTCTCCAACATTCAGGAACGACACAGCTCGAGAGTCATCTTGGCGGTTCGTCGGATCCAGGACGAGGTCTTCAAGCGGGAACTATGCGCCGCCGATGTCTCGTCCGCCGATGTACAATGCCCAATCCCCCCGATCGAAGTAGTTAACATGCTCATATGCTGATAATCAAGATAAATGTGCCGCTCTTACTGGTATTTCAACTTCGATGGGTGCGCCGTTCCGTCGGCACCTCGAGTGAATAGACTGATATGGAGGGCAGGACGAAAAATGGAAAAATTCACGCAAGCGTGATTTACCCTGCGGCATTTACGAATGAAAACGCTCAATTTGATGTTCCGTGCCGGAACCCCAAGCGGCAGTGTGGCGTGGGGCGCGTTACCTGCCGCCGGCTTGCATTGCGGGAAGGAGCCATCGACTCGTCTCCACCTGAGAACAGTGACGACGCTTTCCCTCAGAGACCTGACACACCTAGGCTCTATCGAGGCGTCGCCATTTAGTTTCGGAGCTTTCGACACGTCCTGACATGGCGCGCGTGACGCTGCGGATAAATGCGAGGCGTCCGCTAAACTTCACACCCCCTGAAAACTATCGAATACGATCACAATGAGATGCCGATGGGATCTGAGCGTCCTCTTCCCAATCTGGTCGATACTTCTGCAGGATAGATCTTCCATGCTAATCGAGGAGTTGATTGGCTCACGGACTGCGACGTGAAACCCACCGGGAAAAACTTGGGATGAACCCTGCCGGCTGTAGTTCATTGCATGATTGGACTTCTCTGATCCTCGAGCTAGCTACTCCGAGGAAACTGGACTTCTTGCCTTTTCAAGATCCCTGAGTACCAATCCTACGACGCGGATATAAATCACCATGAGTTGCCTCCATGCCCTTATGAGGTTCCGGAAAATAATTTCGGGTTCGCGTCACACGTAGCATGAAGCGATGTTCGTCCCTTCCGTGGGAATCCCTGAGATTTCCGTCCCCAGCCTGAGGGATGTCTCCTAACGGTCATCGTACCCGACGGAGACCGCAGATCTCTGGCGATGCTTCAATCGCAATGGTGCGGCCAAAGAGCCCAGAGCGAACGAGCTAGGGAATGGACAGAGAATCTTCTTAGCGCTTCTCCGGTGACCCGAATAGCTCGACTTCCTGCCACAGCGTAGCAACAGCGCGCAAGGTCGCTCGTCCCGTCGTTCTATTGGATTTCTCGTCAAAATTCTGACAAGCAAAAAGTACCCCCTTGCTCAGACCTGTAGTTGCGGGCTCCACTTCGTTCGGTATCTAACGTGCCATTGCCGACTGTAGAGCTCTTGATTCGGTTTCGGACTGCAGACCTGCCGAATTCGTTTCCCATTGCCCGGATCATCTCCAGGTACACCCACAGCGAAGCAAGACCGGAACTTTCTCCCCATGGGAATGTATCGTATCCCGGTCTCATACGTGTAAAGCGATGCGTTTGCCGGACCGTTCATGTGTCGATTGAATCTGGGAAACGTCTCTTGTCAGCGCCTAGAGGCAAGCTTCCGGCGTTGATGTACGACGGAGCCGTCGAATAATGAAGCCAACTACCAACGAATCCCATCACGATCGTAGTCTACGGAAGGTGGGGAGAAATCGCGGAACAGAAATCTCAATCGTATGCGAGAGTCAGGCAGGAACGGTCGCGGGCCGCGCTCGCTCCCCGAATCTCAACGCGAAGCATCGGAGTCTGATGAGAGGGTAGAAACTGAACGCTGTCGTTGACGCCCAACGATGCTGACATTTTCCATGCATAGCCCTCAGCTCCTGCAAACTGCTCACGGCTATTCCCCCTCAGACATTCGGAGCGCAGGGCAGCGTCACGCTGGAATTACGAACGAACGAGCCGACCGAGCGGCCGAGCGACGGACCAAACGACCGACCGACCGAGCCACCAAGACCGGACCGATGAGAGTCGGCCGTGTTTTCATATTGCGCCACGAAAGATCCACATGAAGCTCACGAGGGAATTATCATTCCGGGAAACATCAGGATCCAATCCTGTTGCTTATAGTTGATGGAATCGGCGACGGTCTCAACGGACTCAATCCATCCTCTTAGGACATGTTTCCAGGATTTAGGTATTTTCTTATTGGTGATCCGGGACAAATGATACCGAGACTTACGGGGCATGCGTCCGGAAGGGATTCGAGAACCGAAAATTTGATGACGCGATTATAATACAGACTCAGTACTCTGGTGTGATCCTCCGCGTCGTCCACCGCACAGCGATGTGAGGCTGCCGGTCGCCCTATCGATGCTTCCCGGCGGTGCTCTCTCTCGACTTCCAAAACTCGAATGCGTTCTCGGAGAGTTTCCACAAATCAGTGGGAAGAGGAATATTCGAAGATTTTCTCGACGGGGAGGCAATCCCGGGGCGGAATTTCAAGAAAAATAGAAAAATCTGACCTAAGCCTCTTCTACGCAGCGGCTCGAGGAAGCTTGGCCGACCCGCTCGCACGCAGGAACTCGCATAGAGTTTTTTCGGAGCCGATTGCGTGCCTTTGCCCGCGCGGATCCTCTCAAAATTCGAGCACGACGGTTCCTGGACGCTTCTGCGAATATTGAGCACTTTAAATTTTTGAAATCCGTCGAGGAAAACCTCAGAAACCAAGCCTCGTATCTTTCCGTTCAGCAGAGCCGAGTGGTCGGATCGTCGTCGAGGCAGCCCACACCGGGAATTCGATCAAAATTTCGAACAGCGATTTCTTCGCCTCGAGCGGACGCTTTTCCGTGAACGAGCGTGCAAAATGTTCGCACAGTCGTCACGAATCGATAGAAGTTCGAATCTCAGAGATCTACCCAGAAATGATCGAGATATCGAGACATTTAAGTTACCCTGTTTTACAGGGAGTCGGGTCGCAAGATGGCGACCCCTTGGAAAGTGTGCTTCCCGCCCCGAAAATTTTCGAAAAAACTCCGAAAGCGTCGGTTGTCTTTATAGTTTTCACGGATGAAAAGCCTTCTCCAGGCATTCGGAAGCCCGCTTGTGTGTTTCCGGCGATTTTAGGCGGCCCACCTATGAAAATTAAGACAGTTTTGTGAGACATACTCTATTTTCCTTAGCAATGTCATTCCGCAAATATCGAGAATTTTAGCAGAACTATCATGGCCTGGCATTCGAGACTCCGCCGCAAGCTAGGTCGATCTTTCGTCTACAGTTCGCGACCGATTTGGGAGGAATCTACAGTTGAGTTCCCATATAAAATTGGGCTCAATCCCAGCAAGAAACACAAATGGGAAACACAAACGGCGGTTGTCAGCTGTTCGGGGAGAGAGCCATCGCACGGCGGTGCCGCCTCTCCCTATATAAGCCGACTTGGCGCGCCGGCGCTCATTCGCTGTTCAGCGCTCCGCTAGTAAAGAGTTCCTGAATCTACTGGTCCTACGAACCACGCAGTTGAAAATGTCTGACGCCGCTGTAGCCGTTGCGCCGAAGGCGACCCCCAAGAAGGTGAAGGCTGTCAAGGCGAAGCCCGCCAAGACCTCCAGCCACCCCTCCTACCAGGACATGATCAAGGAGGCCATCGAGACCCTGAAGGAACGCAACGGATCTTCTCGTCAAGCGATCCAGAAGTACCTCCAGGCTCACTTCAAGACCTGCGACGACAAGGTTTCCCAGGCTCGTCTCAAGCTCGCGCTCAAACGTGGAGCCGATAACGGTGCCCTCAAGCGAGTGAAGGGAGCCGGCGCGTCAGGCTCTTTCCGCATCAACGTCGATGCCAAGAAGCCCGTTGTCAAGAAGCCGAAAGCCAAAGCGGCCACCGCCGCCAAGCCTAAAGCCGCAGGAGTGAAGAAGGTCAAAGCTGCCAAGCCGAAGTCGGTGAAGGCCAAGACCGCTGTCAAGCCCAAGAAGACCGTCGCTGAGAAGAAGGCCACCGCGAAACCTAAGGTGGCCAAGAAGCCCGCTACCCCCAAGAAGGTCGCCAAGCCCGCCGTCAAGAAGGCCGCTACCCCGAAGGCGAAGAAACCTGCAGCGAAGAAAGCAGTGGCGAAGAAGTAAAGGCCTCTAATCACGCAACTTCATCGTATCACCATCATCAGCTGATCAGCTTTTCTCTCTGGTAGGAGTAGCAGCAAACGCAAGCTAGCGTTAGATCTCTGAGCTGTCTACGAAGCTGATTCCTTCGACAAGTCATCCCGGTTAGAGACGAGGGTGTCGCCGCAGCGATAAATTTCTCATCACCTCACGCCTTCCGCCCCTGGCGGTCGATTCGAACGAACTTCGTTTGGGATGTTCTTCCGACCGTCAGAAACCATCGAATCATCGTCAAGCATTCATTGTTCATCCATCGCTCGTCGAGATTTTGTCTTGACGTCATCGCATTGTCGATCTCATTTCATTATCCTCATCGATCTGGATCAATCGCGGCCCCCGAGTCTCCGTCGCTTTGTGTAAATAGATTGTATATTTATTCGGTTTTTCATAAGTTAATGAGCCAGAAATGAAATAAATGCGAGATTGCAAGCCGGAGTTTGCAATCCACTCGAACATGAATGATTCGCTAATCTTTGGGTCGAAGACTTGGGAAGTGGGGAGAACTCGTAAGTCGAACCTCTGGCAAACTTCCGCGTTATGCGTGAGCCAGAACAGCGACAGGCTGTTCGTGGGTAAAGGAAACGGATGCGGAGAGAACGAGTGAGCAGGATTCTATAGCCTACGCTTACGTGATCGGAGCTTTTCATGGTTTTCTTCATGATGCAGTGCGGTTGTGGCGAATGCTCTGAAGTAGGTCATCATCATGGTGGGCGAGGGGATCCGGCTCGGCTATCGAAGCGCTCACTTGTTCCTCGCGTGGTCAGGGAGCGGGCTCGCATCAATGTTGAGCTCGACCCGCAGATATCTATGTAAATCACCCCATTTGAATCTCATCTATCTGAAAATTTTGATTAAGGCACGGTCGAGTGGGTTCACGGAGACTTCCGTGGGTACCAGAGAGTATCGGGAACGAAATTCGCTGACGAAATTCGTTGACGAAATTCGCAGACAGATCGCTGACTTCGATGTTATCCAGCCGCATAAGATTCGTCGAACTATTTTCGCACTCGGAGTGTGCGGTTCCGCGTCCCATGAAATTCCCGAAGAGTAATCTCGATGATGGGGAGCACCTGAAGATGAATGGGAGCTCTCCCGAGTGCACCCGATTATCCTGTAGTTCAAAGCCCCGTCCCGGTCGTCCCTCGCGCTGGCCGGGAAAGGGAACCCACAAGAGTCGCACAAGAGTCGTTGTGAATATAAAAGTCCCGCGCATTTATTCAAGAGTTCATGTAATCGATGCAGCGTGTCTATCATGTCGAAACTCCGCATGTAGGACCAAGCTTCGAATACCGGGAATTGAGACATCTACAGGGCGAGAAATGAATACTTGGAAGGCACTTGACAACAATAAATTTCCGCTATAGAGTACCCGCACACCAGAATTTCGTATCAATTTGAGCCATCCGACGAGGTTCTCTCTCTCAATGAAATGCTCCTAAGAGGCCGAAGAATCGATCATTTTAGCCTCAGAGACTTGTAGATCCGTACGATGGTCAGAGAAGACATCAATGCTTCGCGAGCATTTCCCGGAGAACGTATTGGAGGATTCCACCGTTTTTGAAATAGGCCAGTTCGACCTCGGTGAAGAAGCAGAGTTGCGCTTCGAAAGACGACCCGGTGCTGAGTTTGACCTGGACGATCTGTCGAGGCGACGCCAGCGATTCCTTTGTCAAGTCGATGGTGTATTGTTCCTTGCCCGAGAGGCCAAGAGATTCCGCGTTCTGACCGTCGAGGAATTGTAGGGGGACGATTCCCATGCCGATTAGATTGGAACGATGGATTCGCTCGTAGCTTTCCGCGATCACAGCTCGAACTCCCAAGAGGTACGGACCCTTGGCGGCCCAGTCACGTGAGGAACCTTTTGGATACATGGCACGCTTAGTAAGACGGCTCAGAGCGTAGAGCCACAATATAAGAATCTCGAGAGCGAACAGTTCTGGCGCATACCGAGAGCGAAAATAAGAGGAACTCCAACGATCTCGCAGAGCAATGTTTGGTCAATACGAGATTTCGTTGGCGGAAGTATCCCAAACACTCACCTGAGCCGTATTCCTTCCCAGCGAGGATGATCAGCTGATCGCCGTTCTCCTTGTAGCGTGTTGCGGCGTCGAAAATGTCGAGTTCCTCACCCGATGGCAGATGAATTGTACGGGGTCCCGGTTTTTTCAAGAAACGGTTCACGAGACGAATATTAGCGAAGGTCCCCCGAGACATTACGTCGTCATTACCTCTGCGGGACCCGTACGAGTTGAAGTCCCTCGGGTTGAGATTGCGAGACGATAGATACCTGCGGAGAGAAAAAAAGGAGTTTGACGATTCGACGATTTCCTCCTCCAGCCAGGAACTCCCGAACTCTCTCCATGAGAACTCGATCACGAATGGTTGAGGATGAAGTACCTTGCGGCGGGACTGTTCCTCGAGATTGATCCGGCTGGCGATATGTGATCCGTCGTGACAGAGTCCGGCAAATTCACGAGTACGTAAGCGTTAGCGATGCTCTGAATCGGCGCGAGAGTTTTCTCCATGGAATCGAAGAAGGGAGGCCGTTTAATGTAGGTGGATTTATCGTCCCACGGATAGAGAAGCTTCTCCGATGCGGTGAGAGCCTGCCATTGCGGCGAGCCGTTCTGAATTTTCGCGTAGACCTCGTTGAACATTCTCGGAATCACGTGCTTCTGTTCAACCGTCTGGATTTCTTCTCGAGACGGCCAGATGTCTCTGAGGAAAACATCGGATCCGTCTGATCCTTGGCCGATGGGATCTTTCTCAAAGTCGATGCTCACTGTCCCGGCCAGGGCGTAGGCGACGACCAGGAGGGGAGAGGCGAGATAGTTCGCTCGGGTGAACGGATGGACACGGCCTTCGAAGTTCCTGTTGCCCGAGAGGATGCCACAAGCGACCAGATCGCCTTTCTCGATCGCCTCGGTGACGCTTTCGGGCAGGGGGCCCGAGTTCCCGATACAGGTCATGCAGCCGTAGCCCACGATATTGAATCCGAGTTTCTCCAGGAAAGGCGTCACTCCCGACTCACGGAGATAGTAGGTCACTACGCCGGATCCTGGAGACAGTGAGGTTTTGATGTACGGTTTAACGGTGAGGCCTTTCTCCACGGCCTTTTTCGCGAGCAGGCCGGCTCCCAACATCACGGACGGGTTCGAGGTGTTCGTGCAGGACGTTATGGCGGCCAGAACGACGGAACCGTGGTTTAGGGTGTACTCCCGTCCTTCATAGATAAATGGCACTGTCGTCGTCATCTTATCGGCGGCGATGCCGAATCCCTTGAAGCCGACGTTGTTGGCGAGACATTCCTCAAAATCACGCTTCATGACCGAGACAGCCACGCGGTCTTGCGGTCGTTTGGGGCCGCTGAGCGATGGGACAACGGTGCGCAGATCGAGCTCGACAACCTGCGAGAAGAGGGGATCTTTTCCGGCACTGTAATTCCTGAACATGCCTTGAGCTCTGAGGTACTCCTTGATGCGGGCCACATTCTCCTCGTCTCGACCTGTTTGCTTCAGATAGTCGATGGTCTTCTCGTCGACCGGGAAAAAGCCGACCGTCGCCCCGTATTCCGGACACATATTCGCTACAGTGGCTCTGTCTGCGAGCGAGAGTTGACTGACTCCAGGACCGAAGAATTCGACGAACTTTCCGACCACTCCGACTTGTCGGAGATGTTTTGTGATCGTGAGCACCAGATCTGTCGAAGTAGCGAGGGGACTGAGTTGTCCCGTCAGTTTGTAGCCGACAACCTTCGGGAGGACCATCGAGATCGCCTGGCCCAGCATGACGGCTTCCGCTTCTATGCCCCCCACCCCCCAACCGACAACCCCGAGACCGTTGACCATGGTAGTGTGAGAATCGGCTCCCACAAGAGAATCGGGATAAAGCGTTCCGTCGTTGGCGAACACTACTCGCGCGAGATATTCCAAGTTGACTTGATGCACGATTCCGGAGCCCGGGGGGATGATGAGCATGTTCTTCAGAGCCTTGGAGCCCCACTTCAAGAAACTGAAGCGTTCTTCATTTCTCTCAAACTCCATATCCATGTTTTTCTGGAGTGATTCTGCAATGTAACGGGAACTACGTTGAGCGGCTCGAGTGTTCCGGCTCTATGCTCGCGGATATGTCCGCGAATCGATCCGCATCGGAGTCAGTCGGGCTCATGAAACCTACCGGGTGCAGTGGAAAAATCCACCTGAACCGAATGATCAATGACGAGATCCGTGGGGCACATGGGATTGATTATTTGAGGGTCGCCTCCTAGCCGTTGGACGGCGTCTCTCATGGCGGCGAAGTCCACAACAGCGGGTACCCCGGTGAAATCCTGAGGCGAAAACACGACTTTACTCAAACGTTTTTTTCAGCGGTTCGCATTCTCAGAGTTGCCCCTTCGTATCGATGGCAGATCCTAAAATTTTCTATTAGGCCACCTGAAGCAAAACGCGAGCGGGTTTGAAGGCTATCTCAACGCCGGCCTCCTGTTTGGCATGCCAGTCCAAAATCGTCTGAACATCGCTCTCCTTGACGTGGAAATTGTCACAATTCCGAACGGCGCTCTCCAACAGGACTCGGATGGAGAATGGCAAGTCGGCATACCTGGAATGGTCTTCCGTCAATAATTTTCCGCATGTCGCTGTGCGAGTGTTCGCGGTTAGCGTTCGAGGAAGCATCTAGTCATCGAGCGTCGATACTCCGGACGTCATTCAATTTCGGCTGCGCCCAGAGACTTCTCTCTGTCGCACGATGAGCGTCGAAGGGACATGGATCGGACAGATTGGCTAGGATGGAACGGGACGACAGGAACGAAACCAGAAGCGAGAATGGATTTCTCCCGGTCTCCACGGGTATCGCATACCCTGAGCCTTCTTCACCTCGAGACCTACGAAATTGTATCTTGATTCGGAGATCCTCGGCCACGTAGCGCGTCTAGTTGCCGTGGAGAATCCTGAGCTCTTCAACTGTACGGGCCGACTCCGATTTCCGCCCGGTGCGCTGCCGACAATCTTCCATTCCCTGTCCTCCTCGGAGCGGATAGCCACGCATCCACAGTTTAGGCGATCGAGGAAAAACAGAAGGATCAAACGAGCGATATGAACTAGAACTCTGCAGACATGTGTTCCTGTCGCGATACATGTTAGAAACACTGAGTGAGTGCTCAATGATATGGCCAGGTCGGATTCCACTCTAAGGCTACCACTTCCATTTCTCGGTCGCGGAAGACCGGAGCTTCTTATCGTCGAACGCCGACTCCACGTCGGCTCACCATGGCTTTCCATGGCAAGGCAGGCTCAGGTCTTCCACATGAGGATCAGGATAAAGCAATGAAGTCATCGACCCCTCTACCTTCCTGAGCATGCCGGCACGGTCGAAACAATTTTTCGAAATTCCGGTACTTTCTGACAGCTGATAGAAGTCCCAAACGACAAGAAACTCCGACATAGAACACCGAAACCGATCAGCCTCCCCCACCGGGCTCGCTCGGAGATGCTACATCCAATGGATTCAAGTGACACGAATCAGAGACCTGTCTACATTTTTTTTCAATCTGATCTCACCTTGCATCGCCCAGGTCTGGGAGACTGAAGTATTTGAACTGCTTGCCACCGATCTCGATGGTTTTCAGACACTTGGCCTCGAACGGATTCACTGAGGACATGATTTCTCCCGTAACTGGTCGAATTCAGCTCGGAGCAGATTCTCAGCTGTGCGCCGATAGCGACTGGCCACTCTTGAAGTGGCGGTGTAGTGGAACTGCTGGCAGTGAACAGGTTTCGTTCGACTAGATGCTGCTGCTGTTCCGGGTGAACACGCTTCTGCATCTAGTGCGGCAAGCCCTATCTCACTTCTTTCCGTGTCGTTCCCTCGCGGTCTCCCCACCGTCGACGTACGCGGAACTGGTTGACTGACCGAACGCCATGGTAGCTGCACAGCGGCGTGTTTAATGAGAACTTTCGCACGCTTTCCTCTCTCGACATTGACCTATGGACGCTGCGCGAAGACGAGCGAGATGTACTTTGAGCGGTTCGCCGTTACCAATTGTTGGAAGTCTCGCTAAAGCCTCCGCTCACCGAATCGTCACGTAGGCACCTCGGACGAACCAGCCGTCATCGTCGCCGCAGTCTCCGCGAATTGAACCGGGGAATCCCAATGAGTACTTTTCGGAAAGAAAAATGCCGACAAATGAGAGGATGTATCTTTATGGGCAATCGTGAGATATCTGAATCCTCGCAATAGTTTCGCCTGCGGTTGCCTTTCTCGCATACGGAGGAGTTTCGAGGAGCTTCTCGGATGAACGAAGACTGCGGATTTTCCCCTCAACAGATTTATTCGCCACTCATTATTCATTAGGAAGCGAGCATCCCTACTCGAGATGAATCTCTGAAGTTTCTAGTATTTACACCGACACCGAGCTAGTGTCGGTACGTTCGTTTTAACTTTCATATAGATATTACACAATTTCATCTAACACAACGGCTAACATTCACCGGAACTGCACGGCATCCATCTATACGACATTGCCCACAAATATATTAATGTATATGCGTTTCCCATTTATGTGTGTCCACAGATATAAATGTTGTAGGTATCCTGCAAGCTCCAGATCCTCCCTGAGAGTTCCGAAAACTTTAATCCCCATCGCTTTAACTTCGCTTACACTCGGAAGGGATCCGGCGAAGACAGTGTGCATCTTCTTATATTTGGTGAGAACTTCAGACACACGAATTTGAGGAGAAGCAGATTCCCTTCCCAGTTTCTAGATCCGATGCCGCACAGCAAATCCCCGCCGACGGCGGGAGATCCGCGCGGACTCGTTTCTCTACCTAATGCATATTACTCGAGCAAGGATTTTTTCAACTACGCTCTCTTCTGAGGTTCGATTCGATTGATTTTGAAGTCAAGCCTTTCACATGGACACGGCTCGCGAGTGCACCGTCGGTCTTGCACTCTGCCTCTGCTTCTTGCACACCCCGGCGGTATCCGGAGGAGAAGGGTCGAGCAGAGCTGCCGAACCATGGGGATGTTCAAGCGCCTGACTTTTTTCTTGGGATATTAGCTTGGAGGTTTTAAAACAGAGTCTCCCAGTCGAGAGCTCCCGAGAGCGAACTCGTGCTATCGCAAGCGTTTGTAGGTCGCGCGGAACCCCCACCACATCGCTCGCGCAGCGTGGGAATGCCGGACGGCGCCAGCACAGTCGATTCTCTGGAGATCGAATCGCAATCCGTTTTCACCCCTCCCGTTTCTCCAGTCATAATGAGATCCTTTCTGACACAACGTTGTTGGCGGTCCAGACACAAGCCATTCGAACGCTATTTTAATAATTATGTTAATAATAATAATAATAATCAGCGGATAACCACGTTGCTTCGACAATCGAGAGCTGGTTCCAGACGGCGTGATCGATTCGATGATAGAATGATTTCAGTTTCATCTATGTACAGCGGCGACGAATCTCTATACGAGGTTGTCCCATCGAGCGTCGCTCCCCCGGGGCACGAATCTGACGACCACCGGCGTGGGAATTCAATTCGCTCTAGTCAGTAAAATTTGAATAATTACTGGAAGTTCGTCAGGAAGCGCGTCTTTAGTCTAAGAACAACGACCCGTTACGGCATTTCCCCGGAAGGGAATTATCTGAGCGCGGTGATTTCTCCCGGATGCCACTTCCGCTCAGATCAAAACGGAGAAATATTCTCAAGGCATCTCATTCCATTTTTCGGATAGCAAGCGAAGAGCACAAGAAAATGGCAATCATTGACTCCTGCTCGCCGAGCTCGAGCCTGCTTCACCTCCTTGTTGGGCACGCTCACAATGTCTGATATGATGCGGCCAGTGTGTGCTCTGGCAGGCTTGTGAACAATATGATGTATTCCAGCAGCAGGTCATCGTGGCCAACGCCTTGCACACACAGCACCATTGCTTCGTTTTGATGAGTTCCGTAGTTCGATTGGTGTTGGTCTGCCAGATGGTCCTTTGCGTGATCAATTCTCTGATATTGATTTTCTGTTTTAGAAGAGCTATTTCTCGAGCGACCATTTCCTGCAAATCGAGGACACATGAATATCTAATAAGGGCGCCTCAAGAAGGCTCTGGGAAAAGCAGATTCCAGAAGCGTTTTGGATTTTCGAGCCATCGTAGTTAGCTCATTCGATGGGCGGGAAACGAAGGCTGGAAAAATTCCCTGCGCTCCACGTACCTGGTTCTGGCGTTTGTCGAAAGGATCTACCGCACCGACGGCTTCCCTCTCGGTTTGTACAGCGCAATCGACCTTACAAACGGTGATTTCTGAGGCGTCGGCATCGTTCTTTGGCGAAGCCAGGGCTTTCTGTTGGTACGGCATCAGCTCCGTGTCCGAAACATCGGTATCCGACTCGTCGTACACATCATTGGGAGCTGGCAAGTTGGCTAACTCCGTGACTCCAACTTTCTCCTTACATTCTTCGATAGTCTGGCGCAACTTCTCGAAGAACGTGTCTCCGCTAGCCACCTGAGAGCAAGAGAGTTCTCGCAAACGTTGGAGGGAGGCCTTACGTCTTCCATCGCTAACCTCTAATTCGCTCCGAATTACCGCTCGACGCTGATCGTCGAATTCGATTTTGATGGCACATGGAAGAACTAAACTACGAGAAATCGAATACCGTACCTTTGGTATGACGGTTGGTGGATCGGTGTCAGCGGTCGTGCTTGAGACCTCTGCACAATTTGTTCGTTCCGGAGATTTCGGGGTGTCATCCACGCCCAGGGGCAGGGGTAATGGACTCTCGGCAGTTGGCTGCGCAGCAGCTCTGTCGCTTTGGTCGTTCGCAGCGTTCACAGTCGGGGAGGTTGCCACACCTTCTTTATCTTCTTCTTTGTCTTCGTCGGTCGAGTCAGATTTCTTATCCAAGTTCAATTTTCTCTTAATGCTCTCCAGGATGGAATTCTGCTCTTCCGTCTGCCGGAGACAATGAGCTTAGTACGGCGATTCGACGAGCGGAGGCCTATTTCCGGATTCCGACGTGGATAGGGTCGTTGATCCGTCGCGGAAATCCGCCGCAGAATTCGCGACTTGTCGCGATCTCCATTGTATCTCAATTGGGAATGGCTCGAAACTCCGTACGGAAAAATCGCGTCCCGCGACGGAATCACAACCCTACTCATGAATATTCACTGAGTGTCACTCACCCCACTATCTTTGTCTTCTTCGTCTTCGGCAAGCAATGCAGGAACTCTGGAGATGAGGACGGTATCAATGCGAGATTCTTCGGCTTCTTCAGCCGTATCTTTACCCATGTCCTCATCTTCTGTCTTCTTTTCGGGAATTTCATCTACGATCTTCTTCGCCGAAGGCAATGGGATCTGTGCCGGCAGAAACTCATCAAAGGTTTGCCTTTCGAACATCTCTCGCGTCAATTTTTTCTGCTCTGTCTCGTAATGGAATTCCGCATTGAACTTTTCGCGGTATCTGCAAGAGCAAAAATCAAACTTAGAATTTTTTCCCTACTCCAAGTACCCATCGATGAATCCCAGCGGCAGAAGGGTATGGTTGGGGGCGGGAACCTACTTTTTGATGTATGAGGCCAGTTCTTCCATAGCACTGCAGTAGGAACCCTTCTTGCTCTTCTGTGTCACCGGAGGTTTCACTGTGAGTAAAGTGCAGTTGGAGAGCAAAACTAAGCTCTTGTTGTGATCTCCGAAAAACTTCACGACGGCTTGATCCGAGTCGACGTTCATAACTTTCGCTGGCCAATGAGGGAAGCCCCTGATTTTCGCCCAGACAATTATGTGGGGTGGACTACATGGCTCGGTGTAGTATCCGACTGCGAGAAGGAAACATCCATTTCAGACTTCAGGGTTTGGAAAGGTCGAGGGAGCAACCCCTCAAAATTCTCGGAGAGAACATCAAACTCATGAACTTACTGCTGGTACGCTTCATGCTCAGGTAGCATTGAGGACACAGGGTCATCTCATCAACCTCCTTGTCAGCGGCTTTCAACATCGCCATCGCCGAAGAACTGATGCGATTCTGAGGCCCATTGTAAACGACCGAGTTGTGATAGATCCACTTGAGGTCCGCGAGGAATTGCTCGACACAAGTGTATTTTTTTCTGATGACATTTTGTTCCAGTTGCTCAAGATCGAAGGGTTTCACGACGAAATTCTTGTAATCCGGATACTCCTCTAAAGAGACTGGTTTGTAGAAAACGTCGAGAGCGTACGGCCGGATGGTTTTCACGGCGAACGTCAAAAGTTCCGCCAGCAGATCGACGTCAACCCGTGATAGCGGTCCTTTTGTGGTGCCTTCGAGTTTATCTTTTTCAGCACGTATAATTGCCATGCACTCAGGGCACACGAGACTATAGAGGTCTTGATCACCGGGCGCGCAGTATTCATGGAAAGATCGTTGACACGTAGTACAAGGCACATTAGCGTCTTCGCTGTGGCACTTCCAACAGTACCTGCAAACGAAGAAATTGGTCCGAGCTCTGCAACTTGTCGACACATATTTCTGGCCATCTCGTCGAGGTTTCGCGGGGATTCCAGCTTCGAATCTACGTACCGATCATTGCCCTCAGGCATTTCGATTGTCACCGAGAGACGCGGTTTCTTGTTTTTCGGCGATGACTTCTTCTCGACCGTCGGCGCCATTTTCGTCTGGAATACATGCGCGATTTCACTCCACTTGCACTCCATTGAATTAAACAAATCAGACCCGCCCGAAGCACATTGCCTTTCCTCCCGGGCTCACTCCCCTGCATGACCGCCTGAATTGATGATGGCTACCACAGCCGGGGATGGAGCGGGACGGGCTCCCGTTGGGGCCTATAGCAGGCCCCGGGAACTCATTGCATCTCACTGAATCGGATTCCCGGAGATCGGGGACCATCCGGGGTAAGCCATGGAGAAGCGCCCGCTGCTTCCGCAGTCGGGTGATCTAAGGCGCAGTCACGAAGTATATCAGCTAGAAGCTTCCCAAGTGCCAGCTGGCATGGAGTACCTGATTTTCAGCCAGCCTGGATGTTGAAGGCAGTCTGACTATCATTTTGAGCTTCGTCATTATTGTGAACACGGAATATAGCGGATCGCTTCAAGGGCGTACACTACTAAACTTAGCCCATCAACGCGACGGATTCTGGACTAGATCTCCTTGCTCCGTGTAGCTCTTTGCGTAATATTTACCAACACACTCCCTCGCCCAATGATAGCGTTTTGGAGCCTGGCGCTTTTTTCTCCGCATCTCCTCTGCCGACACTCAGGAAATGTTTGGAGCTCAGAGGCCCGATTCCGCTTTCTACTCCGGAAGGACTGTCTCTCAAGGCAGAGGGAATATGGATTCTCAGAAAAGATTCTCCTATTTGGAACGAACCTTTTCAGCTGGGAGTTCGATGAGACTCATTTGAAGATCGTTTTAAACACTTCTTAATCAGCTGAGGGGACCATTATGTGCATTACTGCTGCTTCTCAACGTCATCCAGAGATGTTCAGAGGTCCAGCAGAAGATCCTGACCGTTCGTGGTGACTTCAGTCCACCCTTGATACTATATGTGGTACGATCTGTGGTGTTACCCCATCAGATTATCATTTAAGTATCTGGCTTGTTTCTCCAAAAGTCTCATCTCCTTAAGACACGGACGCTTGGAACCGATCGAAAACCGGGGCTTAAGAGATGTGATCCCCTTCTTCCCGTTCGATTCGAGGATTCCACCCTGTTCCCGCTTCTTAAATGTCGGATCCGAACATGCTTAACTGGCGGAAACTTCTCTCTGTTCGACCACACTATAAACATGGCCCTGTGCTCCGCGCGTCTCATCCTTTCTAAAATTCCAAAAAGAAAACCTAATCATCACGGTTGTCCCCAGCGAAGCCTAGGAACATCAGCAGTATTGAATGCTAAGAGGATAGTGGAAAGGCAGGAAGATGGAGTAACGGTGATCAAAGGCGAATTCGTGGAATCGCCCCATGCCGCAAACCTGATCTCGTCCACGAAACCGGGCTGCTCCTTGTGTCGATTGGGGATCGACCGAGTCACGCATGACGATGTCCTAATCCTTTCTCAATTCATGGATAGCAAGGGCAAAATGCTACCAATGGAGGTGAGAAGCGCCAGCGGTCGCCATAATTCATAGTTGTATGTCCATTCCAATGAGCGACTTACCTCTGTGATGATCAGCTGTGGATTGGACTAAGGATTTTTCGCGCCGTCGCAGGTCACCAAGCTCTGCTTGAAGCAACACCGGCGCGTTTCCTCGGCGCTTTATCAAGCTCAGAGATTGGGCCTCATTAAAACAGAGGAACATGCACCGCGAGAGAGGTGAGTGCGAGAGATCTCCTCATGTCTCTTCTGATGGGGATACTCGTCCTGATCCTCATTCCCGGGAGCCGGGAATCTCTCCATTGCTTCCCAGTCTCAGATTACCTATATAGCGGAGGGGGTTTGCCTGTACTCGTCGAAGTCGAACAATTTTTTCCGACCACAGGTGGCAAGAGCTCAACAACTACTTTGGAAAAACGAGGACGCGAACGGACTTCGGCAAGCCGAAAATCGATATCAGAGAGTTCTTGAGGAAACCCACAATGAAACCTTTCTGGAAAGCTTGACGCTCACCGTGATACCGCTGCCCAATAAACTACCTAGTTAATTGATCGAGACGAGTCTTTGATAAATAATATTCGAATGGGTGCTCCCGCTTTTCGGAGGTTAGGTTAATTTGACCCCGAATACCGAATGCTTGAACGCAAATTTTAAGCAGATACTCTCCCCGTATTTCGGGCACTGTCAGTAGCGATTCAAAGGAGTATGTTTATGATAGATCCACCATCCATCTTTCCCATCCCTTCCACACCAGTCTGGGATTCTGGCTCCGCAACCGGGAGCTCATTCGACATGAGCCGTGACATCCGTCTTTACAAGCTTATCGTCAATACCTGAGGTATCTAGAGCCGCGAGATGCAGATCGCGAGCGTAGCATGTCAGCCGAAGAACGGATAGAGAGCACTCGCGTATTCAAGGAGCTCTCCTGATCTGATCGTGCAACCAGTCGCATCCGTGGTCATGCCCTCACATGCGAGCCGGAGCTTCGTAGTCCCCTCAATAAGGCTTCCAGCTGTCTTTCAGATGTCGAGCCGTTTGGGAGTCTGAAGAAGGATAGCTCGAAACTGCTCGTTTTATTGAAGGTTTTCATTATCCCAAAGGGAACGAGGCGAGTCCAGAAATGCGTTCGTCAGCTGTCACGCAAGAACTCACGGACCGATTTGGGAGTAGATTCGTGAGTTCCCTACACACATCTCTTGATGCTGCAAGGATCTGCCTTGATTTCTATCTTCGCGATCCATGGCAGCATGCTTCGCGGCTTTACCAGAAGGGTTCCGGTATCTGAAATCAGCATCAGAGCAGTTCTTATGATGTTTGAAACGTCTTCTGAAAAGAAGTCTGGTCTGCTTCAGAAGAGAGTCGAAGCTGACGCCGTCTAAGATACTCTGTGCCCAACAGCCGTCCGATAGGGAGAACGAGGAAGCGGTCTTAATCCGCGGAATGAGAAAAGAAGATCAATCGAAAATCTGATTATCGGATGAAGAAGCCCTCGGTTAGTTGTCATTGATCCGTTTATTCATTCCATTCAGTTTGCATCTCGGCGTCCAGAGCTCAAGCTCGTCCAGAAATCCGCTCCTCTCTCTGAATGATGATCTCGGTGGGGCGCCGTGCTCGTTTCTGTTGGGATCCTTATCTCACGTCCACAGTAAGCTCCCCCATCTTGACTGATGATTCGAATCGTGTTGACGCGAGCATGGACGTTTGTGACGTCAGCAGTGATCACCTGGATCGTCGAGCCGAGTCAAACATTGGATTGGGGTTCCATCGAGACACCGACCTTTCGTTGGCTGTCCGTCATTGTTGCCGCAATTGTCGGCATTTCCGATCGGTGGATTCTTTGCCAGGGGTCGCATCCGAACCTGAGGGCCATCGCAAACGTTCCGCATCCGGCGGAAGGAGAACTTCGCGGGCCGTTCGACCAGATCCGTCTGGGGCCGGGAAGGGGGGGCTTCGTCTTCGTCCGTGCCCTCTCCTCGGACTATCTGTATGACCTAGGCGCAGACTCGTGAGGAGACTCTAGTTCCATCTCCTGTCGATGATATCGATATCCTCTCTCGATTGCCGGATTCAAGGATTCTGTCAAACGTCTCCCCAATGACTCAGAACCTGAGGTGACGGCACTGCTGAGAAAGCAGGCTTTCGAAATCGATGACGGGAACATTATCAGTGGATTTTCCATTTCCGCACATGATCCGGACTTGGAATGGGGTGATCTTCCTAACATCCCGGCGGATTTATACGAGAAGGGTCGATTGTACTCGTTTGAAGGGAAACAGGAGCAATTAGCGTCACGGTCCGCAACGCTTCGAATAAGCCGTACATCAACTGGGGTATGTCGTCATTGTCTCTCGTTCCTTTTCGAGCCTGGTCCCGGCGAGACCAGGTTCCAGCGATGGTGATGCTGGCTATTTGAGCGGTCTACTTGCAGTGTTTTCCCCCCAAGAATTTCAAGCCGGGACACCTTTCGAGAGAATAGGAGCCGGATCATCGTCTTTGGATTTTTCGCAGGGTAGAGGTTCTCCGAGTACGAGCCCGTTCACAGCCTGGGCAGAACTTTTGCGAGCCCGCCAGAAATCGCCCGAGCGGTATGGAAGCGGGGCTCTCCCTCCCCGATTCAATCCCATTTTCCGTGTCGAGCCCTGAGCTGAAGTCCACCACATGACCCACCGGATATCAATGGATTGTGGAGGGAGAGGATTGTTCGGATCCGGAGTCAGGAACGTCTGGGATTGCGGAGGAGCTTTCACTGAATTCTCCACCTAGACAACCGAGCCGTCGACCTTAGAACGCAATACACGAATCTCTCCGCAGACTCTCTGAATTGCATGATTGCGGAGGCATTCTCGGCAAGTCCAACGATTCCGAAACTCGCAGGGGTGGCCATCACACCAACGATCTTCCACAATATCCTACCACTTCTGATCGTGAGGTCCACGGCGACCGTCCATGCTCTCGTTCTCACCCAAGTCTTCTCATGGATTTTGTCCCTGCCGATTATGGATTAACGGCGGATCGCCGCGATTAAAAGTGCGAGACCCAGCATTTTTTTTTTCGAGTCATCCCTCGCACGATGTCCGAAATGTCAATGTTATGCCCGCGGTCGCAACATAGGGATTTATATGTATGCGTTGGTTCTTCCCTTGAGGGAGCAGGCTGGTCGGATCGTCTGGAATCGAAGGCCGCAATTTTTTTTCCCCACCAATTTATGTTGGCCGCTCCGTCATTGATTCCTTGAGTCGTACCACAGTCGGGAAGCCTCTTGAAATATCTTCCGTGAAGATCACGATGCACTCTCTCCAGGCTCCATACTAACCTCGACTGTTCAGTTCATCCCTTTCTGCGAATTACGTAGTCCAGCGGCTCGTGAACTGTATCGCTGTGTGAATCCCCCTGGCTCCCTGGGGAGCCCTGTCCATCGGGTCCTGTGAGAAATCGAGTAATTGCATCGAGCTCCAGGGGGCAGCGGCGGACCTAGGGGGAGGGAGGCAAAGTGGATAAGGGTCCCCGGGGGCAGGACTTAAAGGGACGAAGAATCGCGGTTATGCAATCTTTCGCCACAACTAAAGCGAGGCAAGCGGCATTTTCATGTTTTCATATGACGTAGATTGTGACTACCCATGTGACGAACCCAACTTGAGGAAATCGTCGGAAGAGCGTGTGTTTTTCCGAGTGAAGTGATGATGATGACAGGCGCACATTCCGTCAGTTTCCCCTGGCGCCGTCTGGGCTAGATACGCCACTGCCAAGGGGTCAACATGGAGCACTTCAGGAATCGAGCGCGAAGACCACGCGTAGCTTGCCGTCCCGGAGCAGATTTGGGCCGAGACTGACCGAGCTTGCGAAGACATGGAGCTCAGCATAGGTGTTCGGATAGCATAACTCTCATCATTGAAACCCTCTTTGTATTCATTTGTTCCTTCGGAGCCTTGACTCTTCGACGAGAAAATCAGGAGCCACTTTGTGACGTCTCTGGCGAAGCTGATGTTGTCTCCGTCATCGTGTTGTGAAATACATATCGGGATTCGTGCATCCGCCACAAGAGGAGATTCGGAGCTATGATTCCGTAAGCATCCATGTCGAATATCGTGACGATTTTTCCGAGAATTCCAAGTTACACTCTCGTGTTTCCAGTGTAGAAGTCGTGGCTTTCAGCCGACACAGGAACGATTCGCCGGCGCCGCTTTTGGAGAGATAATCGACAATTTTGAAGTATATATTATGGTCCGGAGAGAATGCCGCGACGTATCGAGGAATAGAAGTTCCCGCCGATTTCAATACGTATTCCGATCGAAAAATAAGGCCGCTTTTACCCCGGGGGCCTTCTCGAAAATACGGAGGAAACTTGAGCCGGTCTTAACTCAACTTCAGCGGTCGAATATTGCGATCACGACCGTCTATTTTTCGAGGATCCCATATTTCCCCAGAGCTGAATTTCGTCCAGAAGGAATATCATAGGCTCGGATTGTTTGATTCCAGACTGAGACACGACACATCTTATTTTTTTCACAGGATCTTCTTTATGTACATACGCCATGCCCCTCCCGGGCCCAAAATTACAAGAGAATTGGAAATAGCAGGCACATCCAACGCTCAAATCCCTGAAGTGTGCTGCCAAAACTCTTGTTGAAACTTTTCGTCACACTGATGCTGAGCCACAAGATTCTTCTGCTTCTTCCAATCGAGTCTCGCGTGGAGCGGATTCACTATAGTTTCCCTCGGCATAGGCTGGACCGAGACATTTGCCGCGCGCGCCACCAAACCAGTGAGATAGACGTCTTCGATGAAGAGGAATCGCGGTGTGAAAAGATACTCATGCAATTTGGCGACGGCGCTCTCCGCGATCACGTAGAAAGATCCCTGGAGATGCGGGGGGAAATACGCCGCTTCATATTCCTCATTTGTGAGTCCCCATTTTGTACAGGCGGGAGAGACGCATCGGAGCGGTTTCGACATTCCTCGGTACTCACCATAGATTCCATCTTTGAAATCACCGAGGATGTGTGATAACAATGGCATGTCGACGCAAGTGTCGTCATCCACTTTTATTACGACTTTTCGTTTTGGCCAAGCATTCCGGAACACCCACATAACGAGCGCGCAGCTCTTTAGTGTGAGGTTCCTGTAGTTGTCCTCGAAATCAAACTGCAGGATGTCGTTGTGAGTTTTCGCTTCGAGTTCGATTCTTCTCTCCTCTTCTTCGGTCTGATTCGCAGATACTCCAAGAAGGTAGAGGACGCGTGCGCTGGGTGAGCCACCCCATGTTCTTCGGATAGCGTTCCGTTTCCCGAAGTTCCCAGGCGCTGATGTGACCACGAAAAGGACGGGTCGGTCCTCCCGGAAGACCGTGGGTTCGAAGATGATTCGGTAATCCATAGACCACGAACGGTTCCTCGTTCCGGTTCCAGTTCCAAAGAAGTCGACGTTACGTGTCAAGAGAACTATGAGAGAGACCAGGGATAATGCACTTATAAGGCACAGTGGCACAAGTCGACGCATCCACCTCATGTCGTTCACCACACGGGCGACACGCCTGTGTCTGTTCAATTCATGGTGAGTGGCAAGCAGATTCGCTTGTCAACCCTTTCCACCATATGCAAGGTATGACATTATATCCTCAGATGATGTAGAAACATCCAAGATCATTCGAGGATTAAAGAAATTGGTTCATTCGAAATGTATGCAAGGGACGTTCGAGGATTCCTTTACTCGAAGTCCCGCGCATAAACAACCTCGCGTACAACGAACAGCGAGGCCCATTCCACTTGGAGCCGGAGTCTCGGCTGGCTGCTCATGTACATACGAAAGTAGTGGCTATCGAGACTCTCAAGAATCTAAGACGAGTCTAAGAGAGCAGTGGGAAGAAGGAGAGGTGCAATGAAGGTTCCTCATACACGATAATTCAGGGTCTCTTCTGTTTACACGGAGAGAGCCTGGCCGCCTGCTCCTCCCGCATTGATGTTGAGGACTCTTGAATATCAAAGAAGGAATTGCATTTCGAAGATTGGAGGAAATCACTTGCAGGAGCAACGTCTTGTTCGGACTCTCGGGGCGATCGATCAAGAAAATCACCCTGCTGGCCCCGAGTCAAGAGTACCGGGAAGAGACGCCATGTCGCCATTAAGTCGACTCTACCTCCAAAAAAGGGGACAATCAATCCATCGGATCTCGGCCTCGCGGTCGAACTCGAGTTCGCACTTCGAGGCTCTCGCTTTCGACAGAGATAGGTACCTTCCTGAGGTCAGAACGGGGAGCTCGAACTTCTACTCAACGAGGAGAGATTGACCTCGAGTTTTGACATCGCGACAAAAACCCATGCTCAGTCGGTGGATTTCATTCAACCAGTAGACAAGAGAGGACCTACCTCCTGCGCCCCCCCTCGGATCGAACGCTCTAAATACCCGAACTAAGTTCCCCTGGAAGTGGATGCGTTTCGAAATGCCTGTGGATGGCAGACTCTCTGGGAGGGAAATCTCGCAGAGACAACACATCAATTTCTGTGGAGTTCCGCCCGGAGCCCAAGTTCTGGAATAGAGGGGAAGGGGGTGGGGCGAATAAATTCCCTGTCCGCCCTCAGTCAAAAGCTTGTTGTCTGTATTTGTGCGCAAAGCCCGAATAACCCGCGGTGATCTTTATAGCAGAGGAGCTGATCAATGTGGAATGCTCAAGTTAAGAGTCTCTCCTCGAAAAACGGTGCGCGTTTTCGCCTGCTATTCTCCTGAGTTATGAGCGATCTCATTCATATTCTCACAGTTTCCACGTTTATTCAATTTCGAAATGATTTTCCCGATGTCTGGCTCAGTACGCTGCTCCACCTAGAAGAAAAGTCGACACTTCAGTACCTCGAGGGAGCGATAGGGAATGATTTTCGAGCTCCCAACGGGAAAATAGACGTCGCCCCCTCTCGATTTACCGTAACTCGCTGCATTACCGGAGTAGCTCGCTCCGGCGTACTTCGCAGCGCCGCCACTATAAGATCCACCAGCGTGGCTTTTCGACCCCCCTCCGTAGCCTTTCGCGGCTCCGTACGCGCTACTTTTGGCCGGGTAGCTCTTAGCGACCCCGAAAGAGTCATAGTCGCCCCCATAAGGAGCTCCATAAGAGTCTCCGCCGTAGCCTCCTCCGTAAGCAGCTCCGCCGTAAGCCAACCCACCGTAGCCTCCTGCGTATGCTGGTGCTGGTGCTGGTGCGTAGGCCGGTGCTGCGCCGTAGGCTGGTGGTGCGCCGTAGGCCGGCAATGCTCCGTAGGCTGGCAACGCTCCGTAGGCTGGCAACGCTCCGTAGGCTGGTAATGCTCCGTAGGCTGGCAACGCCGCGTACGCTGGTAATGCCCCGTAGGCGGGCGGCGCTCCATAGGCGGGTGCCGCTCCGTAGGGAGGTGGAGCGACTAGTGGGGGTGGCGCCCCGTAGGGTGGTGGTGCTCCGTACGGAGGTGCGTACACAGTTATGAAAGAAGTCTTCTTGGTCTTTTTCAGCTTCTTGCCCTTCTTGGGTTTGAGTTTCTTGAGTTTCTTCTCGGGCAAGGGTACCAGAGTTAGACCGGCGCCGTAACCAGCCGGCGCTAGACCGTATGCAGGAAGTCCGTAGGGTGCAGCACCATAGTCTGCTGCGCCGTATGGCGGTGCGTATCCTCCATAAGCTGCGCCGCCGTACAAGGGAACTGTGGAGGAAAGAGTACTCCAGTATGGCTATAGTGCATCGGGGCAGAAGGGGCATTTCCGGTGAGAGTAACTTACGGATCGGTGGGTAGGCCTCATCATCATAATCATCATCGTCGTAATCGTCGTCCTTGTCTTTCTTGAAGAGCTTATCTAAATCCTCGTGAACCGTGGCCAACGCGGTGGCGGCCAGGCCTATCAACAAGAGACTGCTCACTAGGAAGAGCCTCATGATTCAACGGTCAAGAAGGCCACTGCGGTGAAGCTGAGCGTACCATCTTAAATAGCAGCCTCAATTCAAACAGCTTGGGTTTCACTTCCTCGATCGGAGTTAATCCTCATAAACAGTTCAGCTGCCGAGTCATGTGCTTATGTAGGCGAGTCCGAGGTTTGGTCTCATGTTCTGATGTGAATGTTTGATCTATAATTGTGACGATGGAATCCTTCAGAGAACCCGATGAGCCTTCATCATGCAAACCGAGGGTAAGATAATCGAGAAGGAGCGTGGAGACGCTTCGTCGAGTGCTCCGTAGTACGAGATGAGGGTAGATACGGTCTGGGTAGGTACGTAGGTAAATGTGTCTTCATTTTCTGCCCGGATACAGTACGTCGATTTTTACGAAGCGGTCATCCGCTTCTGAGCCTTCCCCCGGTACTTCGTCCGGAATTCGGAGGTATGTTGACAAGGGCTCGAGAGGCTTCTGGAGTTTCTTCAGTGAGCCTGCCGAAGACCTGCATACGTAGGGAAAGCGTGGGAGTTGGAGTCGAGGCGTCGGCAAAGGCGAAGGAATATGTCGTAGAGAGTATGCTCCCAGGCGCGGCTCTCATAGCATATTCCTGGAAACCACGTTCAGGCTCCGAAGACTTCGCGATTTTCGCTGCGATATTCCTGCGAACAAAATTGCAATCGTTGCCAAGCGTTTCCGAGTTTCAAGCTGGAGTCACAGCACAGACGTTCAAGTGAAACCACCTAAGCCAGTGAGTATGCTCAAAGTAAGACCTCGATCACCCAGCCCCGCGCATCTGACCCGAAGGCTCTGCTTCGCAGGCCGTATGAGAGGTCGAACAGGGGGAGCGATGATTCACGTCTTGGGAGAACCTGTTAGGATCCAGGAAAAGCTCAGGAGCGGCATATTACTGTAAACTGTAGTTGTCGCTCCTGTTGTACTTGGGCCGCACAACGTAGCGGAACTCGGAGACGAGTCGACGTGAGGCATCGCCTGAGGGAGGAGAATCGGATTCCCGCAGCCACTACTCCCGTGCTACTAATTTGAGGATATCGAGGAGAGCTCACTCATTCTCATCGCTGAGCCTAGATCAGGTACTCGGCATCACTCGCTTCAGTTCGCTGTCCAATTCACCATAGGATCCGAAATCGTCGGTATCGTCCTGATCTATATGGGTCGCTCGCGCTAAGTGACCGTGAACCAACTCATCCGATTCGCTCAGCAAGACACCGAATTTCACCTGACGGATGTAGATCTCTTGATGAGTCGATTCCTATCTGATTGATTAGCCGAGGATGTCGTAATTCTCGGCGATGGCTGAAGGCTCTGGTCCTTGCCGTGAGAGTCAATTCAATGTCACTCCTGTAGCACGCACTACCTTCTTGAAGGACGAGACGTTCTCTTTCAGGGCCGTATTTATGCATTTATTTCATCATATGGTAGAAATCAGAAAACTTGCACTCTCCTCATTGAGTTTGGTAGATTAGGGTTCCCTCTCCTCATTCCTCCATGCATACAATGATGATTATATTAATTTCATTACTTTTCCCATTATGATATATCCGCTGAAGCTTCAAACAACAGCATTTTCTAGCTTCTATTGTAGGCTGCTGTATGAAATCGAGAATAGAGTCGGTTTCCTTGACCGATTCGCCCATGGACGAATCGAGATTAGACTTTTACTCTTCATGCACGAATAACACAAAGTAACTCGATATAGACGCGGCAATCGCGATAATTACACAAAAAGCTTACGCCTCACAGTGAAAAGCTTGCCCTAACGAGCGACCAGAAGTGCTTCGATTCCGGAACCTGCTCCCCGGCGCACGACGGGAGCTCGCAAATTCTTCTCGAGATTAATTTTCGGTCCTGACATCCCTGGCAGTTCGAGAAAATATTTATTCTGCTCTCAGAGAATCCCATCCAGCAAACACTCCGGAGATGGGACCATAGACCGACGAACTACAGAATATCGGAAACTTCGTTTGTGCTTGCCAGCCGGAAGCGAGATTCTTATCTCCCTGAATCGTAAGCAAAATTGTCGAATCGACCGTGAATTCTTGGCGGATGATGATAATTCTGAAGTTTTCGCCATCGTGATAATCGCCGTATCCCTCTGACCCATCGTTCAGGTATCATTCATTGGGCTCGAGTCCTGTGATGAAGTTGTTAGGCGGTCTCTTTGGTTTCAAGAATTCCGCGCAATACGGGGCCTCACAGTCTCAGGAGTGGGACTCACGAACAATGGTTTATGATGACGTAACTCCCAGATATATGGGCCGCACGTATCGTATCCAGGGGTCTGACCCTTACCAGATACCGTGGCTTCTACCGCCAGGAGGATTGTGGACTCGAACCGAGGACTTTGCGTTCCTTGTATCGTCGATCTGGGCTCCGCTCAGACTGAAAGATGAATCTTGCAAGTTCCTCGAGCCCCCTTTGGTCAGAGGCCTACTGTGGAATTCCTTTGGTTGAGCCGGGAAAATGTCCCTCGAAGGTCTGCGGTGCTCGGGAGTCGCGACGCCCGAGCACACTGACCCTCCATCTACCGAATCGACGGCGCTCGGAGCCGGGGATGCGGTCACAGAGGCGCGCGGAGGAGGTGGTGTTTCGATAACTTCTTCTTCCGTCGGAGCAGGCGGTAGGTTGTCTCGGACACGGATACGGGCGAATGCGTGTTGACCATTTGTTGGCATCGGGAGCAGCCGACCCCAACCTTGGCCAACATGCAGATCACCCTCATTGACGACGACACGGCCTCGCGCCACGACGAATCTCGGCGCTCCTCTGCATACGAGCTTCTCGTAGACGTTGAAGTCGGCGGCGCTGTGATGGCTGGCCGGCGTGAATTTCCTCACGAGTTGTGGGTCCCAAATCACGATATCGGCGTCGGAGCCGACAGCGATCCTGCCCTTTCGTGGGTATAGGTTGAAAATTTTTGCAGCGTTCGTCGAAGTTGCAGCGACGAACTGGCACGCGTCGATGCGTCCGCGATTGACGCCCATCTCCCAAAGAGTACACATGCGCTCTTCGACGCCATTACATCCATTAGGGATTTTTGTGAAATCCTTGTCACCCAGAGCCTTTTTCGGAGCTTCGAACGTACAATGATCGCTGCCAAGACAAGTCAGCGCTCCGCTCGCGACCATATTCACTATATAATCGCGAGTAGTGGGATCGTCCCGGATCGGTGGGCTCATGACATGTGCGGCTGCGTGTCTGAAGCAAGAGTGTCTCTGCTCGGCGCCATCGATTCCGATAGTTGCGCCGAGAGTTTCACCCCATACAACTTGTCCTTTGTTGCGACGGGCCGAAATTACGTCAGCGGCAGATTTTGACATGACATGAACCACATACAGGGGACAATTCACCTGTGGAGGATGGAACTTTGTATTTAAAGACTCCCGAGCAACAGTGGAATCTCATCTTCTCCTTTCCCCGCATTCGACTCTCCCGCTGGGGCTCAAGTGCGCGAGTGTCGGATAAGTACCTGATGAGCGAGGACGCAGGCACGGTTGGTGGCTTCGGCCTCGATTTCTTCATGACGAGACGCGAGATGTCCCTCGGGGGCCGTGACGCCTTCTTCGAGGAGCCGTTTCTGATTCTATAGAAAGCATTCTCAGTGAGATATAAGGGACAGTTCGAGGCTCGATACGATTTCCGTCTTTTCTTTTCACTCGGCCTGGGGAAGACCTGTCCCAGTCGGCTGTTTTTATCGTAGGCTTGGAGATACTGAAACTTGATCTTCCTCAGCGAGAATGACCCCGTGAAAAATTCCAGTCAGGAACTTCCTCGCAAAGTCTTCTTCCCCCTTTCTGTCGCTCAGAGAGAAGGAACGATTGTCGAATACAGCCCGGGGGGACTCATCCCTCATGCTAAGGCCACCCCGAAGAGAAACCCACGATCCTCCGAAGCAAAGATGCGGATCAGAGCTGGACAGAAATCCACCGTTCGAAAAATGAGTTGATTTGAATACCGGAGACAGGATGGAGCGAGTTCAAGGATACCGAAGCAGTTCTTATCTACGAGAAAGGCTCAAGGGCTCGAAGCGATGCAGGAAACTTACCTCCTCCTCATTATCTCCAGTAGGCTGCGCGAAGAGATACCGGAAAGTGAGACCTCTTAGACCCCAAGCATTTTTTCGTAAATCGGTTAGTATTGAGCAAACACAGCAAACCAGGAAGAGGCAGGAAGCTTTCCGACGAAGCGATAGATCTTGGCAAAGCACGATAAAGGGTGGTTCTTGAGATCATGACCCAAGTCCAGAATCAGGCTGACAGGACGAGCGTTTGACTTTCTAAATCCACCAATGAATGAGCGAGGCGAATGCACTACTTAGAAAATTCTTAAGAGCCGACATTGCCAGATGGGAGAGGAGGGGGGGGAAGAAAATTGAGATCGCGCACTCAACGAGCATTACTACGTACATCGTACGTTCATCGATTCGATGTTAGGAGTTAGAAACTTGAATTCGAACAAAACTCCTCGACATTACACGCATTTGATGAAGCCTGCATACCTCCTGGATGACATCTCCGTTTTCGGCATGGACTTGCGCGATGGCTCCGATTTGAGCGCATTTCTTCATTCCACGAATCAATTCCGCATCGGAGAGTTGCAGAGAGTCCTAGGAGAGCACTCGATGTATGTTTACTCAGCTCAATTGCGGCATATTCGACTAGTAAGATCCATAGTGATTTCGCAACGAGGATCCTGCGATATCGGAGCGAAAATCTCGGAGGATTCCGGGGCGTCAGCTGCTGAAGAGCAGAACTTACTTTATAAGCCATGAACATTTTAAATGAGTTCACGCCCTTCTTGGTGAGTTCTTCCATCTCGTCCTCGACCTGCTCATTCATTTCATTGAGAACTACGTGGAATCCGTAATCACAGCATGCTTTATCTTTAGCACGGGCCGTGTAGTCATCGAATGCTTCAGTCAAAGTCATTCCGGGCTCGCGTTTACTGACAAAGTCGACTGAAAAAAACATCAAGCTGTCAATCGTGTGCTCACTGAGGCGGGATGCATAGAATAGAATTCACGTGAATCCGCAACAACAGCTCTACACTCACGAATCGTTGTAGTTCCGCCAGCCAGAGCCGCTTTGGTGCCTGTATAGAAGTCATCGGCAGTCCTGCAGCCCATGAAATAGAACTCCATGTGAGTGTGCGGGTCCACACCTCCGGGAAGGCAGAGCAACCCTTTGGCATCGATGGTCTCGCATCCTCCTGGGGCGAGAATGTCCTTGCCAACTTGTCTGTGAAAAGGAAATTCCGGATGAGTTGGGCGTAGAGAATTGCGCGTTCGACGAGGGATGGGGAAAAGTGATTAATGAGAAGTCCTCGCTTATCCGCGGGCTCTCCCTCCCAGGAATTAATCTCGATAGGCTCAAGGAAGGAATCGACCGAGCTCTGACTCGATAGCGCTGAGGCAGTCTTCTCCTCTTCTTGTACGCTCCTTGTGCGGTCAGATGCCTCGCAATCAACGATGGCTCTCATGAGTCATCCTTGCTCCACAAGGTACGTGCGAGCACATTAAATTTGCCACTATGGACACCATGCCACGGCGAACGTGTCGTGGCTGTCAGTTCCGAGCGATGACGTTGGCGGCTCTATTCTACGCTCGTCGACTGGGACCGGGTTCAGGGTCGATCCGTGGAGCCGTGAGTCGCCAAACTCCCCAAAGACACTTTTCGCATGAATATCGAGCGACAAATTCCTTCATCGCTCACCATGGATTCGATTAGCGGAGAAGAGGGTCCAAAAGATTTTCCGGAGCCTACTGTCGTCACATCGACTCGAGCGGAACTCAAAAGAGACTTTCCAGCTTCGTTGTGCCTTGCCTTCAATTTTCTCGCGCATCAGTGCCGGTGACCGAAATCCTTGGTCCGGAAAAGCTCATCCTGCATATGGGCGGAGTTCCAGCCCTCCCATTCGTAAAGCTATCGCAGCGGAATCATCTGGCCGATCCACCTGATTCAAATCCAAGTTGTTTTGGCGTTATCTGCGACCAGGTGCTCGCCGGCCTTGGCCTAGCAAAACGAAGCACCTACACACAAATGTGTCCGTCACCGGCTCGCGTGATGATCCCTTCTGAGAACAAAGTGGAAGAAATTCAAGACAATATTTGCTCGAGAAACACGGTGTCTAAGGTAAACAGATCAGGTAGTCAGTGTTGTCGAGTTGTTTTTTTTTATCGCCGTGGAACAACTTGGGAGGAACCGACTGAGGCCCCTCGCAGGAGAGTCGGAGCCAGAGCCGAAGCCAAAAGACAAAGCCGGCTTCCCACGACTGTGAACGCAATCTGTGGCTGCTCAGCGAGCCACTCCCGAGATAGAACACTGCGACAAGCCACTGCTGGAATTCAGTGCTTCGTACAGTACCCGACCTGCTTCTTCTGTTTTCTTATGCGTGGCGATACTTTTCGGACAATTCTCGCGTAGCCCGACGACAGCCCACGGTCTAATACAGAACCCACTGCAATCGATGACTGGGAGATGTTTTTCAAACGAGCAAGTGGGCTTTTCACTCGGTATCCCACCGGATTCCACATACGGTCGCAGTAGGACGCGAAGAGAGCAAAGGAGCGATTCTCTTTGGGACATTCATACGGGCGCTGAACAGGCGGATCAATAGGACCGGGCTGTGAATCTAGTCTCCCCGGATCATCCCTAGGACCGTCACAGATCCGCAGACAAAACCGTCCCTCGGCCGGATGGAACACGAGGTCCATCCAGCTCGAGCCAGGCTGGAAAGCATCCTGTTGGTATTTTTTTTAATAGAAATTCCGAACCGACAAGACCGTCCACCTTCGTCAGCTGCACGGAGGGTAGCCTTGTGAGAGAAGCACTCGATCCACAACGGCAATCGCGGAGACAATGACGGAGATTCGAGAATCAGCTCGAAACGGGAATTCATAGATGGCGGAATGGGGGACGCGCAATGGATCCGGACGAGGCGCGGTGGCGAATACGCAGCGGCGAACTCAGCGAGAAGTCACCGTCTTTCCTTTGACAATTGCGAATGAAACATTGCTAGCAGCTGAAAATCACCTGATGATCCCGTCTTCAATGAAGATTTCCCCTTCAGTGATGGCGTCATCGTTGACGATCTTCGCATTCTTGATGAGCAACTTCACGTGACCCAGACGAGACGGAGCCTGTAAACGTAACGATATTCATTATCAATGAAACCTTCTACACACACAATCGAAGAATAAAAGTTCCTCTCGAAGATGCAACTGTGGGAGCGGCCCTTCGCCGGAGGGATGAGCAACGACCATTTACTATCGACTGCTATCGGTTCCAGGAGCCCTCCGGAGCAGGAAGCAATTGGCAGTCGAGTTTTGAATAAGTGGGCATTCGGAAAATGATGAAACTACTTCCTAGGCGGGGTATGCGTTCTTCTCTCACGGTGCATCAAGTTTAAATCACCCCTCGATAGGAGCTGAATTTCAATACGTTATCACCCTCGATGAATTTCGAGCTGGGTCCTGGATTGTTCCATTCTCTGGCTCTTGCAACAGTATGAGTCACCTAGAACGTCGCTGCTTCCAGGGACGTTCGGTTTCTCCATGTCCAGCCGGACAGCGTGACTCTCATTTCTCTTCGAATGACCAAACCGAGGACCGAGACCTAGTAGCGCACGACTGTAACATCGTGATGATTTTAAATTGTTGTCTGAGCACAAAGCTGCCCGAAACGACCATATGACCCGACCGAACGCCTAACTGCGTGGCAGTAGAGAAAGTATGTGCAGTGGGCATTAAATTCGCCAATAGCCAAAACGGCGATCATCGGCTGACGAATCGATCTCATCATCGGTGGGTCCGCTACTTGTGGGCCAGAGCGGCAGAGCGGAAACTCACAGACATCGTAATCGATCTGATTACGGTACCGGTCGGGTGCGACACTTTCTCAACGATGGAACCTTGGCTGGACAGGGCAGTCGCTACTAAGATACAAAGACACGGAAGTTCGGATCTCTTCGAGAATTCCTTGCAGCATCATTATATTGTCCAAAGTTCCACGGTGGGAACAGGGTGGAAGAGCTCTGTGAAACCACAGGATCCGCGGCAGATTTTTTTTATAGTTTTTCTGATATGGTTTGCTTGGGAAACAGTGGTCTGTGACACCAAAGGCAGTGCTTCGTCTGGTCTGAAAACCGACCCGCTCCAATCCAATGGCTCATTTTACGAACTCGCTGTTTCTCTCTGAAGCTCTTCCCTGAGATTCATTTGAGCTCTTTCGAATCGGAATCATGCATTAGCGATGCGCATCTCCCGGGATCCATTTCCTGTCGATGCTAGCACCCGAAGATTTACTTCTAAGAACGAAGCATAGACTTTCAAATAGTTGTCGGGCATGAGCCTCTTTCGGAGATCTCAAGAACCAAGAATCATCGATTATTATCATCATCCATGAACCGTGTGGCTGGATTCTGCCCCGCGCCAGGCGAAAGAGAACACGGCAGGCGGCAGAAAAGAGAAAACATCCACTTTCCGCTGCGCTAATTTATTCGTGGCCACCTAGGACCTCTCCGAGGAGCGGAGGCCGCCGTCGCCGCCGTATGCAGATGAGTAAATATCGACTCAGACGTGTTTCCGCTCAGTCAGAGCGATCCAAGCCCGATGAGGAAAAAGGCGAAGTCTCCTTATCAGTGCTCGCGATGGTGAAGATGACGCTACTAAAGCAGATGAGGATGATGATGAAGCTGATGATACAGCTTCGAATGGACATTGTCACTCACGGAAGCGAGTGTTGTCATTAGTTCGTCGGTACGTAGACAACGACGACCGCGAGTCCGATGATGACTTCCCGCAACGTAACCGCTACCCGCCCGCTCGCCCGGAGCCCAGCCGCCGGCAGAACCGGCAAGTCACGGGTCAGATAGCGCTCTGAATGGCGCACCGCCACTAAAGAACAGCATCATCGTCAGCGACGACTGCAACAACGAAAGCAGCAACAACAACAACAACGGACCACATTAAGTGTGTCTCCGTTTTGCCTCCATGCGATGTTCCCCCCCGCGGCAAGTTTGCCAAGCAGCCGACCAAGACTAGCCAGTCGAATCGACCCTCCCTAAACTTCTTCTTCGGTTTAAATTCCGATCGCTCCAGATGAGCGCTCTCATCGCCGCATGACGATCGGAGTAAAATTTTTTCCCGAGACCGGGACATGGTTTCTCCATGGTCGAATGGATGGCCGTGCTCGCCTCTGGTTGCGTCAGCGGCGATGATATCCGAAAAAATCGAGCTACACGGTTCACGGATACTTTCCACGGAGTTTGCCCGACCCGGCACTCCAGGCGAGCAGAACGACAAATTGAAAATCGGCCTTGAAGGAAACAGCGGATCGCCGTGGCATCTCCAACAACCGTCAGCAAATCCGTTGAAGATCGACTGCGGAGCGAAACGTATCGTCGCTATGAGCGCTCAGACGCACGAGCGCTCTGCTTGCCGCCGCCGCCGCTTGGTCAGTCAGAGAAAAAAGCCCGCCGACGTTCGCCGCTTTCCCGGCTCGATTGTTCTAACTTAGAAAAGTAGCGAAAAAAGAGCGAGAGAAACTTGGGGGATAACGGCCCACGAGCGGAAAGGAAGCTTTCGAGTCGGACAGCTCTCAACGCGACCGCCGAACGCAAAGAAAAAATTGCAGCTTTCTAAATGGAACGAGTAAAAAATACTCAGCCCGAGAGAATCCGGGGCGCTCACAACAGAAATATCATTTGAAGGGAGCGGGAGCCAGCTGTGTTTGACAAGAGGTTTTTGTCGTGTAGAGCTTCTCAAGCTCCAGAAGTTAGCTCGGAAGTTCTTCGCGGGACCGGAAAACGCGACGACTATGAGTCACGATGTTTTTCGTCCTGATCGTAGTGAAGCTCTTCCTGGAGGCGATGGAATGAACGCGCTGATTGTCTGCACCATATGCGTCGCGCTCTAGGAGCTCTTCGTCGATCATTGTGCTTCTGTCAGCACTCGAGGGAATCTCAAGAATTCGTAACAGATGCGATCGAGAGAGGAGACGCTCCCGACTCGCGAGATAAGTTCTCCGAGCATCTCATGGGAGCTCATTTCCGTTCGATCAGCTGGATTCGATCGAGAACAATCATCTGATCAATCAGAAGCAGCCAACAAGTTGTTCATTCTACGCTGACGCGCTCTCGTTCATTGTCGCGATTGACTCTAATGACAGACGCCGCTCAGCTGTCTCTGGGTAGAACTCTTTAGGCGCAAAGTACGAAGCTTTATATGACCTCGTGATTGAGACATGATGAGCAAGACTCTTTTCCCTGCGGAGTGCGGCAGAGATTGCGATTTGGCAATTTGCGCTGCCTGAAACAATGACAGGCCAAAGTTGCCCGACTCGAGGTTCACGCCCTGACCCCACCCGCGCCGCATCCGTTGAGGAAATCCCGATCGCTTACCATGCTGCGACGAGATTCGCTGTGGATAGAGACGAAGAGAAGAACGGTTCGCCTTCACACGAGGGCACTGGGGTAACGTTTGAGACAATTTTCAAAATGTTCACTGGATCCCTAGCCGGGGACTCACAGTTCTGCGACTACTACGGACTCTCCACCACCAACGATTCGCGCGCTAGAGCAATGTACCCGCGACACCCCGCCGAGCTACTGCACCGTCCGGTGAGAGGGAAATTAAGAGAGGTGGGAGATGGAGAAACGAACGGAAAACATGAGAGGATGAGAATGAGAAAGCGCGCACGGCTACCCTCAAGGTTTTCGGTAGTTTCAAGTAGGTTTTCGGTCTGGGACTTCTCTCGTCGGAAGTACAAGTCCCAATTTTATAAGCGGATAATTCCTAATTTCCACAGCAGAGTCCCTCAGCATCGAGCATCAGCCCGGGATGGCTCAAACTGGAGAATCTCATGTATCATACGTATGTGTAGCTGGGAATTAACGACTGATTTCAGCAGGGGATATCAAGAGAGCAGAGATTGTGAGCCTTGCGCCACCCCGCAGTCAGGCGCATCTCCATCGCGACTGCGGGCACTGGACCTTGCCTATTCTACCGACTTGCCAGCCCCGCAGTCTGGCGAGAACTCGAAACTCGCAACCGCACCCGATGCGCACATATTCGCAACGTTCGAACCGATAGCCTCTCGGAGTCGACTTCGACCAGCCATTCTTCACCCCTGGAAATGTTCAGTGCGTACTCGTATCCAATAGATATCGTGTCCGGCGAATCGATTCTTAGCTTCGGAAAGGCATGCAGAGAACTTGAATCGTCTAGAACGGCCTGTCGCATTCGGGTAGCGTACATCCATTGAGAATCTACCGAAAATGAGAGCTACTCGCGAGAGATTCCGATTGAGAGTGATCAAGGCTGTTTACAAGAGCAAAACGCTTCCTGGTGACGACGGTCGCTCGAGTCTATGCTCGGCCCCGAGAATCCTGTCGTCCTAAGAAAAGCCCCGATTGGTCCAGCCCGATCCAGTGTGATCTTACGACATTTGAGGCTATCATCGGCTCACTGATTCGATTCGTTCCGAATTGATTGAAGGCGATGTGAGAACCCTTCGATTTGAGTTTTGCGGTCAGGGAAGGATCCGCCCGGAATCATTCATTTGATGAGCAAAGATCACTATTCTCATTGCCATGACTCAGCCCTGATCAAGCGATTCCTCATTCTCGAATTTCAGCCTCATCATCCCCCAACGACTGCCGCAATTGTTGACTTCATGCTCCCTCAACAGTACGAACAACTGAGACGAAAAAATTATATGCGAGGCTTGAGCCACAAGAGAATAATTCTCTAACACGATTCGAGCAGTGAAACTTCACTATCTGTTGCCGGTACAGCGATTGCATCGCCATCGCAGATCGCAGCGCCACCCCTGTTTATGAACAGCGGCGTCGTCTGGTATCGAAACTACTCGAAGCGCGGTCCCTTGAGCCAGCGAATCGTTGCTTGTCCGTTTGGACCGAAGCTAGAATTTGAAAATTTTTGGTGATTTCAAAGCTGTTCCAAGATGACGCGGGACATCTACTACAGTGAACGTTACTACGACGAAACTTATGAATACCGTCATGTTGTACTGCCGAAGGATATCGCTGCCAAAGTCCCTAAAACTCATCTCATGTCGGAAACGGAATGGAGAAACATCGGCGTCCAACAAAGTCCAGGTTGGATCCATTATATGATACATGAGCCGGAGCCACACATTCTTTGCTTCCGTCGACCTTTGCCGAAAGAAGGAGCTCCGCCGGCCACTCAGGAGGAACAAGTTCGCCGTGATATGCTCGAAAGCTACTAAGGAAAGAACAACTCGACCCCGACGGACCGATGCCTGACTTGCGTTTCATTTTTTCTTCCCAATAAATTCTTTTCCTTCGCTTGCCCATCATGGATCGATTCGCTAACGTCATAATCCTATATGGGAGCCTCATCCTCATCGACATCTACGACGCATTTCCGCAATTTATACCTTGGGCAGGATCCTCGTTGTCGTCACTGCGGCTCGGACGTGTACTACGGTATCGGCAAGCCGCCGTGAGTTGTTAGGAATGTTACTCCTCCTATCCATTTCCATGCCCCATCTGTGAAAGCTCTCAGGTCCACGAATCTGTTGACGAAGCCATCTCTAATCCAAGCCGTTATGAAGAGCGCAGATATTAGGCCAACAAAGAAAATCTGATCGAGCAGAAGACCAACATCATCTGAAACTCAGCATCCGACCTCAAATCTATGTTCACCGCTCTCTGGATGTGTTTTACGTTTAATCATGAACATGGTCGAACTTCGATTACCTCGCCTCCGCTCGGCACCCGGAAGAGAAGAGAAAAACGATACTAATAGGTATGCCTTGTTGAACGACTTCACAGTTCGAAGCTCGAGTGTGATCTGGCTTTGGCTCTCGCAAGCATTTCAGCCGCCGAACAAATGTATGTTGATAAAACAAAAACACGCGGACACTGATCGATCGTCGAAATAAAGCTTAAAACCGTAAAAAAATACGTCTTGTTCTCACTATCGCTATCTCGGGTTAGACAGGGACAGCGACCTCGCAAGCCGCCGATGTCCGAAATCTCGGGGTCTCTGGGGTTGTAGAATATTCGCGAGAAACTCGTGTCTTGTGAATGATCCACGCGCATGATGCAGCATTTCTTCGCGCTGCTCAGGGGGTCTCGGTTCCGGCAGTGGAAACGAACCCCGAGCGGACAGCTGTTTTCTTATGCGATGCGTGCTGTTGTCTCGCCCATGACGGCCCCTCTAGGAATGATTCAGTAGTGGTGACGATGATGATAGCATGAGGAGGTTCGGCGGCTCAAACAAACGTCTTTTTCGTTGTTGGGGGCTCGTCTCAACGCGGAGTTGTTTCTAGACCTTTAATAGCAGCTGGTGTTTCCCTCGAGCTGCTGGTGAAGCCAGATGGTTCTTTCTATTGGGCCTCGATCGTCATGCACTGAGAGGGTTCTCCGCGAGCTCAATCGGGTTTCAGCTTTTTTTTTCAGGATGTCGAATGGCGACCGACGTAGCCAAGTGGGGGACCTTCATAGATCGCAACGATCGGCGTGGAGTGCCCAGCCGAGATGCTCCGGAGTCGCCGTTGCCGAATCCAACTTTCTGCTGCCGCTGACACGACGTACTTTTGAAGTGAATGTTGGTTGGCTTGCAGAAAGTCATCATAGCCGATCCCGTTGTTTTCTCAATCGACTCTCGGAAAAGCAGTCCCGCTTGGAAGTCTGATCGTCGTTCAAAAGAAAATCACAGCGATGCCGCGCCGTTGTGAACGATCTCGATGGAAGGGTTCAGTTTTCATCCGGGTAGGTCATCTGTGAGAAGAAGAGAGCGATGGATGCGGCCCCGGCGCGGAACCAAGAAAGCGTCAGGTGCGTGGAGTTCATTGCACCGCTATAGATTACCGAGATCGCGCGGCCTTATAAAGATCGTAAAACAGAGAAAGATTATTCACGGCTGCGATGGAAGTCGCTGAGATTCGGAAACGCTCCCATGGATGACCTGGGGACGGGCAGGGGCCCATACGGGATTTTTTGTGGGAGCAAAAGTATGTCTTTGAGGAGGCTGAGGATCCAAGATGGGAGCACTCGAATATACCTCACCATTGATGGGAGAAAATCATTTGGAAGGGGCGCCACATGCTTCCCTATTTGTGGAACGCCTAGTCTATATTCTCGTGGGTCCGCTCCGTGATGATTGGGACGTCACTGATGGCTTCATGGATCTTCGGGAGCCCTTCTTAACGACTCGAATGATCGGAGATGTTTGGGGGATCCATGGACCCCTCTGACCCCCTCCCCCTAGGTTCGCTACTGGTCAGGACGGACACTCGGAAGTTCAATCGGAAGCCTTGTAGTCTCGTGGTGGGAGCTCGAGAAGCCAGAGTCGAACGCGGAAAGGGGCCCGGCTGGAAGAAATAAGCTCAGCGAGGGCAAGCCCGAGAAAAGTGCGTTCCCACGTACGAACGCAGCCTCGGCCGGCCTAATCCTGCTTACGGTCTTGACGTCGTCCACCGTGGGTCCCCCAGAAAGCCCCGTGTCCAAGAATCCCGACCCTAGTCGAAGGCACATTGGCGATGGGGGAGCTAAGTCTTCGGCGAAGTCAACGAGGGACTGGCCTCGGCGAGCGTCCCGGCGTTCTGGTCAAGCGGGGACGGGGGAAGGGGGGACTCCCCCATCGATGCCGTCGAGACGGAAACTCGAAGAGGAGGGGGTGAACCAAAACAACACATATTGAACGATGGCGCAGGGCGTCCCCTAGACAGTCATGGATCCACCATGAATGATTACGCATAATTCACCGGCACGTTGTGTCAATTAATCATGAGGGAATGTTCTGACGGCTCTGTCGAGCACTGGAGGAGTGCTCCTGTAACAGTTCCTCGAAGTGTCGATCCGTGGGGATCTTGTCGATCAGGGCGATGGGCGATCACGGCGATGGGCGATCAGGGCGCCATGAATGATAAGGTTATAATGTTGTTTATTCGCGATTCATTCGTAGTTTCGTAGAACCTCACCAACGTTCCTGTGTCTGGCGCTCCGAGCGGCTCACAATGAGGGCACAAATCTTCTCTGCGATTCAACCATCGCGTTCAGCGTAGGAATCACTCCCTGACAGATGAGCATGGGTAGGTGAGGGTGGGGAGGCTGAGGGGAACCGTACTCAGCTAGAATCGGGCTAGACTCAAGTATGCGCTGGGTGTATCGATTCGGGAGAGACAACTTGAAATCATTCGTATGACTCGGCTGTAAGAGGCTTTGCAAATGTACCGAGAGCAGATGGAAGTTTCAGGGGCGGCGGCGTTCCTTGAGGGGAGGGACGCAGTGAGGGCGCTGGGTGCGCTGGAGAATCTCTCGCGATGGAGGTAGAAAACCGAAAGGTACGTAAAAAATATTGGGAATAAATCCGAGGGAGGAAAAGGTATGATTCGACTATCCGTTAGATTACCACACTGGTAGCACCTCCTTGTGACGAAAGGGCTCTCGGTGAACGAGGGAGGAAGCAAATTCATTTCATACTGCTACAGCCTCAGGCTTCTGCTACAGGAGGGGCTCTCGGCTCGCAAAGCATTGATCTCTGAGAATTATTGAAACTCCGCTTCGATGCCTTTCCCGGCTCCTTTTCTGCCAGATGAGAAGCCAAACGCAGATAAATGGAGACCTGACCCGGAGAGCAATGCGTATCCTTGGAGCGCATGGAATATCAACACATCCCCTGAGAGAGCCGACGAGTTGGGATGTGGGAGTCTTGTCACGAGGAGAACTAATCCTACGAGTCCAAGCTTCCCGGTCCTGCACCGAGGTTTCACTGCATGCGAACGTTCCTTCCACAATCTCTTCCCGAACACTGCGTCGAGTGTCTTGAACTAATTCACGAGATTTCATCTGCGGCCCGTATGAGAGATTATTCTCGCACTAATTGTGAGCGCTCGTCACTGGAGAAAGTCTCTGCCGGACTCCACGAAGCTCATCGATAGTAATCAGCTTGTTCCATTTCCGGGAGAGCAACCAAGCCATTCAATCCAATCTTCAAGTGACTCCACACTCGCTTCAAGCTCAACTTGCGACTTCGAATGCCGCATCCATCACGTTGAGTGCGTTCCCAGCTTCCACATAGGAATCCCGGAACTGTTTTCATGGAGCGACATCGAGGGAGAGCTTGTTCGACAATAATGATATCTGTCCTACCAATAAGCGAAACCGGAAAGGCCGATCGGCGCCGAAGCGACGGTGCGCCGTTAACTCGAATAAGGGTCTTCGGTCGAAAATCGGTCGTTACACTGCCATCAGCTCTGTCGGCAGTAGGGCTTAAGGGCTCATCGAAACGACCCGTTGGTAGAAGTTCATCCGAGAATGAATAGAGGTATAAGGTATTCGGCGGAGCTGCTGGAGCCGCAAAACCAAATGAGCTCCTGGAAAGATCTAGAAGCGTCAAGTCCAATTTTGTTGATTTCGACCGCTCGTTCATGATTGATGATAGGCTGATATATCTTTCAACCAAATGGTTTATTCCATCGCATTCCAAAAAGATTACAGTGCCGAGGTCTCGGATAGACATCGTGATGACTTCATCGAAGAGCTGGAACTTTTTCAGCCCATTTCATCGATCTGTTCCCCTGACGACAAGACGAGGTCGATATGTCACAAACGTAGTCACTGGGACAACAATGCGTTTTATCGCAGCAGCAGACTGCGTCCGCATACTGGCAACAGCCATAGGTCCCATTCCTCAGTATGCAACACGTTTGAGAATCGTCACAGGAACTGCCATCGGGACAATCGGCCGCTGCGAATGATACCGAGTGGTCAGGTTATGCGATGCCTTGTGGTGACACTGACAGGCAGAACTAGCGGGAACACTGCCCAATCATAGGATCAAGTAATGTCAACAGTGATGATTGTTCAATTGATTGATTGAACGGATCGGGCGACCGACTACCCAAGGGGGATAGGGACGTCTACCAGAGTGGTGAAGGAAATCCATTGAAAAATTCCACGATTCACGACGGTGAATCGTGAATCATCGCGATTTTCAGCGTTTGACTAACCTTCAACCGAGCGACAAGTGAAGGCCGTCACCGCAAGGCACAGGAGTACGAGCGACTTCATCTGGAAATGGAGTACGAAATTACAGGGGTCCAGAGACGCTGCCGACCGAGGTCGATTGCATTCCCGCAGTCGCAGGTTCGCCTGCTCGCGGATCCCCGGAGCGTGCTTTTCGGCCGCCAAGGAACCCTAGGCTCGACTCCTTACAGGTGCACTCCCATGATCCGAACAATGATCGCGGAACTGATTCCGCAGGGTGGGAATTCAGTCGAAATGATCAGTTTCTCGAGGGGAATGCGGCAATGGAAGAGATCGAATTACCCACCTTTCCTCGCTGCGGTTCGTCGGCTTTGGCGTGCCGTTGATGCGTCGAATCATTTTATCTGGAGACAAGTTTGGCAGTTAGCTGACGACGCGGAGAGCTGTCCATCACTCAACCATCTCCCAATCTGCATTGGATTTCAACAGCGTCACGGATCGAGAAATACCAATCTCACGAGAGCGGAATCGGCATCGCTAATGGGAATTTCGAACGAACAGGAGCGTGACAAGCTGCCAAATTCGACGAGATAATTCAGCTCTCTACAATGATTTCCGATGAATCAACGAGTGTTCTAGGGAGAACGATCCGAGAGATAATCATGCGAACGTCAAGTCGATTTTGAGGAACCTTACGATGAATAATCATTGGCGTCGAGTGAGTCGGACGCGTGGAAAATACCGATCATCTGCATTCGTCGACTACATTCTGACGACGTTTTATTATCTGGCAGGGAACATGTACAATAAAGTAATCGTCTTCCATTTTCAGGCACGAAAAGCAAGCTTCCGTTCCTCAATCCGAAACCTCAAACACTGTACCACTTTGAAAGAATCTATGATCTAAATGAGAAGAAGGTCGTGAATGGCGTCCGCTCGGAAGCCCATGGTGTCGAGCAATTCTACGAACTCCGACATTGCAATGAAAAGCTTCTCATTCAAGGTATTCATCCAGTCGCCCTCGCTGAAAACGTCTCCGGCCTCGAGAGCCGACGGGTCCACCAGGGTCAGACCTCTATCCAAAGAGAGTTTGGCCAAGTCCTCTCGAGGAATGAATCTTTGATGATCCCAACGTAGGAGCCTGAAGGCGAAGTTCGGGTCGGCCCTCGACTTGACGATACCGACGACTTCTTCATCGCCGAAGGAAACGTATGTTCGAGGATATCCCTCGGTCGATGTCTCCGTAGTCTTCACAATCTGGGAATTAGAAGTCAAGCTTTGGCGTGAAACTAGTGCGTATTGATGAAAAGCACCTCGAGACCACCCCCACATTTATCGACAACACAGAGGAGGTGAACTCACTGTCAATTTAATGTTTTCCCCGACAGGTGGACATCTCCCAATTGGAATAACATTCAGAACTGGTTGTGGAGGTCCAGAAAGGAGCTGCTCTGCTCGACAAGGTCGGAACTTCTGCAGGTCGGGGAGGAAAACCTGCCAGTGGCCTACTCGGGAGACAGCCACTTGAGCGATCGCGTTCAACTTGTGACCATCATTACAATCTGAGAACAAGAGGAAATTATGAGATTTTGCGATTGCCCCTCCAGTCCCGTCGGTGGTCAGATCACCTCTGCCAGCGTCCATTCGAGGGAGGGAGGTTCCCATGCAGCCAATTACGAGAAGCGTTAGATCGAGGTGATTGACCAACTGGGAACTTACAGACATATTGTCCTTGGGGAACGATTTCCGTCCGGACGTATTGAGAGTCGGGCGGACTCCAGTCCGTAACAAAGCTACAGGATCCATCTTGGCTGTAACAGAGAATCTTGCCCGTCGTCGAGTACCCCTGGCACAAGGGGCCTCCAGCGATGTAATTACTCCAGAGCTCGTCGTTCATGAGCTGCGACTCAACCCCGGATGAGCGTACGTAATCGAAAGTTCTCAGCCGCACCGGCGAGAACAAGGACACGTCTGAGTTTGGTGCGACTTTGACCAGACCCAGCGTGCTCAGTTTCTCCACAAGAGCTTCCACGCCATCGATCGGATCGATCCTTCTCTGGAAGGTCGCCTCGAAGTCCTCGAGCAGCTGGTCGAGCGGGACCTTCGGTTTGCTCCATAGCAATTGCATTACGTCGACGATATCCGTGACGGAGAGACCACAGATACCTTCCAGGACACGGTCGTCGGAATCCTCTTCGGAATAATCAGGAGCGACCTCGAGGCCTGTCTGCCCAGGGTCGGCTGATGTCTGGTCGGCCATGCCCTGGATTGTCACCTTGAGGGTCTCCGACACCGGGGCGCCGAAATCGTGCGGCGGAACAGGGATTGTCAGCTGATTCTGAGTCGGCGGAGTGTCCTGCGAAACGGCGACGGAACGCGTCGCCGTCGCGATCGGAAGATGGTACCCGTTCGGGGTGGCTAGGACGCGATGCTGAGGTCTCAAGTAAACTCTTCCGCTGTCCGCACCGATCACCAGACATTCATCCATTGAGAATAACCAATCGAGAAAAGTCTGCGTATCGATGGCTCCGTAATTATATTCGTAAGCTCGACGTAAAGCGGTGACGGAAGTACTCTCGGGATTCTTCATCATCATCCTGATGAGGAATTGCTTTTTTTCGGACGTGAGCTCCCTCGCGACTTCTTTGGGAGCAGCTTCCACCGGTTGGAGAGGTGGTCGTTTCGGCTCCGCCGCGGACGCCTCGGGGCTGCATCGAGGCTCCATGAACCTCGCGATCGAACTCCCCATCGTGGCGTTGAGACGAAGGCTCGGGTCCGGAGTAGGTAGTAGAGGCGACTTTCTTGCCTTGGACGGACTACTTCCCGGTACAGGGATCGATTGGGTGCTCGGGGCTGGTAGCGAGACCGCAGGTGCATACGTCGTTGTGTGCTGCGTGAACGCTGCCGATTGTACCTCAGCGAGGTTTGAGCTTCGACTCGTGGGAGCGCTTCGATTCACTCGAATTTCCGATTGTGCGCAACTTCTCTGGGCGCCGGACAAGGCTTTTTGTACCGAGGCTCTTAGGGCGGATAACTCGGCTAGTGGCACCGAGCTCTTGTAGTGGTTGAGATTAACGTGACTGAGTGCTTCGATGTGCTTCAAGTTCTTACCGCACGACAATATAGCGAACTTATTCGAAGTCGCTAACCATGCGACGAGTTTCCCTTTGGGCGCGGGAAGTGGAGCCTGGTACGCTCGCTTGTACAAGGACGTCAATTCGCTCAATAAGATTCTGTGACCGGGTTTCTTCGCCAAGAGACGCAAAATGTTCTCTTCGACAACCTGCGTGATCTTGTAGGCTACCTGAAATTCGAGATCGGAGCGTGAATTGACGGAGGTACGCCGATTTTACGAGTCCTGGTCTCTATAGGTGGACTCTCCCCGCAGCGGTCTACGGCGGCTCGTTGTTGACGACACTGCGGCGGAATATAGGAACGGAAAGCACATTCTGCAGCTTGTCTAGGGTTCCGGAATCGCACATTGCGGAGCTTGAATTCACGTGGAGAGAAGCCAAGTTTCTATTCAACTCACTTTTTTTGATCCGTCGCTCCTCTGGTTTTCTACAAAGTCACGTATGTGTTTCACTTCATCACTCACGACAGGCAACACTTGTGCCGTCCCTCCCGAATGGACTACTCGGACGCAATCGGGGCATTTATTGAGGAACTCGATCAACGACTTGAAACCGAGCTCCTTGAACGGGATGAACTCGTTTTCCATCATTTTGTACTCGGCCTCCAACTGGCCCAGCGAGAGAGCGTTCTCGCTGGCCGTGAGAATCGAGCTGATGAGGATCTTCGTCTCTTCCAGGTCGGCCGGCATGATGACACGTGCTGCAAACCCGATGAAATCAAGTCATCCGTACCGATTTCCCGCGGGAGAAAACGAGGCTCGGGATATCGATCCTTTCGCACACTGGCGCAACAAGTGTTCGTGTGCAGACGGACAACCTCGGCGCAAGATTGCACTGCCTTGAGCCTACCTGTTTCGAGGCCGGATCGGTCGAACGATTTTCTCCTATCCAGAGGCTCCGTTCACGCGGAGGAGATTGTGAAACTAGCACGTTCCGTTTTTGTTTTCGAATACTCGCAGCTCGTCGTCTCTCCAACGACTGTTCTCCCTCTTCGCCGCGCCGGAAGCGGAAGTAGAATATTCGAATTTCAAAAGACGTTCATCCGGTACTCCGCGGTGGGTTCCTGGAGGACGAGAACAGGAGAGTCATGACGCGACTACGAAATGTGAGCCGCAGCGTATATCGCTTAACACACTATCGATCAATGTGCGGTCAAGCGTGAGCATATTGTGACGTCGCGCTCTCCGTGGGATGACTGAGAGATGCGAAGAGAGATCGATACGAGCCGCTAGGAAACAAAAGCCGCGCATCGTAAGATCTTCCGTGTTTATCGCTGCGCTGAATTCCCGGGGCAGGATTCGTCATCGTCGATGTGTGGCCCCACGCCCAGTGTCAACAAGTCCCACGAAGAGGCAGCAGATCGAATATCTGTTTCCAGGTCGTTTGTCGTTGTTGAGGCTGAAAAACTTTTCTCTCGATCGACGGCTCGGCTGCCATTAAACTCCTTTCGCTTACATCGCGGATTATCGAGTACAAAATTATGGAAAACGAGTACATCCCGGATAATCTGATTATTATGAATGAAAAGCTTCAGTTCTTTTGTCTCCGGAAGGATACGACGCGAGATCGGAGAGCGTCACAAGATCTCTTCGCGCACATGCCAGCGCGTCGATAAGGGATGCAAAATTCAATATAGCTCCCGGAGAGTTCTGAGACGACGAGGAGACCTGAGAGGGGAAGGCTTCGCCAGGTGATCGCGAAAGCCTTCGTTTCAGACCACGAAGTAGATATTCTTGAACGCAAAATGTGCGTCTCTTTGGATCTGCCGGTTTCACCGAACGCTTCCGATTGGGAAATTTCTTCTTCAATTCGAAGAGCTCGCCAGAGATAATAAGCCCTACGCCGGAAGGGTCCGGCGATTTGCGATCGGCCTAGACGTGGGATAATTAATGTCTGAGCCTCTCCTTCCCTTGAACTGAGTTGGCCGATGAACGAATGAGATTGCACCGTAGAAGTTCGAATATTTGCCGCCATGCCGACGGCAAGGGGAAACGACTCTCTCCACATTCGGAGCTCCAAGCGGCAGTTCCTTTCACTTAACGAACACGTTGTCTGTGGGAAACCATTATTTCTCGATAAGTACGAAAGGTGGAATAATGTCTGAACTTCCCGAAGGTGAGCTCCGTACCTTGTGCGAACGATAATCGTAGTACAGCTGAGTGGAAAACTGCGGACACGTCCCATTGTGAATCCTTCGACTATACTTCCCTCTGAGGGGAGTTCGTCCCGTCCGCGAAGGTTGGCAATAGACGCGCATCCCGGCGGTCTTGATCCAGGACTGCCAACTCCCAATGGCAATCTCCCGATTATACCGGACATCTGGGATTCCATCGGGTTTCCGGGTTGCCTCCCGACATCATATTCGATATCCGAATCACCTGATCGGCACCGGTGTCTGCAGGGGATTCGGGCGCTGACTGTCGAGCGGAGGAGGAACTCTAATTATGTGCGCAGACCCCCGCCACAATTCCAGGGCGCTTCCTTGACGTCCAATCTTCCACGAGCATCGACCCGAGGGAGATGTCACATGGCCGAATCATTGTCAGTTTACAATGTCCCGGCAAAGACTATCTCCCGTTTTATCTTCGACGTTTCATTCCCTCGACTAGGTCTCACCTACATAAGCGGAATTTGAAGAATAGCAGCTGCGGTGGTCAAGAGCTTTCGCTTGAATTCGGGGACCCGTAGACGTCTTACGTGTTATTATCGAGCGTTAGGGAATGCATGGTCATTGATAGCCTCATCCCGTTGAGCGATATCGATCTCTTGTCACATCTCTCGGCGCGTAAGACGTGTGCGCCGTTCATGGTCTGCCCTTGGCTTCGATAGGATATCGTGTGATTCCATTCTCGTCAGCCTACGATGAGAATCGGTGAACGATGATCGACCGATCAATCAATCATTCCTTCCTTAATTTATGAAATTCGATCGCCTTCCTTCATCTTCCAGGCGTTCTCTTCTGTATGGGGAATCCTCTCCTGGACATCAGCGCCGAGGTGGATAAATCATTTTTGGAAAGGTTCGGACTCAAGGTATGGAGACTCGGGATCGGCGTAATCAGAAAGATCCAAATCCCGGGAAGTGATCTTTGAATGATTTTCGGACCGTGGGTGGAGATGTTTGGAGCGCTCATCGTCCAAGAGACGTTATTCCAGGCAAACGATGCAATTCTGGCCGAAGAGAAGCATGTTCCCATGTACAGGGAATTGCAAGGCAAGACAGACGTAGACTACGTTGCCGGTGGAGCTACTCAGAACACCTGCAGGGTTTTCCAATGGTAGACATAGTTCAGTCGTTCGTTTTATTCCGAAACTTGCTTTTACAACCCTTGCACGAGGCCTCGGGTTAAATAACGGCATTTTCGAACCTCAGGGTCGTCCGCCAGAGGGATCGTTGTGTTTACATGGGCTGCATCGGGAAGGATGAGTTTGGGAATATCCTGGCGGAGAAAGCTCGTGAAGCCGGCGTCAACGTCCGCTACCAGATCAATGAGACTACTCCTACCGGTGCGTCTACTGAGGAAGATTTTCGCGAAAAAATCATACAATATGCATATGTTTCTGGAATTGAGACCTTCATCAACCTCTTCATCTCTCAGCGTGAACTCGCGCTCCTAATAGACCAATTCCGGAGCATCGACTATCTCGTGCCTTTCAGGAACTTGTGCCGTTCTGTTGACCGACGGTGGAACTCATCGATCGCTATGCGCCAATTTGGCTGCCGCGAATTGTTTCACTTTAGATCATCTCCTCAAAGAGGACAATTTGAAGCTCATGGAAAACGCTCAGTATTACTATATATCTGGATTCTTCTTGACAGGTCCGCATTTCCACTCTTCTTTCCCTCTTTCAAATCCCCACAATCTGATCTCCTGCAAACCCCAAGATTTGAACACATCAGAGCTGTCCCTCGGCTTCCTGACCTGTCCGATGAAGTCGAGGAACGGTTATAATATTGATTGTGATGTCCACAGTGAGCGTGGACTCTATGCTTCATGTTGGGAAACACGCCACCGCCAAGGGCAAGCCGTTCTGCATGAATCTGTCTGCACCGTTCCTTTGTGGAGTATTCTCGACGCAGATGATGTCGGTGATGCCCTACGTCGACATACTTTTCGGTGAGTTTTCCGCTATTCGCTGTCGATCACTCTGGGGGCTCTTCTCCCGAATGAGTGACTCACGTCCCTCCGATGGCGAAGGAGTCGTTCAATCATTGGGTTTCAAGATTCGTTGTACAAACTGTTCGCGTATCTGGAGTGACCTCTGGAACGGTTTCCATTCGAAGGCAACGAGAGCGAGGCGGCGGAGCTAGCGAAAGCCCAGGGTTGGCCTAGCGACTGCACGAAGGAAATTGCCAAGCGTGCAGAGAAGCTGCCCAAGGAATCCGGATCCCGGTTGGTTGTCTTCACGCAGGGTTGCGATCCTGTCATTGTTATACAGAACGGTGGGTATTCCGGACCCAGATAGGGTCGATGCGTCCCAGAATTGAAGATTTCGGCTCGATTCCCTCGAGAGTTCGTGGCGTCTCATAGACTGGTGTTTCGTTCGCAGGTGCGGTAACGGAGTACCCTGTCGAAAGAATTCCCAAGGAGGACATCATAGATACCAACGGAGCCGGAGATTCCTTCGTGGGAGGCTTCCTGGCTGGATACGTCCAGGTTCGTTGAAGCGCGATATCCTTGTCGATAACCAACGGAGCTGGGATTCCGGGAACAGAGCTCTCTGAAACTGGTATTATTTTCCGCAGAAAAAACCATCGCCGAGTGCGTGGCTCTCGGGGTCAAGTGCGCAAGTATGATGATCCGACAATCGGGATGCTCATTGCCAGACCGCAAATCATACGAAAACGCTCTTGGCTTCTGAGAGCTCATCCTGTGAGTGTCTGACGGGAAAAGGGATCGATGCGAATTTTGTAAGCTTCTGACTCCGCATTCTCGAAGCGTCAGCACATCGGGACCCAGAAACTTGCACAAGGAGACTGCATCTGTTTTACTTACCACCGGCACGGCTGTTGCTCAAATCGCTTCGATTCGGGATTGGTTGGGTGTTATTCGTCACCTTGCCCTAGCGGGAGTATTCGACGGGTCGGAGGAGAGATATAAAGAAAGTTTTCTACGATAATACCCTCTCATCTTTTGTGTAGGCTCTTGTGGAAATTTTCCTGCCGATTCGCCTGAGAATCAGTCGAGCAGAAGAGGCACACATGTCGTCAATTAGTCGTGGGGTTCACCCGAACTACCCAAAGATGCCTTCTCGGATATTTGCAGTCCTTTTCCAAATCGAAGAGCTCCCCCGTCTTCGTAACACATGAATGATGATATGATGATGGATGATGATGATGACATACGGGAATACATGGGTAGAAAACCAAAGAATTCTGTCGCTTGTAGCTTACGTCACGTCCGGCTGAAGTCCAAAGACTGATTTCTTTATTCGCTAGAGTATTTGCTTAATCTTCAAATTTTTTCGAACAGCATTGCTGAACCCTTCCTTAAACCTATAATACACCGAGTACGATTCCGATTTTGCTTCCTCTTGCTCCCTCTCAGTCTGCTGACTCGGGCTTTCGTCGCTCAGTGACTTTTTCTTGATAACTCTACCGAAGAAGTCTTTCCTGACTCTCTCTGGCTGTATGGCCGGTTTCGATACTTGAGCCAAGCTTTTCGTGACCTTCTTCGCTCTGACGGTCGAAGTAACGGAGTCCTCCGAGCTGCGCACTTTCTGCAGCTCCAGGGTCCGAGAGAACATGAGTTTTGCGGCGTACGTCAGGGGCGTGAAAGATTGCTCTATACCGGGGAAGCGCACGAGCTCTTCGATGTTCCTGAAACAAGCAATTCCTCGGTGAAGGCTTCATTTTGCTCCCGCAGCGGGGTCTCCGTCCAACCCAAGCGTTTTTCGTATCGATGTCAGGATTTCTGAAAGAGTTTCTGAGGTTTGCTTACGGTTCGAGCTCGAACGAGTATCGGCCTTCAATGTGGCGCTGTTGGAACATCAGACCGAAGGCTGACATGACTCCAGTGGCGGCTCTGAATTTAGTGCGGTCTTCGTCGTTGAGGAGCTGAACGTTAGACGATTTCAGCTGAAATTCGGAGAGGAACTCGAACGTTAGGTCTCTCGTCACGGCCAAGCCACGGAGGGACAGCGATGTGTAGTTGTCAATTTCAATCACAGGGTTTCCCGGAAGTGACTTGAGCGACTCATAGCGCTCGGCTTCAATCGTGATTGAAGCTTCCGAGAAGTACCTGGGGTTGGATGATACCGAAGACGAAAGGCAAAACCTCAAGCAGAATATTCGATCCCGAATATTGAGCGGCCATCGACGGAGTGGTGGAAGACAGAAGCGAGGACAGATGGTGTTTCATTTTCTGGGATTTCATGTAATTCTGGAAAATTCGTGATTAGAGGGGAGAACGCTTCGGATTCCGGTCCAGATAGAAAGCGAGTAGACGATATCATTCAACTAGAGTCTTACCTCGACGTGAGAGTTGTTCATCACCAGCTTGGTCGGTCTATAGCTGGCGTGCATGGTATGGAAACGAGCTGCCGTAAACGAACCATACGCCATCAATGAGTAGTTTTGAGTGCTCATTATGACTGATTGTACCTGATCCGCGAAACAGAGCCATTCCGAAGCTGGAGTCAGAGATAAGTGAAATTAAATTCGTGGGCGATGGATACCCACTGAGAGGCGGAAGCAGCATAATGGATAATGACCGGGTGACGCACGGCCTCAACTCACATAGCGGAACCTTAGAGGTCATTTCAGAGTCGAGTCCCTGTCGGCTGATATAGGTATCGAAGAGAGCCTGATTCACGCGCTCGTAATCCCCAAAGGATTGAACGAGACCGGGTATGTCAGACGATCTCGCACGTCGGCCGCTGAAAACCGTAATTTGATATTCGATCTCTTCCGTCCGAGCCATGAATCGATTCTACCGAGCATCGATCGCCGGGCATCGATGGCCGGCCACATAAAGCTTCATACCTGGTCTGAGTCTCTCGAGGTTTGCTGAAAATCCCATGAAGTACGTTGCCTAGAGTCTGTTGGGTGTCTTTATTGCCGACGTTTGTAGCTGTCACGTCGGTCATGCTCACAGCACCTTTTCTCGAGTGGAGGAATTGAAGAGTTGATAGACAGCTCCGGATGTCATTCCCTGCAGCCACAAGACAATCATAGACCGAACACTCATAGCTAAATCTCGAATCCTTGAAGAGCCGGAGCGCTCCCTTGGTACCTCAAGGGTGAATTACGAATCAGAACCTCACCGGTTTTCTCAGCTAGGGCTTGCAAGGCCGCGGAGTCGTACTTCATACGTTCTCTCCGAAGAATATTTTGTAATCTCGCGGAAAGCCTGTAATCAGAGTATTCCGATAAGAACCTCTCAGCACCCAGATATTGAGAAGATCTCACGGGGAACGAGGTTCTCATCTCGTTCATACCAATAGAACGAAACAGACCCGGGTGGGTCGGTAAATCTCCCGGTTTGCAGTTGCCTTGTGTCAGAGGAATGGTCGCAAGACACCCTTCCGAGGATCGACCCCAAGATCACTAACCTTTGGGTTTGTATGGACGGCACCTGAATGAGAATCGCGTTTTGTCGGAGTTGTCGCAGAGCTGGACCCCAAGGGTCGTTGCAGATACAAATCACAGGCCGTGTGAGGACTTTAGGTTTCCGTTTCTTGCTTTTGCCCTCCGCAGCGGGTTCTGGCTTCAGCATATTGAGCAGGACGGCTATGGATTGCGACGGTGCGCCATCTGTATTTGGAGCAAAGCGAATTTCCAATCATAGGTCAACCGATAACTTGGATCGCGACGGGAGAGACGTGTCTTGAGGCCTTGGACCTGGGAGGGGTATTAGAAATAAACGTTCGAGCTCACCGATTTCGTCGATGACGAGACAGTTCGGCCGGCATTCTTTATCCAAGACGGACTTCATCTGGGTTGCGCTTTCCAGCGCAGATCGGAAAGCCTCCGGACTACGGTCGTCCGACGCGTTCAGCTCGACCACATTATAGCCGGAGTGTCTCGCGAGAACATGAGCTAGGGTCGTCTTCCCTGGATTGAAGAGAATGGCGCTCGTATATTCAATAGCGTCGCCATTTCGAACACCGATACGCGTTCGGGCTAGAAGAATCAGGGAAACCCACTCACCGAGCCCGGGCGGTCCGGCCACCAACACCACGGGTTGCACGGGACGCCTCGACTTATCGAGCTCCATGTTCAGCTCTGGCAGCTGATCCCTAGAATGAAGAGTCATATTGGATTCTCAGCCGCATGGGAAGAGATAGGAATCATCATATGAAACATAGAATGGATAATATGATGTCAATCTATGACCGGAGCATCAGCGAGCAGCGGTAAGCGGGACCCACCTCTGGAAGAAACGTTTCCTTTCGTTTGTTTCCTGAGGGACGGGGGGAGGTTTCTTCACCTCTTTATTGAAGACGCAAGCATCCCACAGTTTGAGCCATTGCAAGACCATACGGTTAAGCGCCTGGAAGTCGAGACTGTCTCTGATCATTGACGAAGTTGAGTTTCCTGGCCTCCATCTTGGGTCGAAAAGCGGAAATCTTTTTTTTCCCAACAAACTCTGAGCTCACCGCATCACTGAGAAGATCTCGGAAGCTTTTCGGTTTGTACTTTTCAGTCCATAGTTCATCGTTGGGCCTCTGTTCTCTGCTGTCTCGGTGACCCCCGGGTCTCGTTTCTTCCACATCGGCGTAACCCTCGGGCAAGGCGGCGTTCTCGGCAGAGGTATCAAGGTGGGAGACGGGAACTTGGCGCAATCTCTCCAACTGAGGGGAGAAGACTCATCAACGATGAAATTCGTCGGGATCGCAGACAATGCGTAGGTGTCGATACGGAAAGAAACTCTACCTCCGCCTCTGCTTCGAGAAATACGTCCCAGAAGGGTTTTTTCAGTAGGGACAGTTTTTCCCCGTTGCTCGGTACGCTTTCAGTAGATGCTTCGATGGAGTTTGTACTGCGCACCCTGGAATGCGAGAAGCCGCCATTCGCATCCCATCTTCGAAGAGAATTTCGTCGACTGGCATATTTTCAGCGCTCACATCAGTCCGGGACTGGATAGTGAAAAGTAATACTCACGGAACCAGGGACAGTCTACCATCGCGAGTTCGAACGGGGAAAACATTTGCCCATCTAGTGACCGGCGGAACTGGGGGAACTTCCTCGTGAGTTGAAGTGTCGAGGTCGATCTCGAGATCGCCTGAAGGACTCTCGGATCGGACCCTCTTCGCGTCAGGGGAGTCTGTTGGAACAATCGACTGGACTTGAGCCGCTCAGTTGCGAAATGAGACTCCGGAGATCGAATTGCATCCATAGGGTCCTGTTGGAGATGATTCCATTTACCTGAAGAGCATCCTGGGGTCGGAGAAGCAAGCCTCTTGACGCTCCTCCCAGCAGGCGCTTCTTCTTCTTCCTCATCTTCCCTCGTGAGAGTGTCACTGGGCTCTTCCTCCATGTCCTCCATGTCCCTCGGTGGCCGTGGAGAGACTTGATCCGAGGATTTTTATGGCATAAGGCCCAGAGATCCCTTGAGATCCTAGTCCCGGCTTCACTGATCGGAGTTGCTCTTATGCGCAATTTTGCGCATATTCACTCTTCGCGGGGGAAGTAGCGATCTGTTTGATCGAGGTAAGAGGTATCAGAGACTTTTACGGAGACGGGAGAGGCAAGGGAGCCCTCGGCCCGCCAAAAATTCCGTGTCAGCTGATCGTGAGTCAGCGCGCCAAATTCAAAACGCTGCAAAGAATTGATCCGCCACTGCTGCGAACACTTGCTCGGATTGTGGAAGCGAATTCCCTGAGGCCAGAATTCCGATGGTTCGACGTCTGGGCGGATCTTCCACTGACTCTGGACCCGCTTACCTAGGAAATTCCTCTTGGGGACCTCGCTGACGTGCCGCTGGGGTCATTCATGGCTCTACCCTGCGCGTATCTGATCCTTCTCTCATAGAGTGCATCAAGTTGAACGACATGATCTGAATCTCAACCGAGATGAGCCATACAGACCATCAGCGCAATTCAGGCGACGGCGGCCAGTTCTAATCGAAAGCTCCTGTCGCGGATCCGTAACTCGCGCTTGTATACGCAGAAGTAGTCAATCCGCCCCGATTGCTTTGTTCCTGACGCCCCGCTGTTTACATTCCCATTGGGGTAGACTCCAGGCCCATGCATCGGCATTCTCCTGTTAGCCGGATGAACGTTAGAGGCTAAAGCTAAGAATAGAGGAGTCCCTCATTGAAATTCCGAGCGTGAAATATGGCTCTCTCGAGCAGCATTGGAAATTCACCGTGTGTCAGAAACGAATGTGTCACGTGCTACGGAATGCCTTCATATCGCCACCGGGACCAAGTTGGAAGGTCGAATTCCATCATCGGCAGTTTCCTCTCTGTGATCTACCGTATTTTGAGAAGCTTCGATTTGGAATCAAGGTCACTTCGATTGCTTCCGCAACGTTTTTTTTCGCTATTCCGCCGTGGTCTCGATTCCTCGCAGGGGCGGAAATCTCGATATCTCGAATGCACCCGTCTCCACCGCGCCCTGCTTCAGTCATCTCATTCGATCCCTTCTCGCAGCAGCCGTGATCACCAGAAGATTGACCCGTACGTCCGAATTTCAGCGACCTGACGGTAATCATCGCGGGTCCCAGCCTGCGAATGCGCTTAGCTCACTCGACTCTCTCGATGTGCGGGAGTGCATTCGCAGGTGGAAGAGGAAGGAAACTGGCAACTTTGTATGTAGAAGCAAAGCTCTGCCGATTTTCGAAGTCGCTTGATCGGTCGGCGCTCGAGTGGTCGACGGGAGGAAGTCGCAGAATATTGCCCAAAGTGTTGGGAAGAGAAAATCCATTTGGGAGAGTTGATCTGCTGAGGAGGTCAAAGGTAGGTTCGAATGCATTGGATCATCTATTGCCGCTGAAGGCTCTTTCGGTACGCTTTTCTCGGTCCCTCCCCTCATGAGCAAGGAAGATAAGCCATTGTTCGCGACGGCCTCTGGAGTTCTAACCTAGCGGAGCTATTATTCCGAATTAAAGATTCATCGGTCGGAGGCAGAACTTGATAAAGAAAGAACGGAGCTCCTCTTTTGTTTCTTCCCGAAAGAGGCTCCCTCCTAGGAATCGACTCGCGAGGAAATATTTTCTCCGATGTCACTCGAGGTCAACGGTGTGGCGTCCCTGAATTGCGCTCGTTCGAGAGCAAGACTAGAGTCACGACGACGCGACGGCTGCTCGGACTGGGGGTGACAGCTGACGGGACCAGCGAAAACGAAAGAGGGCGACGGATTTTCGAACGACGAGGCCAACCTGGAGTCCCCCGAGTCGGCGTCGAAGTCGGATTCTATGACATGATGGGAAGGCAACGAGGGTAAAAAACGGGATGATCAAAGCTCCTCATCGAAAAAAAAACTGAAAGTTCACAAGATCCAAAGAGGATTTCGGGCTGTCCTCCGATGCGGGACATCTGCTCGATTCACGCGTCATGAGCCTCCGGTAGGAGGGCCCACAGGTGAAACTTCAAGCACCCCGGCTCCTTTAGAAGTCGTTGATTCGAGAGCGTGCGTGTGGGGGTTGCGTGTTTGAGAGCAAGCCAGTTGCGTGATGGTGTCACGCTCTCGCGCTCGCTTTTCACTTTCTCCAGCAGCTCTCACCCGACTCTCAGCTGCTACCGCCTCGGTTGTTGTCATCGGCGGCGGCGGCAGCGACGACAACGTCGAAATGGTCTGTGGCCGCGGCGGCGGCCGTGGACAGCATTGAGCGAGCCCGCGTGCCCTCTATAGGCATCCAAGCACCGGCGCGGTGGCGAGAAAGCAAACCGAGCGATCTGGTGCTGCTGGCGAGGCAGCAGACAAGAGAGCGGGGAAACCGAAGTGAACGGTGGCGCCATCTGCATCCGTCCAAAACACAAGGGAGAGGGGTTCTTGGCAGCGGGCATGCATCCATACCCAGTGTTCTGAGAGGAGTGCTGCTGCACACCAACATCCATCCTGCCAGCCAGCCAGCCAGCCAGCCAGCCAGCCAGCCCGTCCGTCTGTCTACTTCCACTAAGCAGCCGACGAGACAGATGTGAAGCAAACAGGAGGACTTCAGGAGGCGCTGGAGAAGTTCACGCCATGCCATGATATTTCCATCAGGCTAATTCGCTATTTTAAGCTTCTGTTGGCGAGGTTTCCCCTTCTGTGATACTCTGTGATGCCGAGAGAACATACCACTTGTGCGAGCTAAATAGCGTTTGAGTGAAAGAGTGTAAAAATGAGTTCCACGCAGACTTTGCGCAGCCGGGTGGTCGATTTGTGGAGAAGTTTCTCTTTGAAAGAAGACTGTGATCCTGTACCGGATCAGCCGTCGACTCGACGGAAGTTTGAAGCGTCAACGTCACCTGAAACGCATGACAGTTTCATTCACCGCTATCTGAACGGGTAAGACTTCAGAATTCTCCGAATTATCGATGATTAGACACACGGGTGTGTTTATCGCTACAAATGTGCGAGACCGCCAGACCAGCTACTCGTGTCGTCTGTTTGTTCATTCCCTCGCGGGTCGAGAGCACGTAATGAAGAAGTTGAAGGATGCGCGCATGTCATTGAAGCCCATCTGAATGCTCGAAGAAGACCCTGGAGGAACAGGTGACTAAGCTGCTCGCTATCTCCGGGCCGCGATATGCACGGACGGCTTCCGAGCGAAAGCTTATCCAGAGAGAATCAGCGTTCGTTTTTATCTGCCTTGTCAGGTCGGATCTGACAGTCAGGCAATTTTGTTCTCTCATCGCGAAGTGGTTCTTGTTTGCTGAACGACTCATTCAGGTGACTCTTGTTGGTTCCGTTGTGTACGAGTGTTTGTTCTCTCCTCTCTTTTCTTCATCTCCGAAGGCCGTCACATCACCGTGCTTCATAGAGAGAAATTCTGTAATGACGAGTTGCGGAGGGTGACAGGTTGCTTCATAATGGTTTCCGAGATTTTTCTTCCCTCGCTAGACCGGTGAGCTTGTTTGTGAGAAGATAAGTCCCTCTGCTAATCCTGTTTGCTTAGGGTCCGATCCTGGTGATCGGTGGAAACAACATCGCATCGCTATAATATCAAAGGGGTGATGTTGTCGACTACTATGTTGGCTCGTGTTTCTCTCTACCGCTGCTACCGCTGTTGATGATTCAGTTGGTGCTGCTACCGTTGAACCGCCGCTCATGCTCGGGTTCACAAGGGACAGGCAAACTGTTGGAGTGAGTGAAACACTTGATGTTGTTGCCCGAGCCGCTGCTGTCGTTGCCTGGGACGAATTTGGCGTTTTCTGCGGCTTTTCCGATAGAAAGAAAGGGAAGCCGCGCTAACGTTTGTTGGGGACGTTTTGCTGCTCCGCGACGACTGATGGGCGGCTCCCAACTACCACAACAGAAAACACACCAAACGCTACAAAGAATGTCGGGGACGGAGTCAATTCCAACGGCTCGCGGATCAGGATTCCGAGCAGCTGTCACGTACCTCGAGGTACATAGAAGCTCGGACATACATATGTTCTGACTTTACGGAACTATCCAATTGCCCCTGGGACAAGACTCAATGTCCCCACCGTGAGACATGCAGAGATAATTTCCTGGACTTCTCCTTCTGTCCATCACCGTGGCACCCCGATCCGAGTTCGCTAAAATTCGTCGCCGGTTTCGATTCGCGGCCCTTAGGACGTGGTTTTCGAGAAATCGGGGAAGTCCTTCCGGGGTAACGTTCTGTAAACGGCGGGAGAAACCCTACAGTATTTGAGCTTCAGCCTGCTCCAACCTGACTCCGCGCTATTGAGGACCTCCGACCGACTGCTTCTCTCAACCATTTTCGCATGAGTTTTTGTTCTCGTCGGCACGATCGCCCGCCCTGTCTATCGACAACATTGTCACCATGAGCGGCGGGAAACACTCATCAGAAGAAAGGGAAAATCGAGCCATGTTGTAGAAAGAAAGTATTTCGTGGTCCAGGTTGGCGTGCGAATGAACACTCCACGCGCGCAGAGTAGTAGATGTCGCTGTAATGGACCTCTATTAATCAGAGACGAGCCAGTAACTCACTCGCTCGCGCGTTTCCCCGCTCTTTCGGCCGCTCCTTCTTCCAGTTGGTCACAGTTTCGGTCGTTGATGTGCTTCGTGACCACTACTCGCGTCGCTTGTCACCTTCAACCGCAATGTGCTCTCGCAATTCTCACCTGCCAAGGGAACAATTGCCGTTTTGTACGCCCGTTCACCGAACAACGCCAATATCACGCTTGTCGTCCAAGCTTCATTTTCTGATGGCTGCAGAGATCGCAATCAAGGAAAGCTTTGTGCTGTGGAAATCCAGATTCCGGATCTCTCTGGGCCTTGAGGTTCTGGCGCTCGGTATTGAAAGCCCCTCAGAGATCTCCCTGAATCGGACAGCCGTATTATCATCATATTCCTCACGTCAACGCCCAATATTGTCCCCTGGAAAGGAGGAGCTGAGGAATCCCGTTGGACCTTATCGGATAGAATCGCTTGCCGACGCGTTTCACGAGAATACTAATTTCAACCGACTCGACGGCTAGTTGTAGTAGTCGAACTTTCAACTTCGACCAAGAGTCTTGCCCGTCGGATTCTATGGAACACTAAACGTAAATCGAGTTTCCCTTTCTAATTCGCACCCTTCTCCTTCGGCTGAAAGCACCGCCGCGGAATGACATTATTATTCTCCTCTTTCGGCTTGAGACAAAGAGCAGATGTCAGTAGATGGAGGGTTGAGAACGTCGAGCTGGTGCAGTCGTCAAGTCGAAATTGGATCTTTTCTGCGAGCGACCGGCGCATTGCCCCTAATCTTATCCGAGTTTGGGATGTGAGTAGATAGGCGCTCCCCTACCCCACAGAGTGACAGCTGCTCAAATAGGGTCTCGAGTCTCGACTCTGTCCGGGAATACGTCGACTAAATTTGCTTATTCAGGCTCGAGAGTTGAGCTCATGATACGCTTCTGGTTCTGTCGAACTCTCTGTGATAATATGTCTGGCAACTCCGCCGGGTGAGCTCAACGAGACAACGAAGGAATTCACTCTCGATCTCCGCATTCCAGAGAAAGCAACGGCTGCACAGCTCCGGAAATCCAACATGGAAAGTCTTGTTACGATCTGCCCAGCCATCCGGTGGCATACATGGCTCCGCGAGTCGTCGCGGCTCACACGGGACCCAATCAAGGCCTCACGGCAATCGTTCCCAAAGACTCCCAGGAGGCCTTCGCTCCAAATGATTCCGTCGATTTCATTGACGATTCGCCGAGGAAAAAAGGTATGCGCCTTCCGAGAGAAGCTCTCGAGTCTTGTCAATTAGGGCACAGTCGGTTTCCGGTCTAGGTACGACCACGGAAGAATGACGTCGGCATTGATTCTCGCTTGCGCAAGCCTCATTAGTAAACGCGGTCTGGAAGTTTGCCGCTCTCGAACAATCTCGACGGGAGCTCGAACGAGGGCAGAGGGAAATGTCTCTCCCTGAGCTCCTGACACGGAAGCTGCCTAAGCTGGAATCCCGACAGAGTTCCAAATGTCGTTTCCGAGCTGGGTCTCGCATAGAGGAAAATCGTCGTCCTTCGGTTGCTTTGCATCGATTCGATTCTGTCGAGAACGACACCAGATCGGGATCGCCATCTCTGTGACGTCTCCCCAGCTCTGCACCCTCGATTGGAGGAGTAGGACGGATGATTATAGGCTTCTCGAGCCCGGGTGGACATGTCGGAAGCTCTCCCCGCATAGCTCGTCGGTCATTTCCTCCCGTGGAACAGTTCGGTTCGGTTTCCGCGATAGCCAATCTCATGGATATTTTTCTCAGTCATATTTTTGGGCTAGGTGTGGTGGATGCTGCGCGCCGCCGAGGGGCGCCCCGGGAGAAACCATGAGTCAAATTCTCAGAGCGGTCCATTCTCGGCCCGAACGAGAGCGCAGGAAGCAAGGACAAGACTTCCTTCCTCCCTTCGAGAGACATGACCACAACTGGCATCGGAAATAGACTCGTCCGATACAGATTTCGACGCCCATATTATCCGTTTCTGAGCGATCCGATGTCTCCCGAGACATACTAAGCTCAACGAGAAAGTTTTGTTGGGGAGATTTCTGAAGTCTTTTATCGGAGCAGAAATAGACGATAGGAGATCCAGTCGATGATCATCAGTCTGCGTTCATATCTCAAGCCGGGGTGAATTTTGGAGTCTGAATCTGACACCGAAGGGAGCGCTTGGGGAGGTCGGGGAGCGATCAGAGCTGCGTTTGATCTCCCCCAGTCCCTAGAACGATTGGCTCCGGCGATACCCGATGTTCCCCCGCATCGTATCGAGGCGTGTCTGATTGGACGATGCGTGCATGGAACTTCATCGAATAGCGTCGGTTGTCTCCGGGTCGCGTATCGATTTGTCTTTCAATGAAGACCGCAAGCGGCGTTGAGCTCTTCTCAGATGTATCTTTCTAGTCGCATCAGAATATAAAGGAAAAAAGTTCAACAGCCTCAGGTCGTCCGTGGGCGGTCCAAAACCGCTCGCCGGACGCATCGTTGTAGCGACAGATGGTCTCCATACAGTTCAATCGTATCCTATTGACGGACACATCCGATGCGACGCTCTGCGGTTTGGATTGCTCATCTCGCAGCTCGTTTCGAGTGGACCCTGGAAGGTAGTTCCCGCCAAGATCATTCTGCTCAAAGAGACTTCCCGATACGCGATGCACAATCTTCAGGCGGACACTCCGATGGGAAAACCTTGCAAGACCGACAGCTTGCCGTAGTAGACTAAGGAACTTTTGTCGAGAATGCACCCGTGCCTTCATGTAGGACGGGCCCCGACGACATTCGATATCGTAGCGTGGTGGGTCGGTCTCGATTGATAACTGATATCCTCCGAGTGGGCAGAGCCTAGTCTCGGGGTCGACTACTCCGACTCGACGGAATCCCCACGACATTTTCTCGTTTGCGACGTCGCTGTCAGCGAGAGCAGCGGCAGCAGCAGGTTTGCCGGGGTCATTTCCGATTGAAGTGATTTTGGAGCTATTTTATCCCTTCTTGTGGGGAAATCGAAGCGGGGTCGATTCGAGCAATATGGATTCCGCTGCCTTGGAACGAAACGCTCGTCTTGTCATCACGTCTTGTTCCTCGATGTGATTTTCTCTCTGGCTGACGATCCGTGCTTGGATTCCGTTTTGAGAGAAAATTGTCTTGCTACATCCTATTCAATGCACAATTGTAGTGTAAGTTTTTCCTCACATGGAGAAGTCGTCTGATCTGAGTGCGCTTAGGTAATATAAAAATCCGCGCCAAACTGGGTCATGCTCGCCGTTCAGTCCTGTGATCTGATTCCCCGCTCAGGAATGATATCGGAGGGATATTACGTGATTGGGACGATTTTCCATCACAAAAGCATCACGGGGTCACGGAAGACGATTTCCATGAGGGATCATTCCTGTGCGTCCGCCGAAGGGAGGGTTCCCATCTGTCGCATGACTTCAATGCGAGGCACCATTCCCTAAATGCAATTTCTGTGTCGACTCACGCCGATAGATTTGCGATGATCGGGAGTCTCTCCCAGCAAGAGCATCCTTCCGTCGAATTGAATAAAATCAAACATAAGACGTCGGCCGACCAATCAATGCTCATAATATGAAAGTCTCGCGGGAATCCTCCTTGCCTCACTTACGGCTGCGAACCTGAGCTCTGCTTTCGCTCGATCCATTTTTCCAGCATTCCGTTGGAGACCGAGAGATCATAAATTTTGTTAATACGAGTTCGTAAGACAGCCCATAATTCTTATCCTTCCGACCATAACGTTGGAGGAATAATCAGACACTTTACTGCGCCCCGACCCGTGTGAGCACACTGAGTCGCGAGGGTTTATTGACTTTGTAGGCGGTAAGTCTCTGATGACGGCGATGACCATAGTTTGCCCACCACGAGCTTGCCCACCCCTCTGTGCATTCGCTCATCAGCATTGCCTCTGACCAGCACTTCCTCCCCTCGCAACCCCTGCTCTCCATCTAAGCTTGGAGTTGGGCCAAAAGTCTAGCTGCGAAAATGTAAGGAAAAACAGGAGAAAACGGATTCCTCTCATTCGGCTTCGCGGCGTCGAGCTCACGCTCGAACGAAAATTGCCCCATAACCGTTTCGAAACCCAGAGCGTGATCCGTTTCGCGGAAGAGCGTTCGGGTGATTCGGCGAAATCTCGCGGAGAAGGAACGTGCCCCTGTCCGTCAAACGTCGGTCGTGGCTACAGTGGCACCGTGTCGTCTCAAATCTATTGGAGACGATTGCCCCTTGTTTGCCTGAATGAGCAGCAGACTCTTCGAGGAGCTCCCAAAGTGGGTCGTATGAAGGGTCGATACGTGATCGTCTCCGTCAGTGATTCACTGTGGCAGAGCCGAACCTAATTCCGCCTTGCGAGCTCCTGCCTATTTCCGATCGGTGGGGGGGGGGCGTGCGTCGTTGGGGGGGGAGGGACCCAGCAGTTGGACTAGCGAGTAGTACCTCGTTGCTTTCCTCGCTCCATGACTCCCCGTGCTATGCGCGTAGCTATTCAGCAGACGGAGCAAAATAACTGTTTGCTGACCGAAGGAACAGAATTCATTCCTCCGCTCACACGCGCCGTGGTCTGTTCCCGAGCTTCCAAAGTCCAATTTTTCGGGAGCCCAGGGGGGCTTATTTTTTCAGAATCGAGAGCCCACCCCTGGGGCTGTCCAATGGATGACATAATCGATCGAAGTTGAATTCCTCTCTCCTGAGAGACTCATATTTTCCTTCTTTGCAGAACCTACGGAAGTGGCCGGTATCCCGAGCTGGCAGTGTCCCACCGACTTCGCCTGTGGGCTAGCGACAACGCTGTATGAATGTAACCCGAACACGAAGGAAAACACTGGTGAACCGATTGCAGATGCTTTCGGACTTTGCGTGCGCGAAAACTCAGCGATCCTCGCCTTGGCAGATGGAGTAAACTGGGGCGAGAAAAGTTGCTTAGCAGCGCAATGCGCCGTTCACGGCTGTGTTGATTATCTGAATAAGTGAGTATCAGCGCCCTCCCGGAGGCTCACAGTTTCCGTCGTCGAGTCCTGAATCAAGCGATGCGGACCCAAACAATGGCAGGAAGCTCCCGGGCCTCACACGATGATGCCCGAAGTCGACGGGACCTCGAGGCCGTCGTCTGCAATGTACCGATATCCCTTAATTGGTTCAGTGATTCATCGTGGTGGAAGGGAGTCGAGGGAAAAGCAAAGCGTCATGGTTCCGCGGGAAGCCTTGCATCGAGGGAAGACTTTGTGAGCAGTAAGATTCCTTGAATGGACGCGGGAGGCGTGTGGATCGGCGAGGAGGTATTGAAAATCGGGACTGAAGCTGAGCGACATGCTGCGAGTATCGTAGCAAGAAGCCATAGGACCGATCTGGATACATTGTGTGCGAGTCGAGAGGATCGTGTCGTATTGCGGGGAACGCTTCGGATTGCCTGACTCCATTTCCCCGCAACCCGAAGGAAGCCATGACTCGATTCACACGCAGCTTCGAATTCAATTCCGTTCTCGGGCGTTTCTCCGGCGAGAAACATCGACCCTCCCCGGTAGGTCAGGGAACATTCCTCCGATCCGGCTCAATAGGATAAGTCGTGGAGGAAGAAGTCGTTTCGGTCCGCTCGCAGCGAGACTTGCGGAACCGGATGCCCCGCTTCATCCATTCGCTTCATGGTGTGCATCGCTTTTGTTTCATGAAAAGTCAGTCCTTCCCTGACGAGGAGGAGCTCCGGCTGTTGTACTTCCACGTTGCTCGGGTTCGCTCGGCGCAAGTTTAATCCAAAGGGCCGATTCTCATCCGGGAAAGTATGTTGGGAACAATATCAGTCGGATTCAAAGGAGAGATAGAGTTCTTCCTCACATAGAGGGTCGTCTTCCCGTCATTACTGCTCCACCGACAAAATGGACGAGGACGAGAGCAGGCTTCTTCTCCAGGAACTTTCCGCCGGTAATGAACCTGTGTAGCGTGCAGAGAGTCGGGGATTGAAATGGAACTCCCTAAGTGGCGGCAGGCGCGCGATGCGAATGGAGTTGAGATCTTTCCAACAGGGTCGGGAGAGGGGATCCGACTGCGCCGTTGGATATTTTTCTTCGTTTGACGAACCATTTTACCTACCAACATAATTATCCTCCTCTGCGACCGACGGTGACGTCGGGGCCGAGACGACGGCATTTTCGTAGCCATTCGAACTCGGAGCCACCTCACGCGGCGCTCTCAATTTAGGACTCGAGTTCAGCTAGCAACAAAGGTTCGCTCGGAGAGAAAGGGTGGATCACGATCGTGATCATCGTGTTCCCTCGAATTACGCTGCGGGGGTCATCGGTGAACGACATGGAGGACGTGCGTGTCGTCCGGGTCTAGGACCCTCCGATTCGGGATATGGTGTTCGGAATGCGAAATCATCGACAAGTTTCCCTGAACGGAGCGCGTATTCCATTGATGGCTAGGAGATGAGTTTTGGACCGGAATTTTATGTCCGTCGGCGGACCGCAAAATTGTCTGTTCTGTTGTTTGCCCATTCAGGGCGTGGTCGCGTGCCTGCATCGATGCGCGCAAACTCAGCAACCGTGCGTGTCACGCTTCCCACTGAAATAGAGAGAATCCTCGATGTCGTTTCAGTTCCCACGCGCCTCATCGAGTGCAACGTTCTTGCGAAGCGTGTCTTCGAGGATTGATTTCTGCTCGGCTTGACCCCGTTCCCGCATAGGACAGCTTGACCTGCACTCTCGAGGAAGATCCCGGAGAAGGCTCTGACTCGGAGTGCGGAACGTCGCTCGCCTTCGCTCAGAGAGGTTCAGGCCTTGAGGGCCTAGCAGAGTGACCCCGCGCTGATCGACAACTGACAACATGGACGAATGGAAACTTTGCGATGAAAGTCAAGATGTCGGAAAACGATCCGACCGAGCACGTGGAGCTGTCGTTTGTTGGTGAACAGGCAGGCAGGGAGCGAACCTCGGAACGCTCTCCCGGCATCTTGCTTGAGGTGGTTCGGGAATATCGAGAAGTATTGGCTTCGTCCATCATCCCCGATAGGTTCGAGAGCTCCGAACCCCTTCTCTGAAACCCATGGCCTAGACTTGGATCCTCCGGGGACTTTGATCGTGGGCCTGCGACCAGCGTCCGAGACCGACTATCATTCATGAGCCAGATAGACAGTCAGCCGTTGCAGTTTTCACTGTAAGGACCTCATCCCAGGTTCAATGCCGCTTCCCACTCTCTCGATTCATCTCTCTATTGCTAGTCGGATTTCCAGGGTAAATGCCCTTCGGATATTGTGAGCCCGAGAACAGCTCCTCTGGATGTAGCATCAGACCGAGAAGGCGAAAAGCCATTCTTACTGCTCTCCCGGATCCTAAGGCACTCAGCGACAATGGAAGCTGGCGCGACAATTCTCTTCCATTCTTCTCCCGCCTCCCCTCTCGAGAGACCCGGCAGCCGCCACTGCGCCAGGCGCCGAGAGACCAACCGTCGGACATCCCTTGCTTTGGAACGCTCAATTTAATACGTTTTTTAATGCGAGATGATTCGTTTCCCTGTGTTGTAGTCTGAGCGGAGACCGAGACAAGCGATCAGTCACGCCGATCAATATGCTGCCAGCTGAAGGCGAGCGTTGAACTTTTGCGTGAACTCCAAACGACAATCATTTGCGATGAAACAGGCCATTGGAACATTCAATCCGATGTCGCCGTCGCTCTCCAAAGGAGAATTCCGCTGTGACTTCATCGAGGTCTCCACCGATCTTGCAAGGAACAGCAAACTATGGTTCCTTCGAGGGGAGTTCGCGTCGGGTCAAAAACATTGAGCTGTTGACCAGCCTCGGCTGCGGTCATCTTCCGAGCGTAGTGGGGATCTTACGAGGGATTTGACCGAGTGAGTTTGAGTCACCCATGGAGCCCGTCGGTAGGGAGTATCGAGGACACACGGCTCAGCGCACAGCCTGCTCGCCAGCCACACTCCCGTGGAGAGCCCGGGGCCTATCTAACTTCCTATCTGGGTCCTAAACTTCCGCAAAGCCCATGAGAAATCGAGCTGAAAGCCTAATCTGAGCATGGGACGGCCGAGGAACTTCGACGGCTGAAGAAAACTGATCGACCTGACCCTTGAATGAATTTAAAACCTATTGTCCTCTTTCAGAGCCTTGTTCGCGGGAGCTCACAACGTTACGTCGACGCTCGATGTGTTCGTTTGCCTTCTGCGCTCATTCGAAGCAGCTCACAATCTCATTCTCGAAAAAGACGCTCTCCTGACGACATTGTGCGCCTGTGTAGTCTGTCCTCTCGAAGACGGACGCTTCGCTGTTTGCGTTTGCAATGTGGGCGATTCGTTTGCGTACGTTTTCAGCGAGAAACACGGCGTCCGCGAAATCACCCTTGGTAAGTAGGCTAATGTAAGAGACGCCAGATATGGCCTCTCCGACCGAAATCATGTGCGAGCCCCTCTAAGTCCCCGGACGGTTCGAGGTCGAATAGCGTAATCTCGTTCGAAACTTTAATTGTGAATCGATTAGTGCTCCGCGCACGATCGATATAGCTTCCGAGCCTCAAACGTATGACCTAATTGTAGACAAAGCGATTCCTCGAATAGTCTTGGCGGAAGCTGAACCTCCGTGCAGATGAAAATTTTAATTAATTCAAATGTCCAAGTCACGATCGTTCATACCCGATCCAGGTTCCCATGATATTCATTCAATGCGGGATATGCGTGACGCGCTCGGGGCGCTCGGACCTGTCGATGGCAAAAACCCCGAACTGAACAACCTCACCGTGTCCCTAACGCTGGCTGACGAGGGCGATATGGTTTTCCTCACGTCGGATGGAATCTCAGATAATTTCGATCCCGTTGTTGGCAAGTTCGCATTGGCGAAGAAAGTTGGCTCCGGCGCAGAAGACCGAAACAAAGAAAAGTCTTCTAGTCACCGGGGAACTTCCGCCAGTGTGAAGAGATCCGCCAGCCACAGGATCGCCTCAGCAAACGAGAAAGTACGCAGTTTCTTACGGAGAGCGTGGATATGGATTGGATTATTTTTCCTCAGACTCCTGATTCCCTAATGACCCGGTCCGCCCGCCTCTTCCGGAATCGATCGAGATTTGACACGAACGTGCACTGACTGTTCCAGAATCAACTGCCCATCGTCGAAGCACACCAAAGACATGCCCTGACGCTATTGAGGATGGAGGATCTTCTGCGTAAAGGAGTGGGAGGTGACGAGCAGGTTCCGGTGAAAACTTCGCGCGAGGTCTGCGAGAGAATGGTGGAATTCGCCACCAGACTGACCATGGCCAAACGTAGAATTCTCGAAGACCCCGAGCTCTATAAGGACGAGCAGTGTACAAATAGAGTGAGTTTCATTGTCGAAGTGGCAGACGAAATTCCGAAAGAACAGAACGCCCTAACATAGAGGAAGGGCATCAGGCCATTGATAATTTCTCGTTACAGGAGCGACGTCAGAGAGTGTGCCAAAAGCTAGCTCTTGTCCCGGGAAAGTTGGATCATGCATCTCTGTGTGCCGTGCGTTTGGGTAGACATCACAAGACACCCTCGGCCAAAACAACGCCAACGAAAAGATCGATAGCGGATGCGCGGAAAGCGTTCTTCGAATCACCCGTGACTTCCGACACACGCACTACGGAGAAGAACAACAACTCGTCGTCCTCATCGACGACCACCTCGTCGTCGAGGCTCTCGAAAACGAATAGCAACGGCACCGCGGAGCTCAGGAGCAAGTCCGCAACGCCCACGACGACGAACCCGACGACGGCAACGTCATCATCGAGACCATCGACCGCGGAGAGTAAACGAAGCGCTCCGCTCTGTAGTTTTGAGTCGATGATTTGATGCGAGCGAATTCCATGTTGATTATGCGTGCTCTCATTCAGAGAATAAATGGTGCAATTTTTACAAGAACTCCCATTAACCAGACTTGGAATTAGGCTCGCAACGATCCCGGGTTGTCCTAGCGGCGGGGGTAGGGGAATAATATCGCAGACTAGGAAAGCGAATGGAGCATGAGCGGATTTTCTCCTCGGAATTAGGTTAATGCTGTGCTTGGCACAGCGCCCCCCCCATCGATCTCCCCCGATTCGACTTTAATTTCCCTAAGATCTCAATAATTCCAAGTGTTCCGCAGACTGGAGCAGAAGTTTGAGAGACTCACTTCCAATGGGATAAAGATAAGAGGACGGGGAAGAGTACGCCTGTTCTTAACGAATTAGGCCATAGAATGGGAAACTCCAATGTATTCACGGAGGATCTTTCAGAGATGTCCCGTTGATTCCCTCGAAGTTATCTCTGTCTGGTTGACGAACGGGCTCAGGAATGGCACGAAAAGGTAGCTTTTGGCTCCTAGCGAGCTCTATCTGGGCTGCCTGCGCTGTCTAGGCATACTTCCGAGGGAGACATCGACAAGAGTTTCTCGACGCTTCGGGAACACCTTTGGAGATCAGACTCTCGACATCAAGTATCGAGGAACACCTTCGGAACTCCACGCGTCAGATTTCGAGCTCTGTTCCCGCCGCGAGTTTTTCATCGTCCCTGATCAGCACCGGGGACGTTGGAGAAGTACCGCTGATTCACGACTGAGATTTATCGCTCTCGTCCAAAAATGCTCCCCGAAAATCTTCTGCGTACGAGTCAATTACCCCGGAAAACACTGTGATGTCTGATACGCTCGCTTCAGGTATCCTCAACCACATGGCTTTCGACTCCGCTTCAGAAGTCTACACGAGCGTCCTCGTGAGCTGTGTTCTGTGCTGCACTCGCGATCACTCACTTGATTGGAACCCTGAATCCAATGTTTTTCAACTCGGCCTGCTTTGTTCCCATTCGCGACCTCAGCTCCTCGGGGTATGCGCTTGTTTGTGACAAATGTCCAGCGTGAGACAGCCGGCGCTGACTAGAGAAAGTCTGATCGTGAATGCCCATCTGTCGTATACCGGCCCTCTAGCTTTCGGGGGTCAACAAGCCCGGCTTCCGAACTCCGCGAAGGACGATAACGAGCTAATGAGAAGTCGTGAAACTTATGGAGGATGAGATCAACCGCGAAGGCATTGGACGAATAGACTTGAGTTCCGTTCAGCTCAGCGAGACCTCTCGACGAGCTCCATATTATTCTGTTTAGAATCATCACTCACGAGCGAGAATAAACTTTGAAATATGGATCTGATTCATCGGTCCCGCTGCTGTCATACTCCTGTCGAAGCATAATAATTGTGAATACCGTTTCCCAAAAGAGTTGGTCTATGCTCGCTGGCGCTTCTTGATGCAAAGAGAATCAGTTTCGCGGTCTCTCTACGGGTCATTCATGAGCGCGAGTCTTTCCGAAGGTGCTGTCGGCTGCTGAGACCGAGATCTCGTGAAATTCCGCTTCATCGGAGCCTTCCGCGGCCGCTTCCCGATCCTGATGGTTTTTATTCATAGATGTGCCCCTAGCTATATTGTCAAAAAATATCCAATGCTCCTCGCGTTTGGAGAGCCCTGTGCCGACGAATCAAAGACCTTCAGGAGGGTTTATGACCGTGGTCGCTCAATGCGAATCCCTCTCGAGTCAACTGTATCCTTAGCGGGAAGAATAATCGCTCGAATTAGGGGAGCCGTAACGAGACCTGAGTGTCTGAACAGACAGCAGTCAGACTCGTCGACCGACCGTGCGCTACTGCGCGTACGATGGAGCAGGACGGAACGATTCGCGAACCGCTTGGTTTTGAGCCTTCCTGAGGCGGAATGATGTATTCAAGGCGATAGCAGGTATTCTGGCCTTACCGATCGGACAATCTCTAAATCCAGCTTACCCTTTCTCGTATTTCCCCGTGACTGATCCAGTACACGCGTCGTCTGTCGGAACTCCCTAGGGCTGGACCGTTTTATCGGAAATACTACTCAGCTCCGGGAAGGCCCTGGCTCCGAGGAATATTCATTTTAGCCTCGGATGAGTTTCTCCAGTTCCGGCGAAGAAAGGGCGGGGCCGCTGCCGTCAGGCAAGCGAATCGGAATCGACTCAGGAGAGTCGAATGTGAAGGCAAAAATCCCGGATAGGTGTCGTCAGGAGTTTATTAGCTCTCTTATTATAAACCGAACAATTCGCGCAATACAATAGGGCAGAAGACATCCGCAACCGAACAGAGAGACCCCACTCCCGAGCACTCGACAATGGAGAAGTGTATCACCTCGCGTAGCTCGTTACGCACAGCATCTGGAGATTTGTAAGATAATAAGCGACCTGTTTGACAGACCAGAAAATCTCGCGTTCTTCCTGACCGATGACGTTTCTCGCACACCGACGAATATTAGGATCCGTTCAGCCCGGGCAGTTCGCTGTCTCGATTATCTCCCTCTCACTCAGTATAGCCGGAGCATTCATCGAGAAAAGGCTTGAATGCAATACGCGATGACATCTTCTGTAATGCGCGCATCCCGCCCACTCACTCTAGCCGAAGAGTTTGCCGAAGAATCCTTTTTTGGGCTTCTTTGTTGTCGCTGCGTATTTAGGGGAAGGATTCCCGTAGCTTCCAGACGACGTATAGGGCGTGCTATACGACGAAGGGTAAGAGGGTCTCGACGAATAGGTCGGTGCAGATGGATACGAAGGAGCCGAAGGGTACGAGGAGTATTTTGGAGCACTGGGGTATGACGGCGCCGAGGGATAAGACGACGGTCTGGACGGGTACAATTTGCTATCGTAGGATGTAGGATATGGTAGGGACGACGACTTCGAAGAGCCTCCTGGAGCTGCGTAACTCGGTCCCGGGTAATTATAGGTTGAAAGCGGACGGGAGGGACTACCGTTCCTCAAGCGACGGAGCAGCTCGTCGGCAGTCGGTGAGCCCGGCTGTCCCTTTTGGAAAGGAGTAGAGGATAGATTGTGAGAACTGATCAGGCATCTTTCGAAAACAAGGTGCGTGACAAATGATCCTATCAAGACGTATCGGCTTACCTTCTTGTTTTTGTATTTGTTGATTAGATCGTCAATGTCAGATGACGATGATCTCGATGTAGTGGGTACGCGGAAGGGTTTGTATGTCGTAGTATACTTGTTGCGTGGCGGCGCCGTGGGCGCATTCACCGGTGGGTAAGGGCCGAACGACGATGGCGGCCTGTACGGGGAATTGGTCGATTTCGATGGAGCGCTGCTCTCGATCTCACCGAGAATATTCAGGAGTTCATCACGGTCCAACTTGTCCAAATGCGAGGTATCGTGAGCTTTCTTCACGGCTGAGATTTCGGGGCATCGCAGGAATCAGAAGGAATCTTCAGTTAGCTCTAAGCGGAAAAGAGGATCTTCTCGCGGAGGATATCCCATACCCATGGGAAAAGGGGACGGAAAGGAAGTTCCGGATGTTACTCACCTCTCTGAGCTTGGACGAAGCCCACGAGGAGAGCGATAGCCAAAACCGAAAGTTTCATGTTCGCTGCCGAGAAAAAGGGATCAGAGTACGTGTTTCGGACATTTGGTTCCGCTCTCGCGTCGGAGACACGCAAGTATGTTCTTGGCGGTCTAAGGTCAACACGAATGAAACGTTCCTAGAACGGTTAGTCACGGAATCCGCCAAAAATGTATGATTAAGAGATCGTTCCAGAGAATAGGGACTCTGGCGAAAGCAAAAAAAACTCTCAGAAGCGGATGAAGCGAGTTGACCCTTGGATAGTGACACCCACTTGACTCGGCGCGAAAGCCTGATCGGTATTACGACATACCGCTTCCCACATACACTTCTCCCCAGATATTTGGAAAGACAATCTCTAGAGCGTCTGATCAGTATTCATGAATCGGGGCCGATCCCGAGTTCGTCTTCCTCGATTCTCTGCTCTCTGGCGTTCGTTTCGAGTAGTCCCTTTCACAAGCAGAGTCATGCGATCTTCGGTTTCATGCTTAGATTGTCAAGGAGAACGAGGGGGTGGGAATATTGGAATTCAATGAGTGCACCTTCACCGAATTTATGGTGAGATCCAGAGAAACGAACGAAAGAAATAATTATCGCGCTGTATTAGTTTCGCGACGCTTAGCTTGCTTACCGGTTGTCGTGTAGACGCTGAGTGAATGGAGCAATGGTCCTTCAAGGAGAGGGTCACCACGTCGAGCCAGCGGAGAGTTTCTTTCTCTTTGGTAAGGGCAAGTCCCCGATGAAGTATTGCATCGCAGGCTTGAACGGGACCATCCCACGGGAAATCCGGCCGCTCAGATCGATAACGGACTGATGAGATTCACGGAGGAAAATACCCTCCACGGAATTTCGTCGATACTCTGACAACGGTCCGGATCTTCGAACAACTCAGAGATTGTGTCACATCTGATGATCTGATGACTGCCACGCGATGCGTTGCGACTCGAATCTGCATAGTAGAAAATCTCTTGCGTCTGGATCTTGCGACATAAGAAACTAAGCTCTGGAGAACGAGATCTCGTGTGGGGATATTGAGGGTGGTCCTTGAAGTCGAGGCCTAATCGGGAGAACCTCCGATATCGGGGATCGGCAGATCTGAACGAGACGCTCCCCACTCGATTCTCTTTCTGGGAATTCAAGAGAAAATGACTCCCGAATGGATCATGCCTCATGCCAACAGAGGACGAATAGACAAACAGGGCAAACTTCATACCATCAGCCGTGTTCGCGGCTCTAATTCATTCGAGAACTTTTGTATTGAGTTGGCGAAGCTCCGGAAGATGGAGAGAGGGAGGAGGACATCGATATCCATCGAGTTTTCGGGTCCAATTCTGATGTCAGCGGGTATGACTTCGGTGGTGCCGGCTCAGTCAGACTCATGGGTTACTCATGGGTTGGGGTTGGGTTGGGACCTGATAGACCTCTATACTTCAGTACAAACAACCGCTTGTGAGTCGATTAGATGAACCCGACCGAGGGTTGATATTAGCTCCAGCCTTGAGAATCATTCATCCGAAAGATTATCCGATACCCGCGGTGGTTTCTTGATCTCTCCGGGGACGTTCGGATTCGTCCATCCACGACTGAAGACAGGAGTTCCAGGGGGCGAAGCGCCGTCGTGTCCTGACGTTCGATTCATCCACACTATCCGGATACTTGGGGGAATTCGTGAGACTTCACTGTTCCGGCCGTCCTTTGAGATAATTACGGGTACATCCTGGTCACTCGCATCTTCAGTCTGGGCCACAATTGATGGCTTAGATCCGAAACGGAGAAACCCTACTCCGTCCGCGCGCGAACTCATGAGCGCCTCGCGATCAGCAAATGCGTCCATCCGCCAAAATATGATCAGGCGGCGGCTCGACGGAGATCACCCACCATCGGGACTCAATTGAGTTGCGCACTGCGGTGTTGAACGTGAGTCTGGTGTACTGAGCGGTGCGACGTTCCCGGAGGAAGTAGTTGTTCTCATTCGACAGTTTATTCACCGAATCGGAGGCATGGCGAAAAATTTTAAGAACTCCCATGTTTTCCACCGGATGAATTTTCTCAGTCAGTGTCAAGAAGCACTGATGGAGAGCGATCCAGCCGTGTCGAATCTTCAGGCATTCTACGGACACACTCTCCATGTGCTTTCCCGGAGAACTCAGAGCAAGATGCATCCGACTCTGAAGCGCTCGATGTGCAAAAAATGTTCCACACTCCTAGTTCCGGGCACGAACGCAACATCGAGGTTTGTTCTCACAGATGAGGGTACAATTCAGTGATTCCAAGCTTCCTCCCATGATACTGAATCTTCTATTCCTTCTCAGAATTCGCGGGAAAAAAGGATGCAAGCGGATGATAATCACATGCCGAATTTGCGGAACTATTAAGAGATTACCGTGTTCGGCTAAGTCGAAGTCACAAGGAGAGCAGGGCCCTTGCGAGCCAGCGGTGACAAATGTCAAGAAACGGAGTGCCTCGGGTCTAGATTTCGCAGAAAAGAGCAATTCCAGGAAGCCGCGGTTAGAGTCGATCGAAGATCGGAAACCGCGGTCAAAGTCGACCGAGGATCGAAAACCGCACTCAGAACCGCCAAAAATCATCTCCGGATCCGAGTCCTTCCTCAATGGTGATTGATCGATTGTCTATTGACCCTTCCCCAGTAAATTAAGGTTTTGCATTTGAGGGAATTTAAGGAAGAGAGGAGAGGCCCTAGCTTAAGGTGCTGATTCAGCTGGTCGTTGACGGTTGCGGTTTCGTGTGATTATCGATACTCTTCCTTTCCCTCTCTCCCGATGCTTCTCTTGTGTTCGATATCATCTTCGGGGTGGTTTCCGCACGTGAGCCGTATGATATGTACGTAGGATACACTCAGCGCCGGGATTCGACCGATTCGTGCAGGATTGACACCGAACCTTGCACTTCCTAAAAGTCGTGATGCGACAAGGGTCCATGAATTTGGATCTTGATTTCCCACGGATAGGGTATGGTGCATCATAGCCTCTCACTTATCATGAATCACCTTTGGTATTCAATCTATTTTTTTCCGCTGACCGCAAGGTGTATTCGGCTCGCGAGCGGTCGCCCTCAGAAAACTCGCCTTTCAAAGCTACGCTCTACGATCGCGGTCACTTACGTTCCGCAACATTGAAATCGTGCCCTCCACGAAGTCATTAAGAAGCACTTAACTTCGCGACGAGAAAGAAGTCAGTCGTGTAAATTGTAACTAAAAGTTGTAAAAAGTGTGAATATGAGAGTATCACTCGAGAACCTGGAAGAACTTGTGAATATAGGAAAAATATATATGTTTGTGCATTCGACAGATCACGCTGGAGCAGCGAATCCTCATTGAGAGACGAGAGGGGGTCCGGTGTATTGGATCCGCATTTATTTCTTTCCGCTCGGCGCAATAAGAATATGATATTTATTAGAAAGTTCTCAATATACAATGAAATTTAAGATCATTTGTTCAAGGACATTTTCGTTCGACCACCTGTTTGCCTCCTTCGTCGTATTCCTGTCTCGATATCCACATTTGTTGGAAGGTTCCGAGCGAGGCAAGAATGGAACCGCCAATCCAAGGAGCGAACCGTCTCTCGGCAGGTGTGTTTGGGGCAATGAATTTCAGCCTCATCGATGGCGGAGTCTTGTGGGAGAGGTCTCGCTGCAAGCGGTCAGCGTAGCCCTGCAGGAGAGTGCAGCCGCCAACTACGGTAATGTTGCCGTAGAATGAAGGTCTCATATCGACATCACACATGCCGACCGATGTCGTGACCACCTGCGCGACTCCAAGGGGAGTACCCGGAAGTTGTTGCTGTAACGCGATAAGAACATATTTAGCTTTCCTCGATGCTTCAAACAGCTTTCACATCCGACAGTCGAGTCCCAATCAAAAGCGATCCAGAATACTCACCCTGATGCTCGAAGGATCGAAGAGACCCTCGGGTATTTCGAATCTTTTCGCTCCATAGTCGTTGTTATAGCCCGTGGGAAACTCGTAGTGAACAGCGGGCATGCCTTCGGCGACCTCCTTGTCGTAGGGCGCATCGGACACTTGGAGGACCGAGGCCTGGAAGTCTTGCAACAGCGTCCTCACTTGGAGATTGGCCCAGGATTTCGACACCTCGGGCACGGTCTTTCTCGTATATTTCGGAGGTTCCCGCTCCTTGACAGGCTCTTTCGACGCGACCAGATAGTTGGGAACGAGCTCGACTTTCTCATGGTCCTCGAGATACTGTTTACATTGCATTGTGATGAAATCGCCAGCTAAGGGTGATTTCACGATCGCTTGCTGTAACACGTAGCCGTCATGTACCGGCACGGCAGAAGTCTGAGTCGCACCTGGAAGAGAATGATCCGGTGATTCATGTTCTCAAACGCTGAGTCTGTAACTCGTGGAAGCGGTGTTCCGATGGGGCGAATCAGGTCTAGGTGTGTGCTCTTCAGCTGTTCTGCCGTTTACCTGAATCGACAATCACCGCCGTAGCCCTTCCGTTCGCGAACGCTGAGAGGACAGCATTTTTGATGAGGAAAAATGCGGGAACGTTGTACTTCTCGAACATGAGCTCAGTGAGTTTTTCGCGTTTCGGCCGGGTGTTCCATGACGCCTCCGAAATCAACACCGGATGAAGCTGCGACTCGGAGCTGGAAGGCAGATATTTGCTCTCGATCAGTCTCTCTATCCGATGCGGCCAAGGAAATCACGAGATTAGCTTGAACGATCCCTTCGAATCTATGAGTTCAGAGATGCGGAATCAGAAAACCCCAAGCTCTTACCGGATGTGTTTGTCATAACTGTAATCAAGAATCTTCTCGAAGAGCTCCCAGTCGTCGATGAGTCCATCCTTGAGGAACGATTGCAGCTCGACCCCCTTCCGCGGGTAGTTGAGGGCTCCGACGTCGATCAAATACTTCTTTTCTAGTTCGTCTTTGCCCTCGATGAGCTGATCCACGAGACCGATCGCGGACGGTATATCGGCTTTCGGAGCATCTTCTCCCGCGTATCCGGCGCGGAATGAATAGTGTCCGTAGTCGAACACGACCGCTCCAACTTCATCTGAAGCATTAAAAATCGCGAATTACTCAAGAACACATCTCAACTACGTTCGCTTTCATTCTGAAGGGCTAAATTCGATGATGGCGCCCAAAGCGCCCCAGGTCCTCTGATCGGGTTCGGATTTCTGAGCCACAAGCTCTTGTCGACGACACCGGTCACCGGGCTCAGACACGGAGTCCCGGGGATCAAAGACGCGACTCCGATGATAGCTCGGCATGGACCAGGTATCGAAAACACGGATGTTCGCTCAATAATATGACGACTGGGCTCGACTGTGTGTCTCTGGTTATAGGGATTCCAGTTCCAGAATTCGCTCGAGACGGAGCTGAGAACCTAGAGGATTATAATCTGTAGATTCACGTCGTGTTTACCTCCACCGTAGATTCCAGAACTCATTCTTCAGATCTGGATTTTGCGAAGAACACTTAAACTTCACCGTGAGGAGACGCTGGAGCCGCCAGCCGCGAGGCTAAACAACAACCCCGGCGATGTAAGCGCCGACCGAGAGGACGGATGAAAACAAACGGTCCGGCTTCCCTTGAGTGCACTTCTCACGCCTGCCTGAGAACTTCTGAGACGCCAATCAAAGACTTCAGAGCTTGAACTTAACGTTGATACGGGGTACAGGTTCGAGATACGATTCACACGGCTACAATGGGAGAAGAAGACACCGGCTCTGATAGTTCACTTTTGTCCCGCCATGGCGCTGCAAGCCACTTCGTGTTGTTGTTCTTCGTTGAGTCTGTTTGGCTCAAGCTGGCGGCCCACCCAGAACCGGCCTGCCGAACTGCCGACCCCCAGCTCTCCACGACAAATGAGAGGAGCGGTGTTATTGTTCGACGGCGCCAATGGGCAGCTCGGCGCGGGTTTTGAAAACTCGAGGTTCCTCGAGATAAGGAAATTGAGTCCTTGGTCGCTCCTTTCCGGATTCATCTGGCGCATGCGCGCTTTCGAGCGTTCTATCATATATATGCCATACCATCCGCCTTGCATAATGTCTTTGACCATGTCTTCCAATGTTCTGAGGAGAGTCATCGGAGATCCGAGAGCCACCTCATAGATTCCTCTTTTGGGGAGACTTGCAGCCGCTCCCTCCGCGGCAACTTGAGTTCATCTCTAGGGTCCCGGGTCTTCAGAAGTTGGCGGTAGGTTTCCGCCCGGAAACTGCGACCCCTGTCTTTCCTCGACACCGCTCGCTCGATCCTCTACTCGGAACTCTTTGAAGGCCTCGCTCCCTCATACATCGGATCTCTCGCGATGGCAATATCGAATGCCACGGCACTCGTGCTCTACTCACGAGTGAGCACAAATCTCTTCTGCTTCCTTGAGCTCATGATCTCGTTGAACCCGCGAGGACGGATCAGATGCACGACGATGTATTCATTTCCGGAGTTCTCCCTTTGTTTCTGCTGCGTCGCTCGGGAATTGCACGACAAAATCGGACAATGTACTCGGAGCTGTACAGCTCACACGGCTCTCCTCGCACTCAGTGGCTGTGCCTGGGGAGTTTCTCCTTGAGAGTTCTTGTGGGGAGACGGAGCCCGTCTCATTGAGACAGATCGTTTCCTTTCTCACTCATATCACTCATCATATCATTTCACTCATATCAAGGCCATGACGTTCAGAGAATCATACCACGCATAAAACGATGTCGTGCTGTACCTATGAGGTACGTCCATATATCTCGCTGTTCTTTGTGAAACTTGAGATCCCGTCCGAGCAGAAGTCTCTGTCGCCGACGTAGACATCCGAGATTTCCGACGTTCCCGACTTCTGCAGAACAGGGAAGAACCTCTCGAGGGGCAAAGAAGAAGTACAACAGTATCTCAAATTGGAGACTCTCAATCTTCTTCAGTTCTATTTTGCGCACTGACAAGCAAAAATCCCGGGAATGATCGTCTTAAGAGCTCCGTGATCTGTGGGCGGAACTCCCGGCTGGTTCCCCCTGTCGTCAGCCCCGACCTGTATTCGTCGAGAAAGAAACCGAGAACGGAGACGGAACTCGAGTTCCTCGCTGCAGTGATTCGCGATTCCTGAGGTGTCAGCGGGATGAATATTCCCAGGATATAAGGATCATCCCCTGATATGAGTCTGGATCGAGGTTGAGAGCGAACGTCTGTGGAGACCCGATGAGTCTCCGTGGTGAGAAGACGGCAAGGAAGCCGCAGGCTTCCCTCAAAGATCGAGAGCTTAGTATTCTGGTAACGGGACTTCGTTTCGCGTATCAATTACAAGTCCGGGTCAGATCATTCGCCCATCGATTGTAGTCGATCAGCGTTGCGAAGTCCTTACCACCCCTGAAAGTGCATTGAGATCCGATACTATCAAATACTGGAGTATATACATATTGTCCCTTCCCGGCTTTCGGAATCGGGAAAAGTGTGATTTAATCGAAGAATGCCGATGAATGGATACCGGGAATGAAAGAGGAATGCGTAAGTGCGATACTCCCGCACCGCTGGGGCTAGGCGATCCTTTTCGGATCACCCGCCGGCCGCCAGGGTAAACAGCAACCCGGTGCTGTAAGCGGCGACCGGGAACGAATGAAAACAAACAGTTTCGCTCCCATCACAGACTCAAGCCTCTGGCGCTCCGTTGGAAGGCGGCCCTCCTGTTCTCTTGTGTGGTGTCTCGATTTTGGTGATCCTTACATTAAGCCCAGCATCGAAGTCTGCTGATGGCGTCCCCTTACCATCAGGGAGGCGGGGTAGGCGGTGGCGGCATGATGGGTGGTGGACATGGAAATCAGATGGGAGGACCGCAGGGCGCTATGGGTGGTATGGGGGGCATGGGAGGCTATCCTCAGCCGAATATGGGGGGCTATCCCCAGCCGAATATGAGCGGCATGTCTCTCGATGGGCATAATATCAACAACGATCAGCAGGACCAGGACGGCAATCAGCAGGTCAGTTGAGAATCTTTTGATGCTAGAGTATTTGGTCTTCGACGTTCCGAGTCAGCGTCAAATCAGATATTTCCTCCAACCAGCTTGATTCTTGATCATTTCCGAAGGAAAACAACCAACAGCAGCACGGCTCAGAATTCAACATACCCGTCATGTGTCGGATCGGACAGGAGACTGTCCAGGAGATCGTGACGAAAGCGTGCGAGTTGTTCCAAATCCTCAAAACACTTCAGCCGCCCACAGGCACAATGAACGCTCAGGCGCAGAATCTTCAAGAGGTAAGTCCCAAGGTTTAGTTTCTCCCGTGCTTATCTCTGTCTTCCCGCGACACAGCCCACCCAAGCAAATTTCGATCTTCCTCCAGGAACGGAAAGCGAAGCTCAACGAGACCCTGAAAGCCTTACAAGGTCTCTTCAAGAGACTGCGTCGAGTTTACGAAATCTGCGATCAGAATGGATCGGGCGGTGAGTTCTCGTCGCTCGAACCCGACGTTGCAACGATTCAACTCGTCCCTCTTGAAGAAGAGCGCCGGAAAGACGAGGAGGAGAAAAAGCCCTCCGAGTACATGAAGGCTCTGATGGACGAGCGCCAGAAGCTGGAAGAACAAGTCCGCCTGAAGAACAAGCAGATGAAGGAAATCATCGACATGCTACGGAGTATTGTCTGCGAGATCAATACCATGCTCGCCATGCGAAAGAAACATCTTCCTTTCTCGAATAGAGTGACAGGCTTCAAATCCAAGCCGCCAATGTTCTAGACCGATTTTATATACGATTTCGACAGACGGAAACCTCGAGCGAGGCGCGACTGTCGCGCGATGCATTGTGCTGACGTGTTCCCGTTCAAGTTGGTGGCAGTGCGTTCACGTAAATCTCGATCCTCTTTTATTGTGACTCGGAGTCTCCATAGAGACGCCGCCCATAGGTTTCAGAAACATGATGTACATCTCCGACTGTAATAAATCCTCCCGATATACATATTATACCATCCCTTTCGCTGGCGCAATGATAGAAATGATCGGCCACGGGGAGATGAGCTCGCTCCTTCCCCTATAAGTCCGCTGGCCTCGCTGCAAGATGCCTCGAGACGCGGGTATAAGTCACGGAGAGGAGGAAACTCGGGGAAAAAGGTCCCAATCAAAGGTGGCTACTCAGTCAGAGGAAACCCGTGAACGACTGCCCGATCCAAGCGACCTCACCTCACCTTTGGTCACGAGAATTGCTTTCTGGCGCGAGCATACTGAAACTTGTTTGAAGTGTTTGAATTCGCGGCTTCCGGCCCGGACAGAATTCCGAATGTAATTTATCATGCAATCATAGATTTCGAACAATACTGCGCTAATTTTTATTCCATTGGAGACAATACTACTCTAGCTATCTATGATACCTACTTCGCAAATCCGATTATACTTTGGAGCACGCTCAGAACACACGCGAAGCTGGGTCTCGAGTTGTAGTCGGGGTTCCAGCATTCTTGCATGACCTCATATGCATCGGTGGGGCAGTCAATCGGGCACGGCAGACGATCGCCGTCCATGAGTGCCATCCCGATTTCCTTCGGATCCATTGAATAAATTAGGATCGGCTCCGAACCGAAAGCGAAAAACTCCCAGAGGAGGACTCTGAAGCTCCAGTGGTGAACATGTCGTGCAAGATCGATTCCGGAGCTTGCCATTCAGCTGCAAAGCAGCGACCCAGGAAGTGGGCCGGAAGGATGTTATCTCCCACCAAGCAGTGTGCGAGTCCGAAATAGCTCAACTTGGCGCATGAAATGGACTCTACCAGGATATTCCGCGCTGCGATACCCGATGGACGATCTTCTTCTTCTCTAGATACTCCATCGCACTTGCGATGTCACAGCCGAAATTGATCAGCTCTTCTTTTTCCATCAGGTCGCGATTGGCGTTGAGATACTCAGGCAGAGAACCAACGCCCACCAGCTCCATGACCATTAGCCTATCGCCCTCGTCGACAACTCCGATTATCCTCACGATGTTCGGATGCTCGAGCTGCGACATGATGGCGATTTCGCGTTCGAAATCTTCCACGGCAAATCGGTCAGCATCAGGATCCACTCTCTTCACCGCGACACTTTGAGGGTCGCCCTGGTTCTTCGTCAGCTTGGCTTCGAAGACTGTTCCGAAGCATCCCTGGCCGATTCGCTGACCCATTTGAAGATCATTTCTGTCGATGAGCGACGAATAGGCCGCTGAGCTCACCTGCGCTCCGGAGACGTCATTCCTCGCTCCGCCGAATTTCACCAGCAGACATTGCTCCAGAAGGGGAGCTGATTCTGCAAGCGAAACTTCCTCGCCCTGACGATAATCGACTGCGCGGAACATTTTCCCTACGGCCGCTTCGCCGATGGAATCGTCAACCTTGCGTTCCTTCATTGACAGCATCGAGGGAGATCCCGAAAGGTCCTTGCCCGCGAGATCGACATCGCGGAAGCTTGAAGTCTTTGCCATTCCTGTAAGAGGGGACATTATAACTGACTATACAGGGAGATCGGGATACCGCCTGCCTATCTGGATGTAAACTTCAGGATAAGTCCTCAGGAAGAGTCGCCTTCGGTGAACACTTACTTTCTCGAGGGTTATTTTAAACTGAGGAGTAGGTTGAAGAAGAGGATATCTCTAACCCTGCTCCAACCCAGCGAAAGATATTCGCCATAGATACGCTACCCAATGTATGCCAAAATGTACCTGAAAAGGAGTCCAAGCTTTCACCCCTCCCCCTAGTATGTACCCCTTGTCCCCGCACTCCGGATGCGGCTCGAATGGGAATGGGGCGGGGAGGGTTCTGATTTCGGAATTCCTCGGGTGTGAGAGGGCTTATAAGCTCCCATGAGAATTCGTTATTCTGGAGCCCCCGGTTCAAAGATCATAAATCATCAATAATGAGACTGAGCGCACCTTGCAGAGAGAACATAGTACTGATTCAGAGAAAATGCCCACTTATATGCGCCTAATGATCGAGGACACCACTGAGTGGCCATCTGATTGGGTCTGAGGTTCTTCCATCGGAGTTCTCGGTCGCTAGCTAGGACAATGTATTTCCTCGGGTCATTAAGGTTGGGGATTGTCTTCGAGTCCAAGGAGCCTATCTGCTCATCGGGAATGCGAGGGCATTCTCACAGGGAGTTGTGGGAAAAATTCCAGATATCACCGACTGACTCATTGCCGGTGACTTTCTCTTCGAGTGCGCTATGACCGATGCTATGCATTCGGTGACAGTCTTCAGGACATTCGAATACGACAGGATCCTGAGTTCATTGAATCATGAGACAATAAATATCAAGCTGAACTCCGCATTGTTTTATTTGATGGGATACGATTCGAATTGAAATATCTACCTACTCAGCGAATCCGATAATTTTTCGAAGCCTGTTCAAGATGATTGCAAAGCTGGATCTCGAGTTGTAGTCCGAGTCCCAGCACTCTTGCATGACATCATATACATCGGTGGGGCAGTCGATAGGGCACGGCAGACGATCGCCATCCATAAGTGCCATTCCGATTTCCCTCGGATCCATCGAATACATCAAAATGGGATCCTGACCGAATGTGAACGTTTCCCAGAGGAGGACCCCGAAGCTCCAGACATCGCTCTTCGTGGAAAATATGTCGAGCAAGATGGACTCCGGAGCCTGCCATTCGACTGGCAAGCAGCGGTCCAAGAACTTGGTCGGAAGAATGTCTTCCTCTTTCAAGGAGTGAGCGAGCCCGAAATCGCTTAACTTGGCGCATGAATCAGACTCTACCAGGATGTTCCGCGCTGCGAGATCCCGATGGACGATCTTCCTCTGCCCAAGGTACTCCATCGCGCTCGCGATGTCGCAGCCGAATTTTATCAGCTCTTCTTTTCCCAGCAGGTCGCGATTGGCGTGGAGGTAGTCTGGCAGAGAACCGAAGCCCATGAGCTCCATGACCATGAGCATTTCGCCGTCGTTGACGAGTCCAATGACCCTCACGATGTTCGGATGCTCGAGCTGCGTCATTATCGCGATTTCGCGCTCGAAATCTTCCGCAGCGAAACGGTCGGCGTCAGGATCGACTCTCTTCACTGCAACGCTTCGAGTCTCACCGTGCTCCGTCGTCAGCTTGGCTTCGAAGACTGTACCGAAGCATCCCTGGCCGATTTGACGTCCCACTTGAAGATCACTCCTCCGGATGAGCATCTGCTTATCGTCATCACAGCTCTCGGAATCATTGCACGAGGTGATCCTATCTCCGCCGACCTCCGCCTCGACAGAGAGTGACGGCGAGGCTGGTGAGATGGCCGAGATGGTCGATTCCGGTGTGTAAGGGAGTTCAGTCTCAGGAAGGTCGATCTGGTCGAATGGATTCCGAAACTTCTCCAGTACACTTGGTTCCATGACGAGAGCTGATTCTGCGAGCAGAACATCCTCGCCTTGTGGGTACTCGGCTCCGCGGAATTTCTTTCCGATGGCCGCCTCGTCGGCAGAATCGTCGAACTTGCGTTTCCCGATCGACGGTATCGGGAGAGCCCCCGGGAGGTCGCTGCCCGTCCCATCGACACCGTGGAAACTGGAAATCTTCGCCATTTCTGTAAGAGAGAACATTATTAGTGATTATATAGGGAGATCCGAATACCGCCTGCCTATCCGAATGTAAATTTCAGAATAAATCGTTAGGAAGTGTCGTCTTCGGAGAACACTCACCTTCTCGAGGGAAATTTTGAACTAAGGAGTAGGTCGGAGAAAAGGATCTCTCTAACTCTGCCCCAATCCAGCGAAAGATATTCGCCGTAGATGTGCTAACCAATATATACCAAGATGCACCTGAAAGAGGGTCCGAGCTCTCACCCCTCCCCCTAGTATGTACCTCCTCTCCCCGCATTCTGGATGCGGCTCGAATGGGGCGGGGAGGGTTCTGATTCCGGAATTCCTCGGGTGTGAGAGAGGGCTTATAAGCCCCCGTGAGAATTCGTTATTCTGGAGCCCCCGGTTCAAAGATCATAAATCATCAATAATGAGACTGAGTAATACTGATTCAGAGAAAATGCCCACTTATATGCGCCTAATGATCGAGGACACCACTGAGTGGCCATCTGATTGGGTCTGAGGTTCTTCCATCGGAGTTCTCGGTCGTTAGCTAGGACAATGTATTTCCTCGGGTCATTGAGGTTGGGGGTTGTCTTCGAGTCCAAGGAGTCTATCTGCTCATCGGGAATGCGAGGGCATTCTCACAGGAAGTTGTGGGAAAAATTCCAGATATCACCGACTGACTCATTGCCGGTGACTTTCTCTTCGAGTGCGCACTCGACCGCATCATTATTCGAATCATCAGAACATCATTATTCGAATGTCCTGACAGTCTTCAGGACATTCTAATACGACAGGATCCTGAGTTCATTGAATCATGAGACAATAAAGCTGAACTCCGCATTGTTTATTTGATGGGATACAATTCGAATTGAACGATCTACCTACTCAGCGAATCCGATAATTTTTCGAAGCCTGTGCAAGATGATTGCAAAGCTGGGTCTCGAGTTGTAGTCCGAGTCCCAGCACTCTTGCATGACATCATATACATCGGTGGGGCAGTCGATAGGGCACGGCAGACGATCGCCATCCATGAGTGCCATTCCGATTTCCCTCGGATCCATCGAATACATCAAAATGGGATCCTGACCGAATGTGAATGTTTCCCAGAGGAGGACCCCGAAGCTCCAGACATCGCTCTTCGTGGAAAATATGTCGAGCAAGATGGACTCCGGAGCCTGCCATTCGACTGGCAAGCAGCGGTCCAAGAACTTGGTCGGAAGAGTGTCTTCCTCTTTCAAGGAGTGAGCGAGCCCGAAATCGCTCAACTTGGCGCATGAATCAGAGTCTACCAGGATGTCCCGCGCTGCGAGATCCCGATGGACGATCTCCCTCTGCCCAAGGGACTCCATCGCAGTCGCGATGTCGCAGCCGAATTTTATCAGCTCTTCTTTCCCCAGCAGGTCGTGATTCGTGATTGGCGTGGAGGTAGTCTGGCAGAGAACCGAAGCCCATGAGCTCCATGACCATGAGCATTCCGCCGTCGTTGACGAGTCCAATGACCCTCACGATGTTCGGATGCTCGAGCTGCGACATGATGGCGATTTCGCGTTCGAAATCTTCCACGGCAAATCGGTCAGCATCAGGATCGACTCTCTTCACTGCAACGCTTCGAGTCTCGCCGTGCTCCGTCGTCAGTTTGGCTTCGAAGACTGTTCCGAAGCATCCCTGGCCGATTCGCTGACCCATTTGAAGATCATTCCCGTCGATGAGCGACGAATAGGCCGGTGAGCTCGCCTGCGCTTCGGGACGTCATTCCTCGCTCCGCCGAATTTCATCAGCAGACATTGCTCGAGAAGGGGAGCTGATTCTGCAAGCAGGACTTCCTCGCCCTGACGATACTCGACTGCGCGGAACATTTTTCCCGCGGCCGCTTCGCCGATGGAATCGTCAAGTTTGCGTTCCCTCATCGACAGCATCGAGGGAGATCCCGAAAGGTTCTTGCCCGTGAGATCGACACCGCGGAAGCTGGAAGTCTTGGCCATTCCTGTAAGAGAAGACATTATAACTGATTATACAGGGAGATCGGAATACCGCCTGCCTATCTGAATGTAAATTTCAGGATAAGTCCTCAGGAAGAGTCGTCTTCGGAGAACACTTACCATCTCAAGGGTTATTTTGAACTGACGAGTAGGTTGAAGAAAAGCATATCTCTAACTCTGCTCCAACCCAGCGAAAGATATTCGCCATAGATGCACTACCCAATATATGCCAAAATGTACCTGGAATAGAGTCCGAGCTCTCACCTCTCCCTCTATTTAGTACTCGCCCTTCTCGCATTCCGAATGCAGCTCAGCTGTGGGAGGGGCGGGTGAGGCGAGGAGGGGTCTGATTTCGAAATTCCTCGGAAGTGAGAGAGGGCTCAGAAGCCGCCATGGGAATTCGTTATTCTGGAACCTCTGGTTCAAAGATCATCAATGATGAGACTGGGCGCACCATGCAGAGAGAACAGAAGAGGACTCCGGTGTAAGTCTTCGGAGGAAGCGAGGATCCTCCACAGGGAGCCGTCCCAGCTTCTCGCCTTCATTATCAATGATATTAGAGATTTCAAGAGCGCGGGGCGCCCGCGTAGGCACATTACACTCGCTGAGCACACATCATTCCCAAAGGATCCCGAGACTTCGAGGCGAGAGCTCGGATCCATATCGAGGGCAAGTCTTCGGCGAGGTCATTTCCAAATTCCATTATGAAGATATAATCAATCATAATCGACTGGGTGCGTGCGTCGATGAATTGATCTCCGGCATCCCGGTCTATTCCTCGATTTGATGACAGCCCGCGCTCCCGAATGACGGTGAGCTGATCTGCGAGGAACTCCCACGTTGGACGGATGCAGCGGATCGAATGCTGAAGTTTCGAAACTCATTGTCCCCCGCAGAACATGTGCGCAGTATCCTTTTGATGGATATCCGACATCGCGAGATATGACAGTATCGGACGTGAAGATTCCAGTATAGATTATCTGGGTGCAATCGCCTCACATAGCGGATTCAGAAGTATCGTCAGTTGCTGCCTCGATTAGGAATGAGAGGTCAGAGTCAGACTTCGGTCGCCAATCTAACACTCGAGAGCATCTCTCGAACACAACACCCTCTTGGCGCACCCCCAGTGCTCCTCTAGACTCTTAAGTGTTTCTGCAGATTTCAGACCAAAATGTCGCTTCCGAATGGGAATCTCTGTCTCCTATCTACGGGACTCGTCGTCATTGCAATGAGTATAGTAAGTCGTGTTCAATTGACCCCTACAGACGGAAACTTATCGTCCCCACAGTCTGATAAGACAGTGAATGGTTAGGCTCAGACTGGAAGGAGCTCGACGGGTCCGTCATTCATCTAGAGGTAGACTAATAATAATATGCCGAGTGGTCGCCGCAGCGATGCACATTCCCGAGTAGCTCCCTCTCATCGATCGGATCCGAAAGCGGATTAGATCGCATGATCGCCTGTCTGGTCAATGCAGGGAGCATCTTAGCCTTCTAGATGAGGTGAACGGCCCCAAGCCTCGAACGAGGAGATCCTCATTGAGGAGACTCTTCACAGGAGACCCAAGAATGGAGCCCGTCTCAAGCGGCACAATGTAGTTTGCTCCGCTTCGTGAGTAGCTCACCAGGGGAATCTCGACTTCCGCAGTGATAATGGTAATGGTAATTTATTGATCCCTCCTACTTGATAAACAAAATCAGAGTGCTCTCTTCTTCAGAGGCGGATTTACCTCAGATCTTGGATTCTTTCCCTATCTTCCAGCAGCCTCTTAGTTCTGTCGAGTGATGAGAGGTCCGGAGCGTCTCGAAACGAGCTTTTCGTCCTCCACATATCTATCCCCGCAGTCGTGCAGGACGTGCTCGACCGATTCCTAGTGGACACCACGTTTCATACATGAGCTGTCCAGGTTCGGCGTGAAGTGAGACCTGGAGCTCCTTGTCTGCAAGGCTCCTGCCTTTGCGAGCGCCAGGAGGGCGCTTCCACGCGAGTTGTCGTATCGGACTTCCCTCGAACCTCTGATCCTCTTGAAGTTACGATACCTCGTCAGGGTAGACTTCTTCTCCATCACCCGCACGCCATCCACCGTCAAGTTTACCTGTTTCCCGATATGACTGTTGAACTTATTCAGACGTGAACGTCCGTTCAGGAAAGTCGGTTGAATCAGGGAGCAACCGAACTGCTCTCGCAGTAGCTTCATACGTTCGTACGCGGCTGTTTCGACTCCGGTTGGCTCGATCATATCCAAGATATTTTTCACCCATCTTGTCTCCGGTAATAGATTCACTCTATTGAAGAAGCGAATCTTACTTTGCGCCCCCCGCGCTATGAAAGGCGACCAGCCAAGTTCCCCCCGACAAATGAGGTAGCGACCGCCGAGTAAGGGATACCACGGGCGCATCTTCCGACCTCGTTCTGGGCTGTCGTGAGTTTCTTGTTCAAGCTAGCCGACATGCTTACCACGGCGTTAGCATACGTCACTTGTGGAACTGCTGTGGCTTTCCAGAGGATTCTAGAGATTTCAAATCTGTTGAAACTCCAAAGGACCTGGGCCCGTAGCTGTCTTTGCGCTTCAAGGACCCCTCTTATCACATTTTCTCCTGTCTGTCCAGATAGTTCTTCGAGCTGGACAGAGTTATGCCGAGAGATTTGTAGGAGTCTTCGATCGGGAGTCGCTTTCCCTGGAGGAGGAACTTCCGGGAGGTGAGTCCCGCCCCTTCGGAGAACACTACAATCGCGCTTTTTGAGAATGGAAGCTTATTCCCATTTCCGACCCAAAGACGGATGTTACTGAGAGTAGTTCTTCCAATTCTTTGACGCTCCTGCCGAGGAGGACTAGATCAGGGGTGGCCAACCTTTTTCGTCCCGCGGACCACCAAAGTCATGGCGACGGACCCCGCGGACCACCAAAATTTAGGTCACCCGTTTTAAAATCAGAACGCGAGAAGAAGGGGGCCAGAATACATCAAGAATGCACTTAATTTATCTTCATAGCACCAGATATTTCACCTCTTCGAAATACAAGCATGATAGAGATAGCAAAGAGGAGCTGCGCAGGAGTTTTCACAATCTCCATGGACTCCGAGTTCGAAAACAATTAAGAACGTTCACGCAACCTACGTTAACGTGTATAAATAGAATTAGTGCGATACCTGTGCTTGCTTCGACGACAAGATCGCGTCGATCTGAGGCGCTAGATTCGTAACTCCTAGTCGAAGTTCCGCGTGCATCTCGAGGGAAGTCCGATATCTAGTCTTGATGGCAGTGACAGATGAAAACGTTTTCTCGCAGAGGTAAGTTGTGGAGAATTGCACCAAAATCTTCATCGCTTCCGCGCTCAGCATCGGGTATTCTTGTCCAACTCCGAGCCAAAAATGAGCTCTCGACAACGAAGCGTGGAACTTCATCTGCAGGCTCGCATCTGAAGCGAGATCCAGCAAGCTTTCTTTCCCTTTCATGCACAAGTTCGTGTCGTCAATTTTCGCGGTGAACGGATCCAGAATCCAGAGACTGCCATTTCTGGGATCTTCTTGCTCCGGGTAGTATTTACCGAACAAATCCATGAGGGTTTGTAAATGCTCCCGGACGATTACGACCACTCCCTCGCTGAGGTGATTCTGCTTCGAGAACTCATCGAAATTAGGAAACATCGGAAAATCTTTCTCTGAGACTGCGGCGTGCCAAAGAACTAGTTTTTTACGGAAGCCGTCAATCTTCGCTCGCAGCGTGAACATATCGCAATGCTTCCCTTGTAAGGATAAATTCAGCTCATTCAAATGAGAGAAAATATCGGCCAAGTATGATAGTTTGGCTTTCCAATCTACATCGGACATGATAGCAAGGAACGTCGAATTGTTCTGCTGCTGGAAAAATACCTTAACTTCTTGCAACAAAGAAAGAAGTCGATTGAGAACTCTCCCACGAGACAACCACCTGACTTCTGCATGCAAGAGGAGATGGGAAAACTGAGAACCCATTTCCTCACAGAGAGCTTCGAAGATACGCGAATTCAATGGTTTGCAACGAATCTCGTTCACAATGCGGACCACATCAGACAAAACGCTGTGCAATTGTGGAGAGAGTCGTTTCGCAACCAGTTGTTCCCTATGTATGATGCAATGGGTGCTCAGCAAGTTGGGGTGTCCGACCTTCTTGACTCTTGCTGTGAAACCCATCAGACGTCCTGTCATATTAGCGGCTCCGTCCGTGCATACCCCAATGCAGTTCTTCCACGGTATGCTATGATCTTCGAAAAAGCCGTCAAGGACTCGGAATATTTCGGAGCCAGTTGTCCGACCCGGCAGTTCCACAGAGCAGAGAAGTTCCTCCAAGAGTTCTCCGTCGTGTTCGACCTTGACGAAACAGACCAATACGGCTTTATCGTCAGATCTGTTGACTCGTCGATCTGGATCGAGTAGAATGTCGACTTCTTGACCAAATCGATAATTTGATCTTGGATGTTATCGGCCATGTGCTCGATTCTCCGTTTCACCGTGTTGCGCGACAGGGAGATACCTCTGAGTTTCTGGTAAGCGTCGTGTCCGATCACCTCCTGACTCGCCAGTAGGATGCATGGTTTTATCAATTCCTCGCCGATGACGTATGCTTTCTTGTTCTTCGCGATTTCGAGCGATATCAGATACGAGGCTCTCATCTGGGAGTTATTGTCACCAAGGGTCATATTTCTCATTGAATTCTGTTGCTGCTTGAGTTCGTCTCGCATTCTCTGAAAGTACTCCAACGGTTTGCAAGCCAGATCGGGATGTTTCAAATCTCGGTGCCTCTGAAGTTTGGACGGCTTCATTCCTTCATTCGATAGGCACTCCGAACAAACAATGCACAGCGGCCTAGGCTCGAATTCGCTACCGGGCTCTTGAATGAATCCGAATCTGAGATAGCTCGCATCGTACTTCCGCGTGCGTTTGTACTGCTTTTTCGGCCTCCCCGATGCCGCTATTCTGCCACCTATCCTGACCGGAGAGAAGTTCGAGGTCCCAGATATCTGTATCTCCGACTCAATTAACGGCATGGCCTCTTCCTCCAAGTCAATAACAGGATATCGTACTTCCCCTTCAGTGGCTAGCTCTCCAAAAGATGGGTTGTCATCGGCGTCCGCGGAAACGTGTTTTCGCTTCCTGAAGAAGCTCTGGATTCTGGCCTGACTCTTCCCGCCCATTCCGAGGAAACTGCTGGGGATTCTTCAATGAACTTGGGTGACGCCTTCCGGAAACAAGGCTAGAAGCCAGGCTCGAGCTCACTCTCGATCGAACAGTCCGCGGCGCGTACACATTCGACTGAACCCATGTGCGCGATACCCAAGCACAAATATTTAGGAACGGACGTTCCAAATCGAGACGGAATCATCTGCTCGCTCGGCGTGTGGTGTGTGAAACTTCGACACGCAGAGCACAGGTACATACACAATCACGTCTCGTATCCAATGCGCCTTCAGCAGCACGCGCGGCCGTCTCATGACTGACGCACATAGGGCTGTGCAGATTCCGCCGCGAAAGTCATGGGCTGTGCTCGTGTCAGATAAGCTCCCTCTGGTGTAAACTGGACAGAATGCTCCGCGGACCACCAAAATATAGGTCGCGGACCACCAGTGGTCCGCGGACCCCCATTTGGCCACCGCTGGACTAGATCGTTGGCATACAGCAACCCTGGGATGCTGAGGAATTTCTTCTGTCGAGTGACAAAGAAACCCCTCTCGTGCGCACGCGGAAGCCCGCTCCTGTTTTGAGGAGTCGGCCCTCCAGTTCACATATGTAGAGGGCGAATAACAACGGCCTCAGGGGACATCCTTGGCGAAGACCTGTTTCGGTGTCTATCTCCTTCGGAACTGTCTCCTCGATACGATAGAATCAAATCAAAACAGTTTATTATCACACGAGCTGTGTAAATGCTTCTTAAAATACAGGTACATACATATACATGTGTACGCCGGGCCGGGCATTCAAACTCTGAGGATCGCTCCTCCCTCGGATCTTCCGATCTTGCTGATCGAACCGACACGTACACACGAATCCTCCACTGGCTAGTCAAGGAAAACACGGGGTTGTCCCTCACGGTCGCTGATGGGGGGATACGTGCGCTAGTGAGGGATTGGGGCTTGGAGTTGTCGAACGTGATAGACATCTCTCGTGATGATTTCCCGAGTGAATGATTGTTATCTTTTTCTCCCTCTCTCCCCTCTCCCTCACGCGACCGTCCCCGATGCACGACATTTATTGTTGGACACTGCATTACTGGAAATATCTGTATGGATACGGGAATATGCACAGATTGGGCCCTACTTTACACCATACGACGACTCGTATGTGACACACACTCCCTTAGGTGGTATCTTGGGCATCTCGCGCCGCAGAAGGTACATCGGCAGCGGTCGTCTGCCTCGTGAAATTCCCGATTTGCGCAGACCAAGTGATGGAATCCGTGGACTGCGAATCTTGTTATTGCATTTCGGTTATCCCTGTCAGCCTCTTTCCATCTGTTGTTCGTCATCGCTGGTGTTCTGTAGAGCTCTGGATCGACGTCGTCCATCTTTTGTCCCTGAGTCGTCAGGAAATCTCTTAATGCTTCGGTGTCGGCGAGATTGAATCTAATTCTCAGGTCCTCGCTGGAATCTGGAGGTCTGGGCCAGGAGATACACCAATCTGTTTCTCGTTTGCGGTGGAGGCCGATGCGAAAGAGTCCTAACTTTATTGATTCATAAGATAATATATTCCGAGCAGAACTTTGCGTTATTCTAGCTGACGAGTGATTAAATTATCTACCTACTCAGCAAATCCGATAATTGTTTCTACCGTGTCCAGAATAATGGGGAAGCTGGGTGCCGAGTTGAAGTCTGAGATCCAGCATTCTTGCATGACATCATATGCATCGGTAGTGCAGTGAATCGGGCATGACAGACGATTGCGTTCCATGAGGTTCATTCCGATTTCCCTCGGATCCATCGAATACATCAGAATGGGCTCCTGACCGAACGTGAACATCTCCCCCAGAAGGAAACCGGAGCCCCGGAAATCGCTCCACGTGATGAACATGTCGAGCAAGTTGGACTCCAGGGCTTGCCATTCGACTGCTGAGTGAGCAGCGATACAGGTGTTACCGCCCGCCACTGATTCAGATGGAAAACAACCTAAACTTATGTTTCACTGGGTGTGGACACAGGGGTAGCTTTATTCGAGTAATTCAGAGCTTGGCAGAGACGACCGTGAATCGTCTCTGAAGCTGTCACTGACTCACTAAACTCTGAGTGGATGCGCGGTTTGAGACAACCGCGTAACAGCCCTCCTTTCCCGAGACCCCTCTCCCTCTCGGGCCCGGAGATTTTACACTTCACGATGGATAGAGTACATACATACATACTAAATAGGTCTCTCCACGCGTAAATATGTAGATACCTAAGCTTCACCGAACCCGCTTCGTGACACCAGGAACTTGGCCGGAAGGATGTCCTCCTCTTTCAAGGAGTGAGAGAGCCCAAAATCGCTCAACTTGGCGCATGAATTGGACTTTACGAGGATGTCCCGCGCGGAATGATCGCGATGAAAGATCTCCCTCTTCCCAAGGTTTTCCATGGCACTCGCGATGTCACAGCCGAATTTGATAAGCTCTTCTTCCCCCAGACCGTCGCAATTATCGTGGGGGTAATCTGGCGGAGAGCCAATGCCCACGGGCTTCTCGACCATGAGCGTCTCGCCCTCGTCGACGATTCAATCGACGCGCACGGTGCCGAGATGCCTGGGCTGCTCCATGATCGCAACTTTGTGTTCGAAATCTTAATGTGTGTCAATAAATGTCAATGTGTGCGAGAGGAGCGGCCAAATGATGCACAGGGCGCGAGAAGATTCGGCGCGGATTTCGAAAATCCAAGAATTGTCGGATGTGGAGCCCCAAAATTATCGGGTCTATTCGGAGAAAAAGGTCTTGCACGTAATCAGCTCTGACGATCCCCGAGATGAGGAACGGAAAAACTCGACGCTGCTCAAAGAGGTTCCACCAGGCAAGGGCGCTCCTCCGAGCATTTGGTCATGCGCCTTGAATGGTATTCTCTATCCTGCGTTTCTACGTTCTCTGGACTCTCGTAGGTCCGAGGGCAACCCCATCGAGTACTCCGGCACTAAGTCTTCGGGATTGCGTCAGGCGGAAGCCATCGTTCGAGGAAATCGGGGTAGGGAAATTGCTGCAGATGAGGCTTGTCAGCCTATTGGACGACGGACTGGAAATGAGAGGAATCCTCCAGCTATCGCTTTCTCATCTCTACAAACGTGCAATCAAACTCTCGAGCAACTTACGGGGAGCGGCCATGAGCGGCCTAGCATGGAATTCGGGAGCTCGATTCAATCCCGAGGCTGCTGCCCACTCGACGCTCTCGTCGACAGAACTGTTCCCGCCCGTGAGGCGTTTCAACCAAATAGCATCTCGCTCGGTCGGCGGTTTAGCCCCCCTGACTTCTTGCCGTGAAATGACCGTGTTCGGTCCTTGAGAAGAACCTGTCTGCGGGAGGGTCTCTACTCCACGGTTCCGACGTCCTCGTCTTCTACCTCTCGCAGCCAATGTGGGTCAATCCGCAATTGTTCGGGAATGATGAAAAATTTCTCCGGACGAAAATCCCCGAGCGGATAAAAAACTGAACGTTTCGCATCATCCAAAAACTCGTCTTATCAATTTATCCGTCTCCTACAGCATGGGTATTGAGTGCCTAGTCATGCCCTTTCGTTCATCCGTACAAGCTTTTTTGGGCGAGCCTGCGAATGTGCACTGAAGTCCTTCAGGATAAGCCGAGGACATCACACCATAACAACTACGAGAAGCCTCGGAGTTTTTGCGGAGGGGAATCAGTCTCCGATGAGATGATGTAATCAGTAGTGCTCTTCTCGCAGAGGCTCCGTTCCAGATTTTCGCTCATTGCAATTGCGACCAGCATTAGTATCGGGAGTTGTCTCAACGGAGAGAATCCGATGAGCCGGCTCAGATAGGAGTCCGGAGGGCGGCTGTGTTTCAGACTGGAAAGGATCGGAGGAAGGAATGGGACCAGAAACCTTTCCGCTAGGCCGATGAGTTTTAGTGAGACCCCGGGGAAACTCAATCTGGCTTATGAGGTGGAGCTCGAAGTTCTAACACCAAACGTCACCGATATCACCTACGCCGGTTACGGATGAACGGATACCGACGTATGTGAATGGAATTCCTCCGCTGTGTCGGAAGGGGGCATCGCTGCAGTGAAAGAATCAGGCCTTTCCATTATGGCGGTTAGGGCGCATACGGAGGACGAAGTCCCGGCGCTGGGAAGAGGAAGAAAAAAGATTCTCTCGAAAAATACCGATAGATGAATCTCGTGAACGCGGGAGGAGCCTTCCGGAACTTCCACCGTGGGAGGCACCTTGTTCGGAGACATCTTCGAACGGGATCCCTTGCTCGTCGCAACGGACGCCCTCAGAGTTCGCACGCCGCTGCCCTCCATTGACATTCCATCGATGAACAGGTGGAAGGGGTTGACATGAGGAGCACTTCCTCGCGCTTGGAGTCGTGGACCCCTGAGCCCTACGGCTCCGCAGCGGGCGCCCGTTCATTCGCGGAGCTTACCGGAGCCGTTCTCAGACCCTGATGATTCTTTCACCCCGGGAACCCCCGCGACACCGACCCGGGATCCTCGATAGGCTAGCGATTTGACTTCGAAGATGCTTGTGCGGGGTACTCCCTCTATGTCGAGGGGAAGATTGCCCTTTTGGATCACCCGCCGGTCGCGAGGGTAAAGAGCAACCCCGCTGCTGAAAGCTGCGAGCGGGAATGGATGAAAACAAAAACACGCTTCCAATTATCTTTTCACCACGGAAGAACTTCTGGCGCCCTGTCTTAGGGTGACCCTCCTCTAACTTTCAGTGTGACTCTAATCCGGAGACCCTATCATCGAGCCTGCTCATGGCTTCTCCTCACCATCAGGGCGGCGGTATGGTGGGCGGTGGACATGGAAATCAAACGGGAGGAATTCAGGGCGCCATGGGTGGTAGGGGTGGGCCAGGAGACTATCCTCAATCGAATGTGAGGGGCTATCCCCCGCCGAACATGAGCGGCATATCCCTCCATGATCATAACATCGACAGCGATCAGCAGGACCAGGATGGCAATCAGCAGGTCAGTTGAGAATCTGTTGATTCGAGAAAGGTATCGAACGTTCCGACTCAGTGGTACAGCAGGAGTCCTCCACAACCGGCCTAACTTCAGATTTCATCTTAGGAGATCAACCAACAGCAGAACGGCTCAGACTTCAACCTAGCCGTCATGTGTCGGATCGGACAGGAGACAGTCCAGGAGGTCGTGACAAAAGCATGTGAGTTCTTCCAAATTCTTAGGACAATGCAGCCGCCCACAGGGACCACGAACACTCAGGCACGGATTTTCCATGAGGTGAGTCAAAAGCTCGAGTACTGCCCGGTTCCAGGCTCCTCTCTGTCTCACTGCGAGCGAGCTCACCTTACCGAACTCCGATGTTCCTTCAGGAACGGAAAGCGAAGCTCAAAGAAACCTCGAGAGCCTTGCAAGGTCTCTTCATGAGACTGCGTCGGATTTACGGAGTCTGCAATCAGAATGGATCAGGCGCTGAGTTCTCGTCACTCAAACGGGACGCTGGAGCGATTCAACTCGTCCCCCTCGAAGAAGGGCAGCGGAGGGACGAAGAGGAGAAGAAGCCATCCGAGCGCATGAAAGCTCTGATGGACGAGCACCAGGAGCTGGAAGAACAAGTCTGCCTGAAGAACAAGCAGATGAAAGAAATTATCGATGTACTCAGGAGCATTGTCTATGAGATCAATACCATGCTCGCCATGCGGAAGAAACATCTTCCTTTCTCGAATAGAGTGACGGGCTTCAAGTCTAAGCCGCCGATGTTCTAGGCTGATCTCGAGTGAGGCGCGGAGGAGCCGCGATGCATTGCACTGACGTGTTCCCCTTCGAGTTGCCGGCGGTGCGTTCATCCTCATCTGATCTTTTTTTTAATAAGGATTCGAGGCCTTGATAGATAGAGAGACCACCCAGAGGTTCCGAAAAATCAATAAGCGTCTCCAACTGCAATAAATTCTCTGAATACACATATACATACATCATCTTCCCTACTGGCTCAATCAGAGGCATCATCTCTCACTGAAGACGTAGCCGGATGCCCCCCTCTCCCCGATGAGCCCAACGCTCTCTGGAGTAACCTTCCCCCGGGTACCCATCGGTCTTGATCTCCTTTGCACCCCAAATTCCGATACGAAGAGGTCCTCGACGCTATTGCCTCCCTCCTCCGGAGTTTTGCGGTATGCGGTATTGCATTCGCTGGATCCTCAGTTAGAACTTGATGTTCTTGTTGGGAAGGAATTTCGTCTCAAAATCAGCCGCCCAGGACGGACGTCTTCAACGGCAGGAGGCACGTTCCGTAATTGAGTAACGCACCGTGGATTATGGGTCGCATTGGTCTCGGTGAAGACTCTCACGAAGAACGAGCCCAGCAAGTCCCGCGAACGCGTGGATCCTACACGGAAGTTTACAATCTCTTCCCTCCGCCTAGCACGTGCGCTTTATTTCCGATCATATTTCTGAAAGGATAGCTCCCAAATCGCAAGTCCGTTGGTCTCGCTGCGAGATGTCTCGGAACGCGGGTATAAGTCACGGAGAGGAGGAAACTCGGGAAAGAAGGTCCCAATCAAAGGTGGCTGCTCAGTCAGAGGAAACCCGTGAACGACTGCCCGATCCAAGCGACCTCACCTCACCTTTAGTCACGAGAATTGCTTTCTGGCTCGAGCATACAGAAACTTGTTATTTGAAGTGTTTGAATTCACGGCTTCCGGTTAGGATAGAATTCCGAATTTATTTAATCATGCAATCATAGATTTCGAACAATACTGCACTAATTTTTATTCCATTGGAGACAATACTACTCTAGCTATCTAAGATACCTACTTCGCAAATCCGGTTATTCTTTGGAGCATGTTCAGAACACACGCGAAGCTGGGTCTCGAGTTGTAGTCGGAGTTCCAGCATTCTTGCATGACCTCATATGCATCGGTGGGGCAGTCAATCGGGCACGGCAGACGATCGCCGTCCATGAGTGCCATCCCGATTTCCTTCGGATCCATTGAATAAATTAGGATTGGCTCCGAACCGAAAGCGAAGATCTCCCAGAGGAGGACTCCGAAGCTCCAGACATCGCTCTTCGTGGTGAACATGTCGTGCAAGATCGATTCCGGAGCTTGCCATTCAGCTGCAAAGCAGCGACCCAGGAAATGGGCCGGAAGGATGTCATCCTCCTCCAAGCAGTGCGCGAGTCCGAAATCGCTCAACTTGGCGCATGAATTGGACTCTACCAGGATGTTCCGCGCTGCGACATCCCGATGGACGATCTTCTTCTTCTCGAGATACTCCATCGCACTTGCGATGTCACAGCCGAATTTGATCAGCTCTTCTTTTCCCAGCAGGTCGCGATTGGCGTTGAGATACTCAGGCAGGGAGCCAAAGCCCACCAGCTCCATAACCATGAGCCTCTCGCCCTCGTCGACAACTCCAATGATCCTCACGATGTTCGGATGCTCGAGCTGCGTCATTATGGCGATTTCGCGTTCGAAATCTTCCACGGCAAATCGGTCAGCATCGGGATCCACTCTCTTCACCGCGACACTTTGAGGGTCGCCCTGGTCCCTCGTCAGCTTGGCTTCGAAGACTGTTCCGAAGCATCCCTGGCCGATTTGCTGACCCATTTGAAGATCATTCCTGTCGATGAGCGAAGAATAGGCCGGTGAGCTCGCCTGCGCTTCGGGGACGTCATTCCTCGCTCCGCCGAATTTCATCAGTAGACATTGCTCCAAAAGGGGAGCTGATTCTGCAAGCGAAACTTCCTCGCCCTGACGATACTCGACTGCGCGGAACATTGTTCCCACGGCCGCTTCGCCGATGGAATCGTCAAGTTTGCGTTCCCTCATTGACAGCATCGAGGGAGATCCCGAAAGGTCCTTGCCCGTGAGATCGACACCGCGGAAGCTGGAAGTCTTGGCCATTTCTGCAAGAGAGGACATTATAAGTGATTATACAGGAAGATCGGAATACCGCCTGCCTATCTGAATGTAAGCAGAATCATTCATAGAAACAGTCGTCTTCGAAGAACACTTACCTTCTCGAGTGTTATTTTGGGCTAAGGAGTAGGTTGAAGAAAAAGATATCTCTAACTCCGCTCCAGTCCAGCGAAAGATATTCGCCGTAGATGTGCTAACCAATATATACCAAAATGTACCGGACAGAGAGTCCGAGCTCTCACCCCTCCCCATACTATGTACCCCCCCCCTCCCCGCATTCTGAATGCGGCTCATATGCGAATGGGGCGGGTGAGGCGGGGAGGGTTCTGATTTCGGAATTCCTCGGGTGTGAGAGAGGGCTTATAAGCCCCATGGGAATTCGTTATTCTGGAACCCCCGGTCCATAGATCATCAATAATGAGACTGAGCGCACCGTGCAAAGAGAACACAGAAATAATAATTCAATAATACAGACCAAATTAATGCGCCTGAGCATCGAGTAAACAACTGAGGGCTCATCTAATCGAGCCCGGGGTCTTTCCATCGGACTTCTCGTTCGCTAGCGATGACAATGTGTTTCCTCGGATCATTGAGGTTGCGGATTGTTACTGAGCCTAAGGAGTCACTCCGCTCATTGGAAATGCGAGGGCGAGATTTCCAGCATTTTCGCATGACCTCATATGCAACGGTGGGGCAGTCATTCGGGCATGGCAGACGATCACCATCCATGAGTGCCATCCCGATTTCTCTCGGATTCATCGAATACATCAGAATGGGGTCCAAACCGAATGTGAACATTCTCCAGAGGAGGACCCCGAAGCTCCAGACATCGCTCTTCGTGGTGAACATGTCGAGCGGGATCGACTCCGGAGCTCGCTATTCAACTGCTGACGACCCAAGCAGCGACCCAGGAAAATGGCCGGAAGGATGCCATCCTCCTCCAAGCAACGTGCGAGCCCGGGATCGCTCAACTTGGCGCATGAGTTGGACTCTATCAGGATATTCCGCGCTGCGAGATCTCGATGGACGATCTTTTTCTTCTCAAGATACTCCATCGCACTCGCGATGTCACAGCCGAATCTGATCAGGTCTTCTTCGCCCAGCTGGTCGCGATTGGCGTGAAGACATTAAGGCAGACAACCAAGGCCTACCAGCTCCATGACCATGAGCCTCTCGCCCTCGTCGACAACTCCAATGATCCCCACGATATTCGGATGCTCGAGCTGCGTCATTGTCGCGATTTCACGTTCGAAATCTTCCACGACGGATCGGTCGGCCTCGGGATCCTTTCTCTTCACTGCGACACTTTGAGGGTCGTCCTGGTCCCTCGTCAGCTTGGCTTCGAAGACTGTTCCGAAGCATCCCTTGCCGATTCGCTGACCCATATGGAGATCACTCCCGCTGATGAGGGACGAAAGGGCTAGTGAGGGGGTCTGCGATACGGGAACGCCATGCCTCACTTTCCCAAACTCCATCAGCAGGCATTTCTCCAGGAGGGATTCTGCGAGCACGACTTCCTCGCCTAGTGGGTACTCCGCTCCGCAAAACTTTTGTCCCGCGGTCGCTTCGTCGATAGAATCGACGAATCTGCGTTTCCCCATTGACGGCATCGAGGGCGATTTCGGAAGGTCCTTGCCCGTCAGATCTACACCGCGACTCTGACGGCACGTTCGGCTATCTCCTGATTCCGACGATGCGGCAGTGCCGGGGGCGCAAGACTGCGAAAATAGGGTGTCCCGTCGAATACAAGCGCCTTCAACTCCCAGCCCTGGTTTTCCAGCGCGAGCAGAGAGGAAAATCGGAATTCCGCGGTAAGATTCCCCTTACAAGACAGGCTCCTTACAGGCTCGATCTGGACGTCTGGACTTTCGATTTTGCCCGCTCAAAGCGCGTGGTGGTGCTGCTCTCTCTCTAAGTGATCGGCTCCACTGAGTTTTTCTCCATGACTTCCCCGTCGTCAGAATCGTCATAATCGTGTTGTTCCAGCGATCAGATAAAGGCAGCTACCAGGCGCTCCTGGTCCTCAAGATCAACCTGTCGGAGCTGGACATACTTGTCCGCAAATTCCCTGGAAGAGTGAACGCATCCAATTATCCACGAAACGATTTGAGCTCTGACAGCCTAAACTAGGGTCGATTCTGATTTCAGTCGGGGGCATAGTCATCGTCAAGGTATTCCGGGCTGTCGATCGGGTTTTCTGCGCCTATGAGTAAGATGAAATGGAGAATATCTCGAGCTTCGCTCTGTGCAGCAGGAGATTCTTTTTGAAATCAGCTACTCATCCTATGATTAGAATGTGCCGAAAAGAGAGCGTCCCAGCTCTCAGCCCTTTACTTGTTATGTATGGGTATCGTTTCTTGCATTCCTTACGCGGCCTAGATGCCGATGGGCGAAGGGTGGAAAGAGTACCGTCACACGGAGCCCCCCATTCCCGGAGCAATCTCCGGAAAGTAGAGGGGGGCATTCTGGAGAAGCGCCATGAGAATTCTTCATTCCGGAATTTCCACCCGCAGGAGTGATCCTGGATGGAGACAGAAAAACTTCGCTGGCAGATGTACCACCAGAGCCTCGCCCCAGCATACTCAATTTCTCCCGCGGGCTGTCGTACAGGACAGATTTTGGCATATCCACAAAATTCGAGGCGCCTTGCTCCACCGCAGGTCTGCAGAAAAGTCTCGGAGCGCCCCTCTTGCCGGGATCGGGTACAGCCCCTCAGCGCCAGGAATGCTTCCAATGACCGCAGAGAAAACCGATGTTCACTGAATATGCTGAGGACCCTAGGGATGCTCGGAAAATCCCAGTTGAGGGTCTGGATATGGGCGATCCATGGGGAGGACAAGCATACCCATCACAGGAGCTGCTGAATTAAAACATCCAAAATCCGAGGGAGACGCAGTTGGAGCACCTCGCGAGCACACCGAAATGGAGCCCGGGAGAGGCACGGGAAGGCCGAGAACGTGCTGCAATCGCTCCCAGAACGACACAGACTCGCGTCGCTTCAGGGGATCAAAGAATAAATTAAGACTCTGATTCAGCTTACGGAATGAATCGCCACTTCGTAGGGAACCTCTCGCTCAAGGAAGTCAGGCATGCACGTCGTCAATCCTCGGAAACTGAGATTCCCCCGAGGCACGCGTGTCGCGACCAAGGCGTATCCTCGAACCAGCAGTCTTTAAGCTGAGGATCCGAGATTGTCGACATCCACTGGAGAAGTGGACGTCGATCGAGCCGGGAGTGGCCGCTGTGGCACACTTAGGCTAGGATATGAAGACGAGATCTGATTGCCGGAACTTCTCAGCTCTACTCATCACTCAGCCCCGCCTGTCACTTCTAGAATTTCTTTGAGATGGTACGGGGCGTTCACAGAATTCCAAGGCTCCTCATTTCCTCTGCTTATCAGGCGCCTGCTTTCGTTTTCTCGGAGAGACCTCACGACTAAATTCTCAGAGGTACTGTACAATAGGCTGAATGCATCGAGGCGAGAAAAAAAGTCGACTTCACGCAATGCGGTGTTCACGTATGCGCTATGAGTCCAGAGTTGCGAGGGGCCCAAGCGATGACTTCTGAAAGTTCTCCATGTCAATATACGAAAAGGATTTCCGCTCCTGACGAAAAAAGTTCGAGCGAGCAAGTGCGTTACACGGTCTGATCATACGAATAGGCTTCATGTTAGAGAGACGGGCATCATATGGGGGGGGAAGTCCCGGACCTGAGTCGTGAAGTAAGCTTGATCAATTCTTTCCTAGAAAGATGAGAAAAATAGACAGAAAGCCTCGACCCACGGGCAACCTCTAGACCTGGAGGGTCTTCGAGGGCTCGGAAAATAGACGGGCATGACCTTCCTCAGGAATGTAAACCGTACCTCTGTCGTAATCCGCATGGAATATATGCTCTTCACCTATCCGGGAGCCCTCCATGTATATGTTACGCCTGTGCGACAGGTGATCAGATGTCACGTCTTTGTGAAATCGATGTATTCCGGGTGAATCTCAATAAGTAGGGTCTTTACAAGAAAGAATATGTGGCTACGAACATCTTCATGTTTTTGAATGGCCAATCATCAGAGAGGACATCAAACGCGCCTATTCTATCTTCTGAATACTCGAAACGGATAGAGTTGAATTGAAGAATCTTGAGTTGCATGTCCGAGCATGACGATTAAAGCAGTGGATATCGGGTAACGAGGTCGTGCTCGAATCCATGCCTATCATGGGAGCTCTCAGAGGTTCCGGATCAGAACGGTCTCGAGTCCCCCCGACTCATCTGCGCAATCTACTCATGCCGAATAGGAATGAACATATCACTGATCTCGTGCTGGAGATGGTTGAAGAAACGTGAGTTTTCCGCGCTCCGACACGTCGGAGCTGCTGGCATAATTCCGATCAGCGCGACGGGGGTACGAATAAAATCCCCCGGTCAAGGATTGTAAGAAGCGACATGCGGCTCTCTGAAGAGTGTAGGTGAATCGGGATCTATCTCATGGATGAGTCTGATGAGAGGACAAGCTTCGGAAGGATTTCGAGACCTTAGGGAACCCTGCTAGTGTTCCTTGGAACGATGATTCCTCGCTCTGAGAACCCTTCGTGCGACGAACTTCTCTGCGGTGCACGTCATCGAATATTCCGCGGATTCCTGAGAATCAGCTTTAGAGGGATCTAAGAAGGCATTTCCTGCCTGCTGAGGGAACGGGTCGTGACGTGATCTATTCGCACTCCTCGCCCCTGCGGGCAGGATCATGTCCTGAAGCAATCCCTAAGACGGATTAGTATGGCATGAGGAATAGGAAGGGGTGGGCCAGGTGTTCCTCGATCTTATAGAATGCCCCGGAGAGCAATGGGGTATGGATATTATAAGCGACCCTGAGGGTTAATCACATCATCCTCCAAATCAATATCTATCGAGCTTTATTCTTCCAGCGAACATGTGCCAACAATTACATGTACCTACACCTATGTCCACCATGTACCTACATGATTCACGTCTATATCACAATGTACGTATGACTATATTCCACGTGTGGATCACCCGGTCGATTCGACCATGTTCTGGAAGGTTGCCAACAGCGTGGCGAAACTGGGTCTCAAGTTATGGTCGGATCTCCAACATTGCTCCATCATCAGATACACATCCGGGGGACAGTTATCCGGGCAGGGCAAGCGATGTCCGTCCATGAGGGCTCTCCCGATCTCCGTGGGATTGTCTGAATACTTCACGACGGGATCCATCCCGAAAGTAAACATTTCCCAGATGGCGACACCGAAGCTCCAAACATCGCTCTTCATCGTAAATTTGTTGAACAGGATGGATTCTGGTGCATACCATTTTATCGGGAGGCTGCGATCCATGGACTTGATCGTATAATAGTCCGCATCGGAGAGGGTATGTGCGAGTCCGAAATCGCTCAATTTAACGCACGTCTCGGACTGAACAAGAATGTTACGCGCAGCCAGATCCCGATGGATGATCTTCCTGCTCTCCAGGTACTCCATAGCGCTCGCAACATCACGGGTGAACTTGATGAGCTCACGATGGCTCAATTTCTCTTTGTTGGCCTCGAGATAGGCCGGCAATGCACCCATACCGATGAACTCCATGACCAGGAACATCTCTCCCTCGTCGATGAGTCCGATGATTTCAACGATGTTTGGATGTTGGAGCTGTTTCATGATATCTAGTTCTCGTTCGAGATCCTTCTGATTACCGTCTCTAACCGCGGATTTCACTCTTTTGACGGCGACAGTTTGCGGTTCGCCCGAGCTCCGCGTCAGAAATGCTTTGAAAACAGTCCCGTAGAATCCTTGACCGACAAGCTCTCCCATTTTGATGTCACTCCTCTGGATGAGCCAAGTCTCATCATTCGAGACATCGCATAGCTTCTCTTCTTGATTGCCCTCGGAATTATCGCAGCTGAATATGTTGTCGTCGCAAATTTCAGTGTCGACCGTGACTTGCGACAGGGCGAGAGAGCTGACCGTTGACAGGGTGTCGTATTCCTTACTTTTCCCCAACAGTAATCGGAGGAACTTGCTCTGCTTCCATCCTTTCCTGCTCGCTATGGTTGATTGACTCGTCACTGAATCTCGTCTCCGGAGATCTCTGATGGATTCCCGATTCGACCGGGAGGGCAACGGGGGCGGCGCCGGGCTGCAAAGACGGGGTCTGGTCAGGGAGAGAGAAGTTTTCGAGCACCAACGGATGAAGATCCGTCGTTGAATCTTCCTCTTGTCGACTACCAGTGAGTAATTATTCTGTTCCTCAACTTACTTGACCGTGCTCATTTTCGAGAAGTCGATCTGAGCGTAAGTGTTGTACTTCCCAGGCTTGTACGTTTGATAAAGTAGCTGATGTATGGTGCGCACGATCTCTTTCGGGACCCTGCGCTTTTCCGGATCGCTGTGCCAGCAGTCCGATATGATTGGGCAGAATTCCTGAGGCACTTCCGCAAGCGACAGGCGGTTTCCGCTCGCGAAGAATGCTTTCGCATCCTCGTAAGAAACCAATTTGAAAGGACTTTCCGCCTGGTGGAAAATCTCCCACATGGTTGTCCCGAGAGCGTAAAGGTCTGCTTTCTGAGCGTGTGCGACCGAATCCATCACAGAGAGGTATTCCGGGGCGATCCAAGGGACGTCGTCCTCGTTGTACACCTGCAGTCCCGGTTCGCCTAATTTGACCTTGAACGAGTTTTCTGATCGGTCGACTACGAAAGCAGAGCGACAGCGGATCCTGCCGTGAACGAAGCCTTGTTCTTCCAGATACCATACTGCCTTTGCCAAACACAGGGCAGCATCGCCCAGATCACCAATCGTGAGGTCCTCCCCGGAGTTTCTGAGAAAACGGAAGAGTTGGTAATCCACGGGAAAACATGCTCAGTAGAGCCCGTGCTTTCAAGCATTTATGATTTTCCATCGACTTATAGTCATGAATTATTTTCCCAATTTTTTTTCAAACTCTTCTCGTTGGGGAAAGAATGAGGAGGATCGAGAGAAAAATTGAAAAAAAATATCATTATCATAATTAATCATTCATCAATGGATAGGAGCTAATGAAAACGTGATCAATGCTTGAGGCCACGGGCTCTGATGACCAGACGAGGTTTTCGGCTGATTATTCGCTATGTTCTGAACTCACTTTAAGTAGAGATCGAGTGACCCGAGAGGTATGAATTCCGATGCTAAGCAATTGTATGGATGAACTCCGAGGCCGAGTACGGGAACGATTTCACGACATCTCCAGTTGACTATCTCATCCGCTTTGTCGAGAAAACTCCTCAGGAGGCTGTTGTCCAGGAGGATGCGGTATACCACCACACGATTTCTATAAGTGCCCTGTGAGAGAGTTGACGATACGTGTTCATTCCTAGAGAAATCTTGATCTACTTCCATCGGCGATGAGACGCCGGATATTCAAGATCTCACCTTGAGCACCCTCTGCTGCCAGCTGCTCCGCAGAACTGTCCCTTCCATCCGAGCTAAGACATATCGATTGAGGAGGAGACCCTTCCCATCGTTCTCACCACCGGCTTCCTCCTCTGGGATCTCCTTACAAAGTTGCAGGCCTGTCTTCTTGTAGTCACAAGGTGCCAAATGATAAAGTTTCAAGCCTGGAGTCAGCCTCGCGTTGACAAGATCAGTGAGCTGAACGAAAGCATTCTCTTCCGAGTCTCCCTTCAATTTGAAGTGGCCCTCATTCGTCTCGATAACTCTGCTCGAGACCACGCGGCCGTTTGGCGAAAGGATATCGACGTGATAGACTCTATAAAGTTGACGATCTTGCCGCACCAAGAAGCACCCCTGAGAAGGAAAGAAAAAACGTCGACCTGATGCTCCACTGAATCAGAATCTGCCTTCGGTATGATCGAAGTTCTCCGTCGCAAAATATTCCTCCGACATCTCTAGAATCTGTCCTCACCCTATGATCTTTGATTTCGTGCAGAATGTTCTCCGCAACCGCTCTCTTGATTGGACCGTGGATTTTGCGCTTCTTCATTGCGACGATCGAGGGCGGTTGGATGTTGGGGCACAGAAAAGCTGTGAAACGTCCGGTCATACGATAGTAACCCTCAATGAGTGTCACGAGCTCGACGAGTCGATTCTCCTCGAGAGCGAGGTAGATTGGATGCTCGTCGCGGACGTTCAATTCCAACAGATTTTTATTCACGATGTTCATGTAACACATCTGCGTTATCGGGAAGCGTCTATCATCTTGCTGATCCCGGAAAATTCTGAGGAAAGGACCCTCTTTCGCTTCCGCCGTGCAGTACGACAGGTGGCCAACAATCACATCGGCTTGATGAACAGTCTCGTTGTCGAAAACGCGAACCTGCGAGGAATTAAATTATCTCGTGGAATTAAATCCGCACCTGGTCGAGACCATGAGAGCGCGGCATCACCGACCACGCTCGACTCCGCGGTGTAAGGCCTGCATACCTTGAAGTCTTCTTGACGACTCTCGAGTAGAACTTCCCAGATTCCGTCGATAAAGGCAGTCTCGATGTACCGGAGATCTCGTTTACAATTCTCGTAGCACCGCTGTACGTTCTGGATGAAGAACTTTTTCACAACCCTCTTCTTCCACCACGAGAAATTCCAGCTCGGGGGAAAGGTGATCGACTGAAGAAAGTCGGCACTTCTATCGTTACTGGGCGTCTCATTGTTTTCCACCAGTTGCTTGACGTAATCCACCGCGACTAGACCGATGAGATGACTGACTAGCTCAGGGTTCGGCTCTTTCAATTTGAACTCGTTCAAGAGGTAATCCAGAAGCTGGTAATAATAAAAATCTAGGACGTTGTCTTCTAACAAGAGCTCCGTCTTGATCGGATGGAACCTGTCGAGATAGATGATACCCGTTTAGCTCAAATTGATCGGCATGGTGCCACAAGGCGAAGCATCCTGTCCCAATTACGCCACAGGGAAATTCCCACAGATTCCTTCCTCCAATCGAGTTTCATGGTGAAGGTTGACTACCTGATGCGCAGCTGGAGATTATATTGTCTCCCATCGCCCCCGACCGTCTGGTGGGGGCTCAAGAAAACTCTCTCGTCCAAGTTGTAGAGCGTTGTCAAGTACCTGCAATCGAAATTTCTGTATTATGCGAATTTCCTGAAGCTCCCGGAAGGAGCAGGGGTTATTACGGAGGACAACGGAGAATGAAATGCCAGGCTACAGCTCCTCCTGGGATATTTATCCATGCTGAGTTCCCATCGATGAGGGACCCACCGGTAAACGGGCGTGATTCCACTGAGCTCACAAGCTCTCTGGATCAAATCATCGACCGAATAAGCGCTCGTCGACTCCAGCAGAAATGTTTCCACCTTGGGCAGATAGCTATCCAGCGAGATTTTCGCCATCTCTGGGAAGGAAGGAACCGTCCTGAGGATTCCGCATCTCCGCTCATTCTAATCATCATCTGATTCCCCCAGTTGACGGAAGAACTATCTAGCCACTCCAGTCTCCATTCTATTATACGTTCGCAGAGCGGAGACTTTGTCTCAGAACAGGCCTCGGAATAGTTTCTCTGGATGATAATGTGGCGGGCGCCGCACGCTTCCATATCATTACGCAAAAAGGACGAAACGATAAATTCATTGAGTACGTAGCCACTCAACCTACGACCCGTGTTGTTTATCACTCGGTAGTTGAACACACCATAGATAATACTCACTACTCAAACATATGATGACAACCCCGCTCTCAGCAACTCCCACTCCGAAGTCAGAAACTCCTTGTTTTCAAGAAATTTTGACGCTCTTGCGAAGACCGGTGCGTACTCGTGCAGCGGAAAACAACAAGTTAGGGTGCCCGAGTATCAGACGACCACTCTCGCTTGTTTTTGAAGACCGCTAGCTCGGCCTATCGAGATCACAGTCGCTATCTGTCCTCGGTGAACGAAGGAACTCGACGAAATGGAATAATACTCTATTCTCCAACAAATGATGACAACCGCGCTCTCAACGCAGAACCGTCCCACTGACACTCTTCAATTCAATAGCGGTGGGGGTGATCTCAAGCACCCTCCCAAAACCAAACAAACAGAACGATGGTTCGAAGTCTCGATCGGTCGGACATACGTTGATTTCCCGGAATTTTCCGAGCAAGCAACCACCGATGATGAGTCGATCTTGCCTGCAGATGCCGCGCGGGCTCTCTCAGGGGCCAGAGAGATGAAAACAATGATGCTGTTCATCTTTGGCTGTACCCTCTTTGAAATCGGGCGATTCCTTCTGCCAGAGGTCCGACTCCGGCTCCCCCACCTCCGCGCTGATGCAATCCAAAGAAACTAAAGATTGGAGGGGAGCTAGATGCCGAACTCGGACTGTCCGATCACGGGTTCCGCGAGAGAGCTTGGGACCAGAAAAGCTCAGGAGCTCCGAGGGATTACGTATCAAGAAACAGAGCAGCAGCTCGGACTTTCAGACACAACGTTCGTCCTTCATCCCCACTTAGGCGTTGCTTAGGAACAGATCTAGTGAATAGGGTGGGTGCTATACTCCGAAAGGGTGCTCGATTACCTACCCAGATGTTTTGAGAATGCACGCGTCATGCACGTTTCAATTCACTACCTCAATTTCAACGTCTCCTCCCGTGCTCGGGAATGACAATCAGCCCTGTCTGGAAGCGCGAATCAACAGGCCCATCAGTTGCTCAGATCTCTGGGACCTGGCCATCCAGAGAGGCCGCAATATTGAGTTTCCAGCAGAATGAGGGCAGGGATCTACACCAGCCATATTTAGCTTCCGAAGCGAACTTCTGGAGATACACTGGAGCCACGGGAACATTTTCCACCCTATGAGGCTTAGGCATCAGGTAGCTCAACGTCTCATTTATGTAGATCTAGAAAGTCTGTACTACACTACATGAGCGATCGATAGAAGCATGATGCTCGTTCTAGTTGAGCGTATAATGTTCCCATCTTCGCAAACACCATTCGGAATCTCTATTCTGGCCATTTTTCAAGCGTTCGGGTGGTCCTTCTCCGGACATCCGATGCAGAACGATGCTGACTGAAATGAAGTGAAAGGCATGGGGGACTCCAGAAAGTTCTGCAGAGAATCTTCTCCAGGATTGGTGCGAAGGGCTCGGAGTTTCGAGATCCAGGGCCACCTGAGATCTCCGGGGAGGCCCAGATATCGTGTCCCCAGGCGGAAAATCCCCATCGTCGTTCTCACCCTGAAATCCAGGAGCTCCGAGGTCGGTTCGGGAGAAGAATTCATCTCGCGTTCGGACAGAGAGGAATCAGGATGGTCGAGGACAAAACAATATTCGGCCGTAGCACGACATTCATTTATTTTGTAGAAAGTTTCCTCGCTGATATATGTACAGCAGTCAGTTGGCACGGGAGAGAGCATTAGTGAGCTTTTTTCGACCGCATGGGTCAGCATCAGACCAGAGATCGTGCCCGATCAAGGAATCGAGATTAAACAGGTTTCTGATGCTGATCCATTAATGATCGGCGAACGAATTTAGCATCATTATACGAGACTTATGGACTGAAACATGTGGTGGGTTTGGGACAGTTTTTTCTCGGCAGCCTTGGCTTTGATCAATTTCAGGAAGGACTCCATGAAAGCCTTCATCGATTGGTCTCCTTCGACGTAGGCCAGGAGAGGTAGCTTTCGTAGACATCTCCCGCTGAGTCCCCCAGAGAGTCGAACACAATCGTTCCAGATGGGTGCGAGGTCCGATCCCTCCCCGAAGGGGGCTTTCTCTAGGAGCTTTCTCTGCAATCGAAAATGGCGCTCCTTTGCTCGATCTGTTCTCGGAATATCGATATGTCTATGATGCCTGGGTTCCGTTCAAAAGCATACTCAAAATCAGAATCTACTGCTGACCTTGATCAACTCCTCGACACAGGAAGCGTATATCTTCGAGATGGCTCCCGAAGAAGGATGCCCGATGTAGAGGCAGAGGTCAGCTCTATCAACAAAGGCTCCATCGATTGTCGATTCAACGTTCGATGTGGTGAAGATCAAGACATTGGGCAATCTGAAATATGACGGCAAGGGGTCGCATACGCTCAAGGGATCAGAATCTCGAGAAAACTGATTCCCGTACCAGGGATCGAGGAATCAGAGGATAGTCGGCAGAATTCAGCGGTAAATAGCTTACGATTTGAGTTTGTCGAGCTGGGTAAGAAGAGCGTTCACCACTCTGATGGAGTCAGATGGCTCGTTCCCGGAAGCCGCAGCTGCCCTCGAATGCGCCAGTGATTCCACCTCATCGATTAAGAGACAGACAAGAGCTGTTCGATCGCTAGCGATATACGAGATCTTGTCGAACATCTGCTGGACTAGTTTACCGCTTTCAGAGAAGTATTTACTGAACAAAGAATGAGCGTTGATCTCGACGAAGTATTTGTGCTCGAAAGTCTCTGAGAACTTCTTCGCCAGCTTTTGTGCTATTCCCCGGCATAGAGATGTCTTCCCGGTTCCTGGAGGTCCGTGCAGGAGTATCACTTTATTCAAGGAGATGATGTTTTGGTCGACTTTCATGTCCGAGAAGAGCACCGTTTTCGAGGCATACGATAAGAGCTGAAAGAATTGGATACTATTAGCTTGATTCTGGGTCCGCTGTGATTGTCATGAAAAGGACAGGAGCGATGATAGAGCTCATCGCGTATGCGGCTGTTCTCCCGGACGCCGAGTATGCATCTCTCACCCTATTTTTAACATCGCTTTCAAAATGAAGATTTTCCCAGATCCCTTCTAATTCTGAGCATGGAAGTGTCAGGATCTGAGCGGCGTTCTCGTTCGTTGAGTCCACTTCGACGAATTCGGTGCCGTACCCATCATTGTTGAGGAAGTAGAAGTAATATTTCTGAAAAAGAATACCGGTTATTCGAAGGAGAGGTCCAACGGAGATGGGAAACCGAGAGTTCGATCTTCTGAAATATTGACCGGAGGAGTATCTACCAATTTTTCCGAAACATCCGAGTCATCCGTCACGATTTTATCGACCACTTCATGGAGCTTCGTGCCCACGAATTCCTCTACTCTCTCGAACGGGAGACGTTCTTCAACGAAACTTCCGACGAGCTCTTTGATGTACTCTGCATCGAAGCGTGACTTGGAACAGCTGGAATGAAGGGAAGGTCATGAACAACCCAGAACTTCCAATTTCCTCTCTGGAAGCCGGCAGCTTACGAGGTCAATCATGATTCTGACTTCTTCAATGTATGTTTCGATTGGAAATGAATCCATGACCAATAAAACCGATTATGCTCCCGGACTCGGAGCAACCTGGCGATTGAGAGCTCTGACAATCTTAAGGCGGGGATGTCATACATGGCTCCGAACGAGAGCTCAAATCCATGGTTGGCCGCTCACGAATCTCCAGGAGTCCGCGAAAGATGTTCGCGTCTGAAACGCGCTCATCCCCACGATCAACAGGTTGAACCAACGATCGAGAATCCTAAACTCACCCCTCCAAATTGAGTTGAACCTCGATCAGCATTCCGTTCGACAGAAGTCCACGCACGAATCACAAATGCGAAGCTCTAGCAACGAGCGTTGCTCTTCTGACACAACACAAACTTTGCCCCGAGCCGGAACCGGTTGGTTACGGTTACTTTCTGGAAATTCAAATCGCTCGTCGATGGCGGTATCGATGCGGCTGATGTCTCGGTGAGGCCCGGTCTGGCGTCTTCACTCAAGCGTAGAGCGTCGTCCTCTGACGCCGCTACCTAGCTAGTAGAAGAAAGGAGGTTGCCTCGTCAGATCTTCTCGCAAGTTGAAGAACCGAAGTATAAGATCTTTCCGCACGGGGATAACGGGTTGATCCGAGTGAATCCGCTTGATGTATCTGTAGGGATTCGAGACATTTGCCAAAGGCCCAGGGAGCAGGATTCTTTCATAAACCTGAGCGGATAGTTTTGTGCGATCATCATTGAGAAGCCCGATTGAGACGAGCCTGAGAGAGGATTCGAGTCTTCGCGAATTCCCTTTCTCTGCATGAGACTCGGGCGTCGTGCAGAGAGTTGGACAGCATTGTGGACGGTTAGCAGTAGAATGGGAACAGTGGCGGATCCAGCATTTCTGCGAGGGGGGGTCAACGTCTTTGGGTGGGTGCGGATTGATACCTGAACGTTCTTTCAACATGGGAAGTACATAGGCGGGAAGAAGGCGTGAGGTAGGGGCGGTCGCCTCATGTCCCCCCCCCCCTCCTGGATCCGCAACTGACTGTGCTTACGGGACATTCTCAATCAAGTTGTCGGTCTCGATTGGAAAGCCACAGGGTGATTCAGAGGATGAGCTAGCTAGAGGAGTCGATCGGGTCGGCAAGTCAAGTTGTACATCAGGGTACCGAAATTTTTTGTCCTTCCTCCTTCCCCGCTGTTGAGACCTTCCGGCTCCGCGGGCTGGTGGGCAGAATTAAGCAGGACTCGTTTCACAACCTCGCTCCTCGTCCACGCGGGCTATGCTCTCCCATGTCATGCCCCTATGTGCTGCCTCGGCTCACGACATGCCTCCCGTGTTGGCCAGATCGAGGTTCAAATGGACTTGAGCGAAATGAGATCGCTTTTCTTGCTTTTTCGCTCCTCTCATCGACCGACGATGATCGGTAACTTGAGCTTGGATCGCAGAGTTCACCTTCCCCGCCAAGGAGCAGCTTCGAGGAGCGATTCCGCCTCGTGAGTTCATGGATTCATGAGCCTTGGGAAGATACGCGGAAGGCATTCCGGAAAGCGTTGTGTCGACCCTAATAAGGTGGATGAATCCCCGAATTAGCGAGCTATCGGATCAGAGATCCCCTTTCTTGACAGTCCGCGCGCGTTTCTTTCCCCATCTCTTCTGTGCGAGCTCTGCCTCTGTTGTATGCCGTGTCCTGAATACTCATCATTAGAGGGGTACAACCGGCTCCGAGCATTCTCATTTTTATCTGGATGCAGCGGAGACGAAAGTTCTCGAAAGGGCGCTTTTTACTTGATGAAGGATATTGTCATTGCGTGCCGTGCTAGGGGAGACAGGGCGAAGGAGGCCACTTCGAGCTTTCTATCGAGCGAAGTTCCCGGAGCCGCCTTGGCTCGAACGCGTGCTGCGTACAAGCCTTTCCTGCGCGTGGACGAACTCATTCCGGCTCAAGAATAATCATCACTGCTGGGAGAGAACTCAATCCTCGTCGGATAGAGCGGGTCCGTTTCCGGAAAACGGTGGGGACCGACTCCGTGCGTCCAGAACGTCTCTTCTGTTTTGTATTCATCGACGCCTCTGCAAGTTAGGACCTAGCCCGTCTGGCTGGTCACAGAATTCTTCCGGATCGGAGGGAGGGAGCAGTGAGAAGGAAACTCCGGCAACGCGAGTGAGAGGCAATGATGGGCGGCGGTGTTTGAAGTTGTCGTGTGGCGCTGCAGCAACAGAAGAGACGCCCGTACCTCGGGGGACCGAGGCTGCCTTAAAGTTCTCCAAATGTCAATTTAACATGTCACTGTCGTGATTTCGAGACAACACACCGCACGCCAGAGACCGCAGATTAGCTCCGTGATCTGGAGACGTCGGGGCGAGTCATGCAGAGAGTGCTCAGCTTGTCGAAGTTCTAGCCAGGCGGCGGTCGTTCGGAAGCGTTTCGTTCCGAAACGGTCGTCGCAAGTCACGACGTCCGACACACGGAACTTTCGATTAATTTCCTGCGGAGTACGCCATGCCATGCGAATCGAATTCGGCCGCGAATCGCTGCGTGCATCGTCAGGGACGCTGGGGAAACTCCGCCGAGTTTCGCTGGCCGCGAACGATTCGATTAGCTGAGCCGGAGGACGAGGATTATCTTTCGTTTTCCCCCGTTCTGCGACTCAAGGATTGCTTGTTGCTGAACATTAATATTTACCCAGAGGACTGGTAGAGTTAAAGTTTCATCGGGAGGATGTTCCGCTTTCCACCCAAGCGATCCCCCATTCTCCCGCATCGTACAGTAAACTGCTCCCTGCTCATGTTCCTTGTGCTCGAGAGCTACACTGGTCACTTCCTCCTTCTGTACATTATTCAAGGGACGCAGGGTTTGGCGAGTCCCATCGTCACGGATTTCGCTGGGGTTCACGATGTCGGAGTCCGTTCGAGACAGGTCCGGAGACAATTCACCCGAGCCTCTACCTCATTTACATGTCCCTTTCTCCCTCCGAGCGCTGACCACCGCGACGAGATTCTCCACGAACGTCACGAAGAGCCGTGCTGCCACCCCACCAACGCGTGCTTGTCGCTCGGGATAAAATATGGAGAGATCGTTTCTCAACGGAATAGAAGAGACCGGAGGAATAAGCGCTCCCGTCGTCGTCAGGGGCAGGACATTCGAGCGGCGAGGGGGCACGCAAGAGCTCCAGTTATGACTTGAGGACGACATAAGGGATCGAGACGACGACGACGCGGCGGCGGTGCTGGTAGCCGCGTCGACCGTGCGACGTCAGAGCCACAACGAATCTAATCATCCAAATGCAGCGATATTTCACCAACAAAGCGGATCCTGTCGGACTTATCCTCGACGGTGCTTTCTCTCTCCTCCATTCTTGCGACGTTCTTCCGTCCGCTCGCGCGTGTCTCCTCGTCTCGCTCTCGACCCAGCTGCGTTCATCCTATCCCTCGCGTGTGGCTTCTCAAATTTGTTTTCATCCAACGCTCTTAACCTCAGGAGATTTGCAATCCGTTTCAGTCAAACATTAATACTGTGCGTAGCTCGGCGGCTGTCTCCGGTCGCGAGGCACCACGACCAAATTTACAAAAATGGCCACGGGGACAGAAACTTTTTCATATCGACATTGTCATATCGGCGGTGGCCGGGAGTTGTTGAGACGAATCTATCTTCTTCCGTTCTCTCGCATTCCGCTACCAAGGATCCGAGCTTCGAGCCGAATCCCCAGCTTTGAGCACAAGAGCTCGGCATCTGGAGTTTTGCAGGAGATTCGGTGATCGTCTTAACGAGCTGGCGTGACGAAGAACTTTCGGCAGGAGAGGAACATTCCTAGGGATTGGTGGCAAGCAGCACTTGGCGCAGTAAAGCAAACCTGCGTGCTGCTTTCCGCTGCGGCGAGTCTCCGGCAAGCACCCTCCATGCCTCCAGGTGCTCGGGTTTTTAGGTGTTGTTTTATTTGAATAACTGCAATTAGCCTTAATTATCGAGAGCTGCTGAGCTGCAAAAACTCTTAGTTCACCTAAGTTTCAAGAGAACGAGGGAACGAAGGGCGAGAAGAAACCGTGGCATTCAGGAAGAGGATCTGGATAAAACTTCGCCCGGATGTTGCAAATGCAACGCGGTCTCCGTTTTTGCACCGCAATCTTTCCCTCTTCATTCATCGAGGACGATTGTCGGAACGAACGTGATTCGGTGCTCGTGACCACGATTCCACGATTGGGAGAGCTCGACGAACTCTGATCCGGTACCCAGGAGAGCTTCTTGCTCATCGAAAGCTTCGCTAGGTTTTGAAGACCATGTCGAGAGCGAGGTCTGCGCGCTGAGCCGCGCGCGACCCGGGCTGCTCATCTATCCGCTCGTAGAGACGTCCAGCCGTTCTCTGCGAGGGGCAAAGTTCGCCCGACTTAGATCTAAATCTAGGAGGGAAGTTAGTTTATGCGGGATAAAATAGAGAGTCGCGGGCTCCGTTGTTTGACTAATGAGATTCTACTCTGTTCCATTCTGCGCCCTGTTCCGAGCCAGTGCGAAGACCGCAGCGGCCGAAAAAGTCTGAGGACATTTTGAAGTCAGGGACAAATTATGCCTCGGCTTCATGAGGACGACCTACGACGACCGTGAACGCGACTGCGACGAGTGGAACTAGGTACATCAAGTGCTCCAACATCGGCAGGTCCTCGACAGTGTCCCATAGAGGGAGAGGAAAAAGTTATCGATGGGAGACCCTCAACAAGAATGCATATTATTCTTGGCCCGTGGATCTGCTCTTGTAGCATTTATTCTCGAGAGAATTTCCGTGAGGCGAAGTCACTTACAGGACCGATACGAGAATCTGAAGTCACGCACTATAATCCACATGGAGGAGCACAACGAAGATCCGACGAAATCCGTCCGTCGAGACCAAGACTGTTCCCATGAGAGTCCCTCCGAACGCCCTCCCTCTGATCTGTACTCTTGAGACTCACGGGAATTGTGATTCCGCGCTGCCCAAAAGTGGATCTGCCGACGCGTCTCCGCTGCGCTAGTGGACTCGACGGAGCGAGTTAAAAGCGCTTTCAATCGAAATAATGGACAGAAGCGAAGGGAATAAACTCGTTTCTTTTATCCCGAAGGCCAAAGCCGCTTCGACTGAATGCGCCACTAACATACGATGGAATAGTCCGAGGATTTCGCTAACGATCAATGATTCACGAGGGGAATCGGAAATCAAGAGCTCGGATTTTTGAATTCGATGCGAATTCGATGCCCGGCCGGCTGGTCGTCCATCCGGTCTCCGGATCGCGCGCCGACTGATTCCCAAGCAATAGCTTGTAGCTGAGAAGAATACGAGGACGACTTCGACGTCAGGACCGTAGGAAACGAAGTCTAGAGATTGAATAGGGTGCTGGCATCGCGGCGTCGCGTTCGCACGAGCGGACGGCTCAGCGAACGAATGAGCCGGCGTAGAAGAACGTGGAGCTTCACGATTTAAATTTAAACACTTTCTCATTCAGGTCGCGTGAGCTGTCTCGTATCGTCCAACTCATCCTTTTCCTACGGGAAGAGCTTCTGATTGCTTCCTTTGTGATCGCAGCGATGTCTTCCTCCACCGACCACGATCCGCTCGCTTGCTGAGGCTACGACCGATTCCTGCAGCCTGGCCGCTGCCGTCCTGCTGGAGCCGCCCCGAACTCTTTCCCGCAGCCTCGCTCCCTCTCTGTCCCCCGTTCCCGGAGCGGGCCATTTCTTCTCTAAAATAAGCGAGGCGAACAATAGTTTTGCTTTGAAACGGCTGCCAATAATCAATGTCGGCTGACCACGAGGGTCAGCCGAGATGGCATTGAGTCAGTCGAACTAATACGTCGTGGCTGTTGTGCGTTCCTTGTTTGGCGGTCGGTAACGTAACAGACACAATCCGATTGTTTGGCTCCATGTCATTTCTGTGCGAGCAACTAACGAGTCTTCTTTTGATGTCAATACCTCTTCCTAGGCCCGTTCAGCTCACAGTCGCCGTCGCTATACTGTCGCTGCTCTCAAAGGGAGAAAAGGAGGAATCTGCAGCGCGCGCGCAAGCCTAGAGTTTCCAAACGCTGTAGTGTAGAATCTGGTCTGTCAAACGACGAGCCAAAGGTCGCTCAATGACTGTCAGACCAACCGAGCGACACAGTGAGCGTTCGTCCACATCTGTTCCTTCCGTCGGTTCCCCTCTGTACTATATATCTGTCGTCCTATCCCTCTTCTTTTCCTTCCAAGCTTTGACGAGCAGACGTATAGACAAACGGAAAGAGGACCGGACCCGCGAACGGGCACGTCAGTCCGGGACTTCGTTTGCCTTTAAACGGAATTCCACTTTACCGTTGCCTGTCTTAGCCTCCCCTTTCGCGCGCTTCCGGGGCCTCTTGAGACTTCCCGTAGCCCAGAACCGCCGACCATCCAGACCATCGTGGTGGTTTGACCACGAATCGTCGCCCGGTCGATTCTCCACTTGGAGTTCTATTTCTTAGCGGCTTGATCCCCCGGCTTTTCCACCTCCTGGGTATATCTCGCTGCTTTTGATTTGCATTACTACGATAGCAGGTCGATTGAGAAAAGCTACCGTTCCTCGGTGGCGCGAACTCCCCCCTCATTAGTCGCAATAAGTTATCCCCTCTCCACCCAAAGAATGACCGTGCGTGGCACCAGCTAAGCGCCCGCTTTGATAAAACCTCAAATTCGCCGTTTCGATATGTTCCCTGTCTAACTACGGCAACGTCTGGCGCTGCAGAGTCGCTTCGAGCTGCAGCTCCCGCAATAGCTATCTATCTTTAGGCTTCGCGACGCGGAGGGAGATCGTCCCGGAACTGCAATGGCCGTACGTTCGAGCCTTGGTCGGCTTGTTCGGTTGCTAGATCAGGCTGGCTGGTGCGGTTGAAACTTGCCTCTAAAAACGCGTTTTCTGCCGTCCAGCTGGTGTAGATTCATTACCCACACGCTGGGTGGCAGGCAGGCTGGCCGGCCGGCCGGCCGGCCAGCTAGATGCCTTGTCTGTGCGTACGTACATACGTTGGCCTGTTCTCAGCGCCACAGTCAGGTTAAAGCGGGCGCAGCAATTTCTTTTCTCGCGAACATCACCATACCGGTGGCCAGGCCGAGCACTCACATTTCTCTGCGGCCGTCGTGCAGGGATACCATCATCGACGTCTCTCGGAATTCCCCCCTGACCACGTGTTGAATCACTTGATTTATGAGCGGTAATCATCCGCAGCTTGTCAACGCAGATTCCTGTCGAGTTCGGTGGGGGGGGGGAGGGGGAGAGAATTCTTGTCGTTTTCTCCGAATTAACTTCCCGCGGTCTTGAGGTGCGGCATGCTGTCGATTTGTCGCGGCAAGCGGCTGGAAATATCGAGGCTCGCACAGTGAACTCGGGCTGGTTTACTCGAGATCCGAACTCTACGTAGATTAGGAGAAACACGTCCAGCCTCGATCACGAGTTTGGTTCGCGCTCGCAGACTGATTTGTTGTTCGACGTCGCGGAATTATCGGGTGAATTGGTTTAGTGGAACGGTAGAGATCAAACCGAACCTTCGGAGCCCTGTCCTGAGTGACCAGCTCGATGTCGGCCGAGAGAGACGTGAACTCGGATCGCCAGTCCAAGAGCGCAGGACACATCAAAGAACGTTGCTGTGACTTTCTCCGAATCGTCCCTTGAGCTTCTAACGTAATTTAAAGTTGTCTTAACGACTTTAACTCATTGGCGTGCGTGCTTGCTCGCGTGTGTGCGTGCGTCCGTCTGTCTGTGTACCACGCTCTGCCTGACTGCGTGCGTAAGTGTGAGTGTATCCCTGCCTGTCCGTCCGTTCGCTCGCTCGCCGTCCTGCCCGCCCGTTTGTCAGTCCATCGGTCGGTCTGTCCTCCAGATTAGCTTTACAAGGGACGGTCGGAGGCGCTGCTAACGACATTACTCGATGTGCTGCTCCCCTAGAAAATCGGCCCTTCAGTCAGCTCACTCGCCGAGTGCCACGTTCCCCCGGCTCGCCTGCCCTTTGTTCCTATTATCTGACCCCTGTTATTCATTCCTGACGTCCCTCGCAGCGTCCCTCCTCGCAGCATCCAAGACTTCTTGATCTCGATTTGAAGAGCCGCCGCCGTTCTGCATCTCGCAACCATCAACAATCTCCCTGGCGTAATTTTGCATAATCTGCGAATCAGGGGTGTGGATGAATGTCTTCAAACTTCATTATTGCTAATGTTGTCTCCCCCATGAGACGTCGTCCGGTCTCCAGCCGTTGTTGTTTGTTCCCTGCTTGCGCCCTCCGGACGACTCTCGGGAGCTTGAGTGGGAGAGAACCGAGAAACTTGTCGAAATCGTGGGAGCGAGCGGAGGAACCGAGCTCGGTATGTTTTAATATTGATTCGATGTCCATCAAACTCCTTCCGGGACAATGTTGAAAGAAACATCGTTGCGCGATGGGTGTTGTGACAATGCTCTGAATTCTGAGTATCGGGCGGCGAACTCAAGCTCCAACGGACACCACGTTGTCATATGTATCGTCAGTCGGTTCACTCCGTCCCTCCTCTTCTCTTCGCGACCGAATACGCAGAGGACCCGTGGGAATTCATTCCGACTGAGAACCCGGAAGTATATCGCACGGGGGACGCCACCCACCGAGCGAGCTCTCGAGATAACGCGCGACCGCAAGACACAATCTGTCTTGGAAACGTCCCGCCACTAGCATCACGGCCTCAGGTAAACCATCCTGCGTCAAGCCGACCGGACATACGGTCGCCGGCAAATTGAGAATGTTCCAGATTGCAGGATAGGAGAAATACCGCTTCGGTGACAGATACGTCTGCAAAGAAGATATGTAAACTGATTGAGTGAGTCGAGTATCGGCGTCGGGATCCCTCGTCTCCTCCGAGAATATTCTCCTCCTGCACTTCCCGACGGCGACGTGAATATTTCATACGGAAAGTACAAGGAGTCCAGATATGCCGTTCGTCCTTCTGCGTTTGTCGCTAGCTAGACCCTAAGGAGGCTTTCTGTCGACGACATTGGACTGCGTGAGCTACATATGTCAGACTGAATGTTACCAACCCCATGATGGAAGGGAGCAGAAGTCCATTGGGCTGGCAGTACGAGAACTCCATCTCGGCCTAGCAACCCCTCGACCTGTTTCCCGAATGCGTCAAGCTCGCGTAAATCTTCCTTATGTTTGGCGCGGCTATGGGATCTATAGTGTTTCTCCAATGCCGAGACGAGCGGGGCGTAAACCGTGAACTTCGACAGCCCTGGATCGAGGGTAGATCATTATCTCATTATGGAAACGCTGCCCCTCCGACCGAGGCATCCTGTATTTAATCGATGCTCCTGGGAATTTCCCAAGCTTCGGGCCATTCGATTGGGCCTCGGAGTTTCCTCTGCTCACAGTGCGAGAAATGTCGGCAGATCGATTGTAGGTCTCATGATCTCCCCATGTTCCCGGAAGGGATCCTTCAAACATCCATCAGGCTCTGCTCATTTATTCGGGAAAAGGGAATCGGCACCGAGTGATCGAATGCAGAATTCATCGCGGTGAAGAATTCACCTCGAGTCTAATCTGAGATTCCATTCTCAAAGCTACGCTCGGGTACGGCTCGCTCGAGCAATCAAGTCGGCCAGACGAGGGAATTCAAGTACAAGAGATCTACATATAGTTTTGTGACTCACCGAGAATTTTCCCGGCCAGTTGGAGGAATACGTTGACGCCGCCGGTCTGGAAGGCCTCATCAAGCGGAACCGTTCCGATGTCCACGAAGCGGGCGAAGCACCAATCGAACGAGTTTTTAAATGCTCCACATTCGAACGCTCTGGGCTTGCAGCCTGTGTTCAACAACTCGTTTAGAGCAATTTGCACCGCGGAACTTTTGCGAAAGTCGCTCGAGAGCGAGCTTACATAGAACACATTCAAATCGCAGACATCAACTTTTTTGTCAAGTCCGAGACGAGCATCGTTCCGGCTCAAAACTTTCAACATCGGTAGAAGGTCGTCAGCGGAGCGTGTCATGGGACCAGGAGACGGAAAATCCTTGATAGGTCCGGGCAGGACGGGATGGGTTCCTTGTAGACTCACGCAGCCCTGGGTAGGTTTGTGACCGAATATCCCGCACCAAGCCGCTGGCGTCCGTATGGATCCCGAGAGATCTGTCCCTATACCGATGACAGAACACGCGGAACCGAGAAGAGCCCCTTCTCCCCCTGCAAAGTACAGTTGATTGACGAAGCTCCTCGATTCTTTATGTCGAGCCCCTAATCGTCGGATTCGAAAACTCTCGTTCCCGTTGAGTTCACGGACAAGGAATTTTGAACTCGAGATAATCGCACCGCTGCTTCCACCGCATGTTCTGTGGAGATCGTATGGATTGTTGGTGCGGCCATGTGGTATGCTCGAGGTCTCGACCCACATCGAGGCTTCCGGTATTGTGGAAGAGCAGAGAACGATGGCACCGCTCGCTTCCATCGCTTCCACGACATCGGCGCTGCCATGATAGGTTTCCCCTTTACGATCGACGAGTCCTATGCAGCTGCATAAACCTGGAAAATGGGAAAGTTCCATAGGGCGTCGAGAACGTCATCACGTTGTCTTTCGCGTCTTGCCGTCGATGGCGTAAGAGCATAAGATCGGACTGAGACTCGCAGCGATCGAATTCACCCAATCCTACTTACCATCGACAGCGACCGATTCTTTCACCGAAAACGGAACTCCGTAGAATGGTTTCGCCTCGAGAAGCGCCTCCCTGTCCCCATTGTATGATTCCAGTTCTCTATCCAACGTCCGCGCCCTTTCCAATGCAGCCGAGAATCCTTCATCCGCCACGGCTTTGATCAGTTTATCCACCTCACGAATCCGTTCGATGAAGGCGTTCAAGACAGTCTCGCTCCTGGTCTTCAATACAAAATCAGAAATCAGGCCTGAACTCGCCTCCGATGAGCACAGTATCTCATAGACTCATGGAGAGTTGTCGAGGAGTCGATTCTTCACGGATGTGGGTCAGATACTAATCATTTGTCGAAATCGGGATGAAACCTCTCCGTAGACGATCATGCGCGCAAGATCTGTCGCGCTCCTCAGAATCAGCGTGGAGGTGATCGGCGGAATCCGATTTCTACCATCGCGTGTCCCGACGTGATACATCCGTTTGGAGATCTCGAAAATCCACGCTACAGCCGACAGTAGAAGTTCGACTGCGAGTCGACAAGGTTCGCTCGTGAAGTTCCTTGAAGGAACGTATCCGGCTAAATCTCCTGACTTGGCGAAGGGCGAGCTTTTGAGTCGGATCCATTTCATCCAGTCGCCAACCTGTATTCGGGTCTCCTCAACTAGTAATGAATTGCCCGCGAATACAGCGATATCCAGCCCGAGAACACGCAGCCCAGGGCGAAACCGGGGAATTTATTCACCTGATCAATCCCATGTGGAACTTCCAGCGTCTACAGGAGTGTTGGCGTCGTAGGAGAGACGGAAACCCGCGTGAAGCGAAACTTCCGACCTGTCGAAAACAGCGACCGACCGACTAAGCCCCGCCGCGACGGAGAGTTACACTACTTGTTGGAGATGATCTCGATCGAGTGCCGCTATCACTCGACATGAAACGACGAAAGCGGAGGAAAGGAGACGAGGGAGAAAGATAACAAAACTTGGCGAGAGAAAGAGAGGAACATAGACAAAGCGAAACTTCAACGAGAGTGACGAGCGCCGGAGCTCGCAGCGACTCGACCTCCGACTCTGCGGATGATCGCCGAGAACTAGCGATTTTCGACAAATATCCCGTAGACCAAAATAATTTCACTTCCTGATCGCATGATTCCCTAGTCGCGACGTCTTCTGCTGCCTTCCAGGTTCCGGGGGATTCTCTTCGACTTCTTGACTCGCTGTAACATACGGAGAACCGAGAGGACGGGCTGCCAGCTGAGTGACGCGCGAACTCATCCTGGACCGAAAGTTCCAATTTTTGCGACGGCAGTGACATTGGCAGAGTCACTTTGTCCTGCAACGCGTGCGCCCATCCCATCAGCGAACTGTTCGCTGACTTATCCTGCAATTCGTTTGTGCTCTCTTTTGCTGCGGACGTGTGATTAACGGTTAGAGTGTGTCCTAGCGACAACTTTCAGCGAGTTCGTGTGTCGGTATCACGCAGGAGTCCCCTCTCCTCGTATATCGTTTGATATGTGGTCCGACTAATGCCGTATTTCGCCAGCGCGGATCGCTGGTACCTCGTTCATTGCGGTGCATTCCGCATAAAAAGTCGACGAGGGCGCGTGCGATCACAAGTAAGTTCCCGTCGTGAGTTTTTGCTGGTTTCCGCGGGGAAGTTTCGAGCGAATAAGAGTTCCCGCACAGCCTTATTCCGAACTAATTAATCCTCGATCCCGACGCGTCTGTGGAGCTTCATATTGTATTCCTGCATTAGAAGTCATAGTCCCCGCTCAGGAATCGCCGGACTCCCCCGATCGCATTCTACGCGGCGTCCGCTCGACGTCATCTGCCCTCTGTGACGACAAGCCAGTGCTATGCATGAATAAAGATTTTCTGCTCATTTCGAATGTCAACTTCAGTTGTTTTTGCGATGTTCTCCCACGTCTTTTTTCACGCTCGGAGCTCATTCGGCTGGTTCCTTCTCGTGCCCGATCCGTTGTCCACTCCGAGTGTCAATTCACAGGCACGCATTTTCTCAATGTTTCCCATGCGTTCCATAAAAACTAAGTTCTGAACCGAGTCATTCAGTCAGGATCCGTTGTCCCCGTCGTCCTTTCTGCCTGTCATCTGTCCTTCTGTCTCCTGCTTGCCTGACGGAGCGGCTGGTTCGCTCGGTTGCGGGAGCCTGATCATTTGCAAGTGCCATTGCCGCATCCGGTATGACTTCCGCTCATCAGAATTCGCTAAGACGGCTCCTTTCTGCAGCCCCGAGAGTAAGGGCAGCCGCGGCAGGAGAAGAAGCCCGCCATCCTGTCGACAAACTGATTTTTAACTCGGTTCGCTCAATATCCTCTCTTCTTTCTTTTTTCTCTCGTCTCTATATATTTTTCCCAACTTTCTCCTTGGCCCGTCCTTCTCGTTCCGCTGTCGAATCGGTCAGTCGTGTCACTGTATACTATAGACCCATTGTATGCGTGTATATGCGATGATGTCATGGCACATCAGGCGATCCGTGTGCATATGAAACAACCAGATATCCGCCCCGCTGATGATGAGGGAGAGATGACATCGTCCTTTTGGAATCCGGATTTCACTTTGCGCTCAATGGATGTTCGACGTCAGTGCCAATCTACCACTGATGACGAGATCTAACTCATTTGCCTCGGTCGGCGTGTGGGAGAAATTCATCACAAGAACTAGCTGCTCGGCATTCCATCGAACTCGATCTGCTACTTTTCTTCGCTTGCCACTAGACGAACTGCCTCGCTCGCGCTCCTCTGTCTGCTTTCTGAATTGAGAAAATGCGGACGCAGCAATCTTCTATTTCGAATGCTTTCCCCACAACGTTCGCGCCGCCGCTTCCGAGCGGTGTCTGAGTGAGTGGTGAACGTTTCGTGTGCGCGAACGAAGGCAATTAGCAAAATAAAAAGAGGCATTAGCGCCGAGGTTCCTGATTCGAAATCTAGTTATGGGCGCTACCGGTCGTGACCGCGTACATCTGCTGCCGGTATCGCTTCTTCATCTTGTTATCTTTGGTCCACCCGTCCGAACGTTCTCCGACTCGCCGTACAATACGATGTCGGCTTACGGTCAAGAATCGGCGACGATAGCTTCGGGAGTGCTTTTTCTAACAATGTGCTCGCCGACAAACATCCGAACGCTCAGGTAGGCATACGAGCGAGCTCAGTCAGTCAGAGCGCTCTTGAAGCACCTCCTTCACATTTTGCCTTATCGGTAATTCACCGAAAAGCTAGACGTTCCTCTGCTCGGCTGTCCGTTAACACGTCGCTATTAGTGAGCGAACGCGGCGGATAGCAGCACCGGGGAATGGTTCCGCCCAGACAGCTGGCACCAACACCTCCACCAGGCTAGCGATTCTCATTCCCCGCGCCTATCTGTCTGTTCGCACCTCTTTGAACTCTTCACGATCCGGCAGCAGGAGCAGCCTCCGACAACCCGCTCGACAAACCATTAAGCTCATTTAGAACAGACAAGCGTCTTTAACGAGAAGGCAAATGCCTGACGTCGATTGAAAGAATTTGATTCGGTGCTCAGCTTCTACGCACGATAGGAGCTGCTACCCATCGAATATTCGATCAGTCATCAAGCGTTCCCCTTCCGACTCTCGACGCTCGCGTAAGGAGTGGAACTTCCGAAAGTCTTCCGGGAAAAAACATTCTCCCTCAGCTCCGATGAATTGTCACCGGGAGATTCGTCGCCAATTTTCGTTACAGCGATGGCTCGTCACCGTCGACTTGGTGAATCTTCGCGCAGGAAGAAGAATCATAAATTCTGACTCCGCTGGCTCAACGGGTGGTGCTTCTGGCGGCAAATTTGAACAGCATGTAGTCCGCTCGAAATATGATGATGAACATGATCCGATTACCGCCGGTAACTGCCGGCAACTCCGATGAAGCAAAGTCGCTTGGTCTATGGACCGGCCTGCCGCCCGCTCCGTCGGTCCGGCGGCAATCCGTCGATGCGATGCGCTGACAGCGGTAACGACAACAAGTACCGAGGAGCAGCAAGTGAAGAGACGCCGCGCTCTGTACCGTCTCTTATTAGTGCAGCGGCAGTACCGGGATGTAGGTACGGCTAATCTTGCTTTTTCATTTCTTTTTCTGTGCGTTTCCTATTCGATCCGAAGATGAGACTGAAGACGGAGGGAATGAGGAATTCAACAAGCCGAGGGCGAAACAGGTCTCCTGAGCCGAGCTCCCTCCCGAGTTCGCGGCGCCGGCGTCGGGTCGGGATTCGGAGGGAATTCAATCATATTCGAATGGAAACGAATCGGTCAGGCGAGGAAAATGTTCATAGCGCCGAGAGCGAATCCTTCATCGATCTACTCAAAGCTCATTGAGTGTTGAAATCAATGATTCGAGGAACGATTCTCCGTCGATCGCTTGTTACTCATCTCGGGAACCACAACGAAAAACCGACTCGACGGAATCTTTCCCGAGAGAACAAGGATTCATTCCTCTAGCACTCCTTGAGTTTAGCCTCTAGCAGCCGTCTCTCAATACTCCCGACGCGTAGTCCCAACCTTTCAGGCTAATTCCTGCCGGCGAGCATTCCTTCGATCCTTCCATGGCGATCAAGGGCTGACCCCGAGGGATCGTCGTAAGTCTCGGCGACGAGCTTAGGTGTTTCTTCCGAGCTGATTTGTGGAGAGCCGTGATCAATCGGACGGCCCCCGGGCCAACCTCGAGCCCACGTTTTCATGATATAGCTCTGACGCATCCATCTCCTGTGGAACCACCGAGTGTTGTGCTATACGGTGTCGAAGGATGCGAGTTGATGCCATTTGTTCCTCGCCAATGGAGCAATGACGGTATTTTTCGATAATCACTGGGCGTTCACCCATTCGACGCGATGTCTTCCCAACCAGAGACACCCGCTCTGACGAACAGAATCGACGACATTTATCGCATTTCTATGCAGTGACGAAGGTTTTGCGTTCCGCCATATCTTCGGCATACGGAAGCGAATGCCGAAAGAGACGGAATTTCGATCAGCCGAGATCGGTGGATGCGTGGGTTCGATCGATATTCTCGAGTGCGTTCCTGGACGCTCACCGGCGCGGAGTATAATCGCCTTCCCCCGAAGCCTGAGAATTCAATTGAGATCGGTGCACGCTTGACAAGCTGCGTTGTTAATTGCATTAATGAGCTGGTTCCGAAGAAAAAAGGCGGAGGCCTCCTGTTGACGGGTAAGCGCAGAATGTTTAGTCGGCGTCGCGCGTAGAAATTTGATCTGAAGGTGCAGGAGGTTCTTAATGAAAATCACTTGGCACCTCACTTCGAAGCCGGATCGGGAGGAGTTCTCTGCTCTTCGCTTCTATGCAGCTCCTTTTCCCCGACACTCGCTACGAAAATGATGAAGACCGAGGAGACTTGTACACACTGGGGCCCGGAGCTCCGTCAGCAGAGATCAAAGATAACCTCTCACTCGACTTTTCATCGGCGATTACTCAAACCAGACAAACTGCCCCGTCATCG